CAGCCGTTCCTTCAAATATTCGAGTATTTTTTTCTTTTTTTTTGCTATTTGCAGTTTTGAGGGGTATTTTGATATTTTTAAAAGTTTTGAGGGGTACTGTTAGAAACCGCGAATAGCAATTTTGTGACCGCAAATAAATAGTATAAGCCCACAAAGGGGTTTTCCCTTTTCGCCGAAGTATTGCAGTTGAGGGGTACAGATGTCAAATCACCACATCTGAAAGGTCTGTTCAAATAAGGCGTCCAATTCATTTATTTATAATTATAATATCTTTTTTTGCGTTGCCTTCATCGTTCGCACTTCCCTCTTTCTTTGCGTCAACTCATACCCATTGCAATTCGCAAACCCTCGCCCAAATTTTTGATTGCTTTTCAATCGAATTTCTTCGTATTAATTCAACTGAAATTTTCAATAATTTTGCTATTCAGTCGATTGTATTCATTCGTTTGTGCCTGAATTTGATTAATGGCGTCCAGCGGAAATAAGAACATCAACGCCAAACTGGTTCGTACTCTCTCCTCCGACGATCCCCTATTTTTGCATCTAATTTGTTGTATAATTTTCCTGAAAATCTCGGTTTTAATTTTTGTTTACCGTTTTCTGACATCATCAAACAAGACTCTATCATGTTTGTACGAATTTGTTCCAACAATAGGTTAGAATTTTTTTTGCGTCGTCGGGAAATAGTCCTTGATTATTAGGTTAACGGTCAGCAGTACTGGTTTACACTCTTCGGCAAAGGTGTATCAATTATGTGATGGGCAGTATAGCAGCTAGGGTTTCAGAGTTCTTCAATTCGTATTTTCTTGTTTCAATTTTTGTGCGATTCTTGTATTGAATGGTATTCGTGTGTCCATTTCACCATTTGTATATATGGGTGAGACAATTAAATAATTAGTGCAAAAAAACAGTTTAATCATACAATTGAAATTGATAGTGATTAAATAATTTGGTCATTCAATAGAAAAAACATACTGAAGAAACTTTCATCTACTTCCAAAATTGAATTTGTTTTCTGTAGTGCCACAGATCAGTTGCCAGTTTCCACTATATATTTTATTGCTAAGTTCTCTGATTTTGTGATATATTTATATGGTGAAAACAATTGCAGCAGTTATTTTTATTTGGGGTTGGTTGAATGGAATTGAGTAAATTGATAAAAGTGCAGCTCAAGTAGAAATCCCTTTATTGTCATTCAATTCAAGTTCGGTCCGCATTGAGCAGATCAAGTATTTGTGTAGTATGGAATTATTTTTTTGCATTATGATATTTCTGAACGGTTGATTTTCTCATCTGCGGTTTTTTCCCCTTTCTTATTTTTTCCTGGGGAAGAAAAAGGCTGCAAAGTGTTTGAGTTTTCGCTTAACTGTTTATGTTTAGTGCCTCGCCTTTTGCTTCCGTATTGCTAAGTTGGATGAGGGTTTCTTTGCTTCTCTAGGTACTGCTTGGAGATGTTGCAACTGGAAAATCTAGTTTAGTGTTGCGTTTTGTAAAAGGGCAATTTGTTGAATTTCAGGTTGGTTTAAAATCGGTTTAAGAGATTTGATATTAATATGTAACACATCCAGTTTTTTGCTTGTGGGTTCTGTTGAGTGATTGTATTTGACTGATGCTGTAGGAGTCGACTATAGGTGCTGCCTTTTTTTCACAAACAGTTGCTGTGAACGATGCAACTGTAAAATTTGAAATATGGGATACGGCAGGTCAGGAGAGATATCACAGCTTAGCTCCGATGTACTATAGAGGAGCTGCTGCAGCCATCATTGTCTATGACATCACAAATCAAGTAAGTGCCGACTGCTTAGCAAATGGTTTAGTGGATACTCAAGCCAATATTTACTGAATGGTTTTTATCTAGTGGGTCAATTCGTACGTAGCGCTATGCTTTGTCAAATGCTAGTTTTGAAAAACAAAAGTATTCTAGTTTTGCTTCTCCAGCAGGGCCATTGTTTATTGTCTCTGTAAATTCAGCCTACAGAAAATGTGAGTAAGGCTCACAGTTCATAAGTAAGGCACAGATGAATATTTAATATTCATTGAATCAATTTATGCCTCAACAACAAGATCCCCTATTTGAATTGCTAGAGTAAAAACTACTTTTTTTTGTTTCATAAATTGATTGAGTTCATACTTCAGATGATACTTTATTTTTCATCTCAATTTCTTACTATCATTATTCATAATAGTAGTTTCTTTATATTGCAGGCATCATTCGATCGAGCGAAAAAGTGGGTTCAAGAGCTTCAGGCACAAGGTGAATTTCTTTTTCTTTTTCCCTTCAAAAATGATTTTTGAATTTGTTTGAATTAGTTAAAGGCGAGTGTTCTAAGGAAATTCTGTTGCGATTTATCATTATATTCTCGTCAGTCGTGGACAATAATTTTCTTTTGTTACCTATATAATTGGGACAAGTCTGTTGAGAGGAAGAGCTATATCAAGGAAGTGGTCGTACCAGAAACTTTCAAAAGAAAAGGGAAATCCTGAATTGGAGGGAGGGAGGGCACTGAGATCACTGAGATCTATTGAATTTTATTTCTTTTCGTTTATCAATGTAGTTATGAATAGTGATGGACTTTTATGACTTAATTTCATAATTATTTTTTAACTTTTTGTTTTATTGCTGGCATAAGGTAACCCAAATATGGTTATGGCACTTGCTGGGAATAAATCGGATTTATTGGATGCAAGAAAGGTGGCAGCAGAGGTAAGCATTCATCCTTTTCTTCTACTTATTTTGCTCAATATTATCAAACTTGTACTTTATTGAACTTGTATACTCATCTCAGTCTGCTAGGAAGATGTATAACTTAACTTTAAATTCGTGTCAGTTCTTTGTTTATATATCCGTTGTGAGATTATAAAAAGACCGATGTCAGTTACGGCAGTGTTACAAGTAGTTTAAGTGGACATGAAATACGAATATTTTTTTGGCTTTCGTAATTCAATTCATTAACTCTTAGTGGGTATGAGTTATTATCATTACAAATACAAATATGTTTTTTTGAGTTTCGTAATGAATTCATGAACTCCTGATTGTGAGGATAAAGCTGGATTTGTGGAATAGTGAAACTTTTCTATGTTGGCACTTGTAATGATATGCATCTTCTATGTCGACGGTAGGCTGTGTAGGACATCAAGACATGTGTCATTTCTGGTATCTTATGTTCTCCTTTCTGATTGGTGTTTTTTCCACCTTTCACATTTTTTTCCCGAATTGCTGGGAATTATACTGCATGCGAGTAACATGAACGTTTTACCTTAAAAACTAGCTTATAGTCTGGCAGTGTCTCTTACATCATTCTTATTTATATTAACATGAACTTCTGTTGCAGGAAGCACAAACTTATGCCCAGGAGAATGGTCTTTTCTTTATGGAAACTTCTGCAAAGACGGCAACAAATGTCAATGACGTGTTTTATGAGATAGGTAAGATCATTAGCTTGAAGAATTTTTCATGACATGCATTTTCTGTGGCGGAACAACGTAACATATGCTCTTAGAGCAATATTTAAAAGAATACATACATTTTCTGTATAGTAACTCTGTTTTTTTTTTTCCGTGGCTCAACAGCAAAGAGATTACCCCGTTTGCAGCAGGCACCAAACCCATCAGGTATGGTCCTTGTGGATCGACCAGCAGATAGGGCAACAGGTGCTTCATGTTGCTCTTAAAGTTGATGCCAACTTCTCATCCAGACAATAAATATGTCAAAGTAAAATATTATCGTGATGTTGTGTCCATAAAATAATATAATATACTTCAAAAAAAAGTGATTATTCTGTGCATGTTTGGGATTGTTTAGATTTGTACAGAAGTTAAAACTTTTGATTATGTATTTAACATTGGTTGAAGATACTGTTGCACTGCAATTTGATGTGGTACACTGGACTGGACTTTGTTTTCTTAAATTTAAAATATGCTCTTTGTGTTAATTTAGTCTTTTCAACTTGGCTTTTATTTTAGCTTTTCAATTCTTGAAGAATTGCATTATTTGGACACTTAAAGCAACTTTTTGCTTAAATCAAGCAGGTTTGTTGATCCGATTTTTATCTATAATGATGTCATCTGAATTGGTCCAAACTATGTGCAGCTTTATTTGTTGGATTCAATCTGGGCTTTCTTTACAAGCAATTCATATTGGGCTTTTTTTTAAAGCAACTCGATTTGGGCTTTTTTCAATAAGCAATTTGGCGGCTTCTTTTTTTTTTATAAGCAATTCAATCTGGGCTTTTTTTATACTATTTGGGCATATTAAAATACTATTAAACAATGATATAAGCAATTCAATTTGGGCTTGTTAATAAGTAATTCGACTTGGGCTTTTTTTATAAACAATTCAATCTGGCCTTTTTTTATTAAGCAATTCAATTTGGGCCTTTTTTATAAGCAATCGATTTGGGCTTTTTTATAAGCAGTTCAATTTGGGCTTTTTTATTAGCAATTCGATTTGGGCCTTTTTATAAGCAATTCAATGTGGGCTTTCTTTTTATAAGCAATTTAATTTAGGCTTTTTCATAAGCAATTCAATGTGGCCCCAATTCAATTTGGGCTTTTTTCGTAGGGAAATTTAATTGGGCATTTGAATACAATGACTATGTTTTGGATCTATTTTGGGCTAATTTTAATTTCATTTTGAGGAAAAGATTTTTTTAGAAAAGTTCAAATTAAAGTAATGTTTATTTGTATTTTGAGAAGAATCAATAAATAAAATTATTTTAGGGTTGAAATGTGCTGACAACCTAATACTTAAAGCCCTCCAATAGATGCAAGGGGACCTAATAATATTAACAAAATATCTATCATCCTCGGACTACTATCATTTCATTTCACATTGGTCTGGAATAAAAAGCAAAGCAATTTGCTCAGAAAGAAATAAATAAAAAAGAATTGATCATCACAGTTCGTTTCACATTGGCCTGGATTAAAATACAGAATTTGCATAATGTCCATCCATGTACACATTTACATATATATTGTTTTCCCAAAACAAAATTGATCATCACAGTTTTCATGATTTCCTCTTGGCCAAAGTCTTCTTAAGACCCTTGAGAATCTTCCCAAACCACACCAAGTTCATTACGGCAAGTGCCGTCGGTACACAAAACACCAAAAGAGAACCAAAAGTGTGCATCTGCATCACCTACACAACCATTTTTCCCATGAAATTTGTATATTTCTATCTTTAACCATTCAAATAAAAGTCTAGTCGCAAATCAACGCAAGTATTCAGGCAGTAAATTATTACCTGATTATGGTGGATATAGACATGGTAAGACATGTAAACAAACAAAAGAATCCTTGCTACCTGCATTTCAAGATGTAATGCACGAGTATAAGTTTTTTCGTCAACAATCTGGTATGTATAATATTCCCACTGAATCTTGAGAAATATCTCTTTTTTTTTTTAATTGAGAGTATACATTATAAAATCATACAAGCACCATTAGCTCAGGGACAAAGAAGATAAAGTAAAAATACATACCAACCAAGCAAAAAAAATCACAACACCATTGATCAGATAAGCAGTAGATCTCTTCAGTCCAGCTACATCAAGGAACCTGTACAAATTGCAGATAGAATCATCAGTTGAAAACATTCTCAGATGTAACGTGTATATTATATTTCTATTAGACTTCCATTTCTTTTTTCTGAAAATACTAACTTACCATCTCATATTGATCTCCGGGGTTGTCACCTCAGATATCAGAACCATGAACGTGTAAAGTTGACCCTCCCCGGTCAACATGGAATATGCTACTGCAATTGCCGAAAGAGAGTGATGTACAATCTGAAATCCAATAGAAACACAACTATTACAGTCTATACACTGCATTGTCAAATGACAACAGAAAAATAAAACTATTCGCTGTCAGGCATGAAAAGGGAAAGAGGACGGCAGGAATCATCTTATGTCTCAGAGAAAAATAGAGAGAGACACTATCTATATGCTTAATTTTATCCTCACTCCACTTCAACAGAACTACTAGACAGATATACTTAAAATAGTAAAAATCACCAGAAATAAGGCATAAATATATGAACTAATTTTGTTTTTGTCTAGCAGTTCACTTACATACTCCACCCCGCCCAAAGAAGGATACAGCCAACAAATCATTCCCAAGTCCGAAATGAAGTAGCCAACGGACATCTGCAACGAATAAGAGGAACAAACTAAAAGAGTAAATATCATGGACAGTCAACACATAATCAGTGAATAAGATCAGATAAAATAAAATGTAATGGCTCGACAAAAAGAAATCTCAGTCTAATCACAGTGAGGGACCTGAATTAGCTTATAAGTTGTACAGTTTCAAGTCTTGTAGGTAAATTTTAACTAAAAGTGTTTCAGAAAACATTTAAAATCATTAAGGCCGTCTATCATCATCAAAATCCCTAGATTAAGATCATACATATCTCAATCAGATTTCATAGGCGAACACACAAAATGAAATTGCGAAATGAAATGCACTCTCTAAATATGATATCTGAAAAGCACAAATCTATGATGATCATATGCCAGCTTTGTTCCACTGACATGTCAAAGAAGATGAATCAGAGACTTACCCCTAGTGCAAATGTCGACAGAGGTGAACTTCTTAGCGTAATTATCCCCGCAGAATTTTGATCAGAGAAAAGTTCAGACCAGAACACAAAGTACAAGGATATGATTGAAATAAAAACAGCATGAAGAGTTGAAGTACCACTGCAGGAAAGTATATATTAAAAAGTCAACACGATGTCAGAAAAATAAAATAAAAATGGAAGTATTAAGAGCCAGTGGTTCACCGATTGTTCCACTCAATCCTTTGAACCTTAGTGAGGCCATTGTAACTCCTGAAGTAAAACGTGCTGATGATCTGAGTCAGGTCATATACCTACCAGAGGGACAATTATAGGAAAAATATTAGTGTCGAAAATATGTTGATTCATCTGTATATGATGTTGACTTAAATGTAGTCCCAAACTAAAAGTGAGTTTGCCAACTTCAGTAAATAAGATATAATAATGACAAGATATCTTAACTTCATCATTACACTCACATATAACTTCCGAATCTACAAAAGCAATTATAACACAACTAGAAAGCAATCGAAAATGCTCAGACGTACCAATTTGCATGCCAACATGCCACCAAGAACTGAAGTATATGGGATAAAAGGATCTGCTAATACGTAGTTTTTTACCAGCACCCCAGCCTTGTTTTGATAAGCTTTAAAAGGCAAAACGGTTCTTAGAGAACGTGTCATTATTCTAATTTCTGGAACATGTACTTATTTCTCTCTTCTAGAACATGATAACCCTCCGGCTTCCTGAAAACAAATTAGCAAACACTCAGAAAAAAAATCTGTAAGGGAAACAAGATAAATTTAAGCTACGATTTCCATAAACATTGCCCTCAAAATCAATAGATAGAAGGTGTGGCAAAGACAACACGATGTTGTTTGTAAGGGACAAATTCATGACCTCTCAATACGAACTAAGATAAATAAAATGTGATAACTATTTGCTGCACCATACACTATTCCTTTCGGATTAAATAATCATGCTCCAAAAATAATGACCGAACGAGTGGAGAAAGGTAACAAATTCAAATAACATCTTCCACGAAACAGATAGGGGTGATATGGCGTAATTGAACAAAACCCACGTTAAAGCAGTAAGGAAATCTGCCGCGTGTTGCCAAAAGATGAGATCTAAAACAGTAAGATTACATTTAAGTTGGATTACCATCTATAAATATAGTAATAATGGAGAGCTCGTTAATATTTATGGTAAACACAATAAATAACACATTTCTTCACATAAGATGATTAACACATGTCACTCCGTGCTACAGAGCACAAATGGTTCAAATTTAGATCAAATCTAGAAGAAAAAAAAAGATAGCAAGGTGCAGAATCCATAATATTGAAGAACAGAAACTTCAGCACCACTAAAAAATCCTAGGAACAGAAACCCTAAAAAATCCGATCTCAGACCAGCTTCAAGTTTGCAAGTAAAACGCACAAAGCACGATGTATATCACAGTTTCAATCACGGTTAGCATATTTAGCCCTTTCCGCCAGATAAAAAAAATAAAAAAATTGGGAAATGCAATTGGGGATCGCACCATTAATCGACAGAACAATCATTACAAACACGCAAATAATCAACAGAAATCGCAAACTAATAACCCCAATTACACAGAGCAATATCTTCGCCATACCTAACAGTTGAGAAAACCCTTGAGGAATCGAATCACATTATCGGCGGTCGAGTACACAGCGAGAAAGATGGGGTTTGCTATTTATGTTTCTGGGTGGGGTATTGAAATTAATGGAATGCGAGAAAAACCTGAACCATAATGGAGATAAACGGCAAAAATGGGAGTTAAAAAAACCCGTGGAAGTAACCACGAGAAAGGGAAAAAGTTGAATCGGTGAAGGAAACCAAGAACAATCGAAGAAAAAAATTCTATGAGGCGAGTTTCCTTTGTGGTTTTCTCGGTGGGTGCTCTGTTCCGAATCTCCAACCGCAACAATGAATATGAGAGAGAGAAAGAAGAGAGAGAGAGAGAGAGAGAGAGAGAGTAATGAATATTTTAATTAATTAATGGGAGAAATTGAGGAATTGAAATTGCATTAAAAATAAATACTAATGACTAATAGAATGGTTGGTCACTTGGTTGGTTGGTTACAGGCTGCAACCCTACAGGACGATACATACATTTTCATGTATGTATACATGTGTATATGAGAGAGAGGAGAGAGAAGAGAGAGAGAGAGAGAGAGTAATGAATATTATAATATTTATAAAGTATGGTTAGATGTGGAGTTTCATTGGTTATGTATTCAATTAAGCGTGTCTGGTGGACATTGCTATTGCCAGGATAAGGTTCACTACTGAAAGGAAAGTGTGTGTGTGTAAACTATAAGTTGCAATTTAATTTTGGCTGTCACCCAAATTACCATTTTAATTGAAAATTAAAGTTATAATTCAATTCGTTTGAACTAAGCTAAACACCTTATTGATTGTTAATGTTGGATTTTGGGCCAAAACGAATTTATCAAGAATTCAACCCATTAATCAATTAATATCAAGTGATCAAACTGAAACAAATGACCCATGCGCATCTCGAACTTTGATATGGACCGTTCACTTTGATACTTCAATCTTGACCATCTTTCTAAGGTACTTAAACCTCCCCCCTCACTTCTCAATCGTAATTTCATCGGATATCTCTCCTCTTTGTAAACCCTAATCCCCGTTTCCTTATGAAGTCTCTTGTATTATAATTTAGAAATATGTATCCTATTTTGTTTGTCTTCGAGTTTCAGTGAGTGCCCAACATGTAAGAATATGAAAAATCTCCTAAACAAAGGCAAATCTGAAAGGACGAGACAAAGATGTGGCAAATGAGGAGTCGTCCGAAGTGAAGTTGATTATAATAGACAATTGAACTCCATGACGTAAAAAAAATCAAATTTGTAGGGTAAGATCGTGACTTAAAGCCAACGTATATGTTTTGTAAAACGCTTGAACCAGTGTGCTTAATTAATCAGCAAAAAATCCATTAAAAAATTCATTAAGAGCTACCAAACACAGCATAAGAATGCACGTCTCACATTTATAAACACGATTTAAGCATGGAAGAGTAGTTAGATGAGCACAAACTAACCTAACCTCTATTAACTTTTCAACTGTAGAGTTGGGCCCAATCCACTCGAGTATAGGCTATAACCCAAACCAATATATATGCACATGATGTAGCATTAATTAGGACATTAATTAACCCCAGCAGCATCGATAAATATGTTTCAGTTGCTGGGGCGAAATTGAGAATACGGTAAAGTATAAGGGCTGGAATTTCATAGACAGGTCCATAAGAGTGGTAGTATAATAATATTTCCCAACAAACTCCTAAGATTATATTTAGTAACTTCAAATTAAAGAAAGTTAGTAATGAAGCACACTTGCTCTTCTCAGAGTTTCCGAATTTTATGACCGACGTGATCTTTGAACGAAGACGGAGAAGAAGAAAATCCCGAACGATGAAGCTTAGCTTTGTCTTTATTGAATGCTTTATGAACTTCACCTTTGAGCTCCATAAAACGCACTCGTTTCATTCTTTGCTCTTCCAGTGTACCCTTCTCAAGGTAGAATGCATCCGGTAAGTCATCCTCCATAAATTTATCGAGCACCTGCGAGCAATTAGGGAAATATCTCCGCCCCAACTCAACTGCCACCACAATTTTCAACAAATCAGAGTAATATCATAATCTTTTACCATAACTCGGATGTTTCATTAGTTTCTTGAAATTTGATTGAATTGGTCTTAAGGTGATGTAGGCCACTAGTTAATTAATGAACATGCAATGATTAATTATACCTGTTCTGGAGAGGGTTTCAATTCTTGCAAGAAGCCTCTTGTTCTGAGTAATTGGTGACTCGTTTAAATCTACCTCCATCAAGTTCCCACTCGAGGACAAAAGTCCAGCTAGACTAGATGTCGCCTCGGCGTGCGCAATTTCCATAGCTAACTTAGCTTCCGTAGGGAAAAACATTCGCGCAAACGCCACTGTAAAACAAAAGGCACAAATATTGTTATTATTTATTAAAAAAATAAAAGCAATGCTGAATTTCGATATTATAATAGGCTATAAAAAAAACCTCTGTCTTCGAGGTAGAGCGATTTCATATGCAAATCATCGACCATTGCAATGGAGGATATAGACACATCCATAGAAATGGGATTCCTACGCATCTCTCTCTCCAAGACATCAATACAAATACGATCCTTGTTCGCTTCTTGTCCTTTCTCTCTCTGCATCTGATAATCCTTTGGCCTAGTCAGACTCCTACAAATAGTAACGGCATTTCGCCCCTCGAAAGTGGGGTCCGCTGCACATGCCCCCTTTGTCAGAAGTGAAACTATAATCGAGGGTTCTTTTCTTCTAGCAGCAACGTGAAGAACCGTATATCCTCTGTTATTCCGTAAGTTGACATCAGCTAAACCTAGACTAAGAACCTCCGTTACTGTCTTTGGATCACAATAGGCAACAGCATAATGGAGAGCATATGCCTCGTCTAGGGTTATATCAGATTCGGTTAGTAGAAGTCTGACGAGCTCAACATCTTCAGAGTCCAATGCCTTGTGTATTCTCTTAACCCGTTTCTCGTGCAATGGGGAAACGGGGCCCGTTTTGTTTTCTTGTTCTGATTGAGATTTGAGACAGAGCGAAGCAATGTCTTGTGCTACAATAGGTGGGAGCTCTTTCTCGATGGAGATGGCTTCGAAATCTGATCGAGCTACTCTGTGGACACACTCGTTGAGAAGCTGACTTAGTTGACAATCAAAGGCTACCTTAATAATGGGGACTACATCTTCCACAATGGCCTTCCCAACTAAATTAAGAAGCCGCCGCTGCATAGTAAATAATGAAATACGAAATTATAAAAAAAAGTTAAAAACCCTTCTATATGCATAATCTTAGAGTAATATCTATTACGTGCATAATATCTCGTAACTACAGAGATTAATGAAACGGGACAGTTAGATGAGCATATTCAATGCATAAAAAAAGGACTACCTGAAAAAGTGAGACGAGCTCCGAAACCTGAAAAATTGTGGAAGCATACATTAATTCGACAACAAAGTCGATAGCAGGTCTACACGAATCATGGGGGCAAACACAATTGACACATGTCGACACCTCAAGTGGAGATGGTCTAAGCTTCCCCGTATACAAGTAGTTCAAGAATATAACAAAAGCCTCATATCCAACCTTGCCATAAGGCAACAAATCCACCATACAATACTTCGGCTTCCCTTCTTTTCCGACACTACCCTTGTCTTTTCGGAGAAGTTCATCGAAGAATTTACTCCTAGCGGCTAAAATGCATCTATGTACGCCAACACTGGTTTCTTCTACTACTATATCTGCATCGGTGAAATCACTACCGGACTCGCATAACAGCTGTCCTAGACTAGAGCTCAGCTTACTTAAACTGATGGTTTCGAGATCTAACACTGCTTCAGATCCAACAGAAGTATGGACTTTATTGACCGTTGATTCATTGGATATATGAGATGGTGAGGTAAAACTGATGGATGATGATGGCTCACCAGAATTTTCCATTACAGCAAATATATTTATCACTTTAACCAAAAATAAATTGGCTTATTTCTTGTCATGTTAGCATACAAAATCATGCAAACTAGGAACAACACCACCCCAAACTTCTGAGAGCCAAATTCAAATCATACTAGAACCAAAAAAAAAAAACACTTCAATAATTCAGAGAATTACGAATCTGCCATGTTATTGGCTTGTCGGCATAACAATATCATGTTCCTGAAAAATTAAATCAAACACTTTAAACCAAATCGGCTCACCCAAATTTACGGAAGCACAAAATAATATATTAAAAAAAAATTGAAAATTTAAAAAACAAACTTACCAAATTCAGCCTGTGAAGAAATTCCGGCGGAGAATTTGCAATTACAGAGCAGGAACACAAACATTGAACGAGATCGAAACAGTCGCTATCCAGCAGAAGAGAGGGTTAGAAATCAAAGGGGGAAACAGAAAAACCAGAGAAATTGCAGTGCTGAAACTGGTCCCACGTTGGGTTTAATGAAATTTCATGATGGAGAATCAAAGAAAGTAGAAGACTGCATCATTTTTTTATTTTTTCTGTAACGACTATTCTTTTGGGTAGGATATTTGTGCCCGTTGGTATACGGGTCCGGGTAGCGCCCATATCCGCCACTCCACGGGAATATTTGTGTCTGCATATAATAATAACCCGACCCGTTTGAACACGAGACCCTGGGGGATAAAATCGGATCGTGGGCCGGGTTTTATATATTTGTATTATTTATTTATGGGTGGATGGGATATGATTAAGAAATAAGAGGGTATTTATTACGTGTAAACGTGAAGTAATATTGATGACGGTTACGATGTGTCACGGCCCTTTTTGTCGGCTTCCGCTCACGTCATACATGACGTCACCCTCTCGCTTCTTTAAATTTTCTTTTTTTAATACTTTTCAGGTTAAATAAATATTTGGTTCAGTGGTTGGAGAAATTTAAAATTTCGGCTTCAAGTGTTATTAGTTTAATAGTGGTCCTCCTCTGTTCCCTTTTAAGTGTCGTTTTTAGCTTTGCACAAGGATTAAGAAGCTCAATAAATGTGTCTTGATTTTAGATAAAATATATTAGAAAGACTAAAATAACCTTGATTATTTAATAATGTGATAAGAGAGAGTTAATACTTGTAGTTGAATTAATAAGGTTAAAACAGGAAAAAATGCATTTAATGCAGTATTGAAAATCTAAAGTGATAGATAATATGGAACAAAAATATTTTTAAAAAGAGACAGTTATTGTGGAACAGATGGAGTAATTAATATTATTATAGATCGTGAGTGGCTGAATAAAAATATGTCCCTACTAGTAAAATATTAAATTTAAAAACCGTCCTGATAAATCCACGTGTAATTAATTGAACGGTGTGAGTTTCTTCTAAAAGTCAGCAAGACATTTAATACTGGGCTGGATGAAAATTGCAAGCCCATATTTGTCACTAGAATCATAAATTGGGTTTTGGTCCAATTGATTGGAATTTTAATAATTAACTATTTCCAGAGATTAGAATGTATTTATTTAATTTCTAAAAAGATATGAATAAAAAGGGCAAATGAGAGGTGGAGAGAAAATAGAGAGATGTGATGCTTATCAAATTAAAATTAAAATTAAAATTAAAATTAAAACCAATCACGTTACAACCAGTTGTTCTTTGTCATTTCTTCCTTGACTCAATTCTTTCACATGATGTCAATTTGTTTTGAATTCCCTGTACAGGCTGTACGTACGTCTTTTATAAATCTTCATCCAACGCTCCACACACTCCGAACCTAATATTCCGGATGCATCCTCACCGTTCATTTTATGTTCAATAGTGATAATGTAGTAGTAGCATAGAATTTTGCAGCTCATTAATTAATTAATTAATTAATGATTATTCACTCACAATTCAGTCTGTCCTTATTATGCTAAAAGTGGATATAATCAATATTGCCTTTCACTTCTCAACATTGAATTATTTGATTCCACAAAATAATGGTGGGGGCGCAGGGGGGGCGGGGGGGCGGGGACCCCTACTCAACTACATGAGGGTGTCACATGCACTAAAGCATCAATTCTTATTTCTTATTGACAGCCAAATCAATATGACTGACTGACTCATGAAAGAGCAGATATATATATATTCCCACCATTTATTTTTCTGACCATTTTAACCCTCCTGAATTTTGCTACTAAATTTCTGCATAAATGGGACCAACAAAATTCGGTACGTAATTATGAGAAGTAAAAATAGTAAAAGGACTGGAAAATAAATAAAAAATTTGGGAAAAAATGAAGTAAGCAGCCAGCAGCAGAAAATCTTTGTCCTTATATTTCTGAAACTTCAATCAACTCTCAGACACACACACTTTTTTGTCTCTTTGCTGCTGTCTTTTAATTTATTTGTTATCTTTTTCTACACACACTCAAAAAGAAAATGTCAGTTGAAAAACTTTACACATTCATTCACTACTCTCCTCTGCTCCAATGGCTTCCCTCCACAAACTTCTCTCCCAAGAAGGATTCGAGCGCCGGATATCACGAAAACCAAACAAGAAAGTCAAGTTCAAAGATGATTCAAATTCAATCACTCTCCCTATTTACATCTGCCACGATCGAAGAAGCTTCGATTCTTCCTCCTCTAAGCCGAGGACCGGTCGAGCACCTTCGTTTAAGGCCTCTTCCGTCGTTTCGTCGAGAAAAGAATACTCCGACTCCGGTTCCGAAATGTCTAATACGAAGACGACGACGAGAAGACACGACGAACCGGCAGCCATTGATGACGTGGCAATCAAGGCCATGGTTTCTATCCTTAGTGGCTACGTCGGCGGGCAGTATTCGAAAAACAAGAATTTCCGGCTAAGTGTTAGAGAAAAGTGCATTTCTTGCTTTGAGAAAAGAAATAGCAGCAATAAAGAGATTCTCTCTCACATGGAAATGGGAATTCAAAACATCGAAAAATTAGTCGAAATTCGAGACGTAAAAAGAGAGATTGATTTAGATTTAGACACACTCCAGAAAACAATCAAGATTTTGAACATAGTGGCAGCCTTGGATGACTCGTACATCTCTTCGTGCGCGCATCTCTACTTATCAATCGTGTACAAAATCGCGAAAAACGACAAGATTTCGGCGAGGCATCTCTTGCAAGTGTTTGTTGATTCGCCGTTTCTTGCTCGGACACATTTGCTACCTGAATTATGGGAGCATTTCTTTCTTCCACATCTTCTCCATCTCAAGATTTGGTTTCATAAAGAGCTCGATTTTCTCGCGAGTTCGGGATATTACACCGATAAGGAGAAACATTGTAAAGCTTTGAACAAACAGTATAACGAACAAATGGATAACGGTACAATACAGTTTGCTCAATACTATAAGGATTGGCTTAAAGTTGGTGCTCAAGCACCTTCGATTCCTTCCGTTCCTTTGCCTTCGAAGCCGCGTTCGAGACGAAAATCGGCTGATTCTTCTTCTTCTACTTTGTATCACTCTGTCACCAATAAATCGCTGTAAGTTTTTCGAATTCAGAAAAAAAAAAAAAAAAAGGAATGTTCTGTTTCTGTCATTTTAATGCTCTAATTCTTTTTAATTTCCAAATCTTAACAGGTATCATGCCGTTTTCGGGCCCGTTTTGGAGGTAGAAGATATCAAGCATTGCAATCATGTTGAAGTGAGTAAAATCTCGAATGGCATTTCTGTTATTTTTCTCTTTCAGAAAGATTGTGTTGTAATAATTATAGCCCCTTGTTCATTTTTTTTTTGACAGAAGAAAGCTGTTATTGTTGATGAAAGAAGACATTCGAGTCAAAGTTATAGTCGAACGTCGAAACCCGATTTATTTCCCGACGGTCAAAAGTCCGATTACTTTCGGTTTTTAGGCTGCCGTACCGAACCAACAGAGTGTTTATTACATGCAAGCTATAATAGTACATCCAACAATGAGAAAATCAAGAACGGTGAAGACGATATAAACCCTTTTCAGCTAAACGAAATATCGAAAGCCATTGCCACTATTTGCTCATCCGAAAGCTTGACCGATTGCGAAGCCGCAGTTCGTGCAGTTAGTGAAGCTTGGCTAAATTCTCACCGAGAAAAAATAATCGAAATCTCACTCTCGCAGGCATCGGTGCTTATACAAGGCATAATGGAGGTACTCTACGTGTCGAACGACGACGAGATTCTCGAGCTGGCAATCTCGATCCTGGCGGAATTAGCGACAAAAAACGAGACGAATAGACAATGCATATTGACTTCGGATCCACAGCTAGATGTTTTGATACGGTTACTGAGAAGCAGCAACTTATTCTTGAAAGCTGCTTCTTTACTCTACATAATAAAACCGAAGGCGAAACAGATGATTTCGATGGAGTGGGTTCCGTTAGTTCTTCGAGTATTGGAATTCGGTGATCAGTCGCAAAGTTTATTTAGTGTGAGGTGCTTCCCTCACGAGGCAGCTTATTACTTCTTGGATCAACTTCTGACAGGTTTTGATGAAGACAAGAATTTGGAGAATACTAAACAGGTAATTTCACTTGGTGGGTTGAGCTTGTTGGTTAGAAGGATGGATTCAGGCGATGGGTTTGAAAAGAGCAAAGCGGCTTCTGTTCTTTATTACTGCATTCGCGCCGAGGGGAGCTGCCGGCATTACGTGGCGAAAAACTTGAAGAAAAGTACGATCTTGTCCCTGCTGGTGAAGCAGACGAATTCTGATTTTGCATTACTGACAGAATTGTTATTGCTCAACAGGTAGTAAAATAAAAACCCTTTTCGAAAAATGTAATCTTTTTTAGGGTTTTAATTTATGTTTTGGGGGTAATGACAGGAGAAGCAAGAGAGAAGAGTTCATGAGAGGATTGATGAAGGGATGGGAAAGCTTAAACACACTGCACATTTTGTTGTGCCGTCTTCAAAAGGCCCGGCCCGAAGAACGGCCCGTTATTGCTGTCATTTTGCTCCAGCTAGATCTCATGGTTTGTACACAAATTTGATCATTTTGAAGTTTTGTTTTATGAGAATATTCTCCTCATCATGGATCGAGTCTTTTGTGTGTGTTTTTTTTTCTAGGGAGATTCTTTGGAATACAGTGTGTACAGAGAAGAGGCGATAGACGCAATTGTGGAAGCGCTTGACTGTCAGGTGTTTGATGAAATGACTCAGAAGGTTTTAGCAAGATCTCTCTTCATTTTAGGGGGGCACTTTTCTTACACCGGTGAACCAGAGATTGAGAGATGGCTGTTGAGAAAAGCAGGCCTTGAACAAATTTTGGTATGCCTCACTCATATATATGTATGTATATTCAAATATTAAATCACTATAATATATATATAATTTGCAGAAGGAAGAGGAAAAAAACACAGAAAATTGGGAGAGAAAAGCAGCAGTAATCTTACTTAGAAGCGGAAACAGAAGATTACTCAGTGCTCTTTCGGATGCAATAGCCAACGGCATTCCGTGCCTTGCACGTGCAAGCTTGGTTACTGTTTGCTGGATTAGCGACGGTTTCGATTCCGTCGGAGATAAAGAGCTTCAGTTTGCAGCATGCTCGATTTTAGTGCCGCAATTGATCGAGTACTTGAAAGATAACAACGATGTCGAGGAAAAGATTCTAGCATCATTTTCGCTGCATAATTTAACAAAGGGCACAGGTAATAATCATCGACAGTTTGCTGAAAAGAACATACATTAGTTTCTGGTTAACTGAAATTGTTGCTTCACTAATTTGTTTCATAAATATATATATATATATATATAAATCAGATTATATTATACGACAATCCGAGTTGGAAAAAGAGGTTCTCCTGAGTTGCATCGGCAAACTCGTTCGAGTTACATGGACAGCTAAGGAGCTGATTTCAGTTATTACGACCGTTGATTAGATATTTGCATATACCATTCATTATACAGAGTGTATGTTACTACTACAAGTAAATAAATTAAGCATGTACAGGATTGTATTTTTGTTACAATTATTCTTTCTTTACTGTATTTTTGTAATGGATATATATTTCAATTTTGATATTTATATCTTCATCTGAAACAGTAATGAATTCAATATTTGTTTCCAAAAATGTTATTTGTATTTTTCGAAAATCCTAAAATAAAAAATAGTAAAAATAAAATAAAAAAACTCAGAAAATATTCAAACAAAGGGTCACACCTTTTATTCAACACACAAAATTCCAGACTGAAATAGAAAATACAATGACAAACAAATCCACACTCACACAGTAAACAACACAACACAGTAGAAACAAACAACAACAAAAAAAAAAACAAACAAACAACACACAGTAGAAACAAACAACAAAAAAGCATTAAAACACTGATGGAGGCCGATTCATGTTAGGTTTTCGAAGAAAGAAGAAAAACATGAATCAAAACCCCATTAGATTCACGCACAAACTCCTTCACTATCCATAGCAAAAGGAGATTGAACATGCGAAAATGGCCACTGTATTATCATAACACCTTGGCCAAAGTCGAGGTCCCCACTCAAACGAAAAACATAAAGTTCTCCAAATCCGGGTGCAGGCTGTAGAAACTCTGGTCAAACGCAGCATTAGACGAATCATATTGATTCTCCATAGCAACCTCTTGGAACATTCTTCCCCTGTAAGCAACCAGGTCAGCATAGTAGACAGGTGGCACAAGCGAAACGGGTTTAGTGCACCGAACAAATGTGTAGCACATGTCGTTTATAAGCTTCTGCAATTGGTCAGAAGTAAACGAATTCTCATCCCAAAGCACATAGTAATGAGTAGGCTTGCTCGTTCCAAGAGCTCCATAGTGGCTGCACAGATAAAAGTCAAAATCGAACGGATGCACAATCCTCGTATCCACAACAGTTCCAGGAGGTACATTTCCGATTCTACCCCCGCTGTTTCCATTATCGATAAAAAGCCTCGTCTGGTGACGCTTCTGAGCAACAACGAGAGTGATCGACGGCTGATAATCACCGTCATAAATCGAGTTCTTCAAATCCAACAGCTCCTGACTTAGGACCATTTCGAACTGCCCCTCACTAACACCATCACGAAACACCACGATTCTCTTCGGCTTGACTTTATTAAATTTGGCGTATGTGTTGACCAAATCCAAACACATTGCTCCGAAATTTTCGATCTTTTCACAGCGGTGTTTCTGTGGGCTAACTCTGGCTGCATATTTATTTGCAGCTGGCCAGTTAACGGTCGCCACAACTGCAGCTATGGAGGGGCAAGACGAGTTCATAGGTGCAGGATGGTTCACGTCAGCTCCTATAAACATCACATGATCTCTCGCATCGAAATGGGTAAAGTTTCCCGCCACTTCGAAATTATTGCCACCTAATTTAGCATTGATTTTCAGACAGAGGTTGGCAAAATACTGGTCCTGCCCCTGCGGTTTGCTGGCAGAACCGGAAAGACAACACTGAGTCACCACACCGAGTTTTGTCTCGGAAACCCACTTGAGATTCTTGTAGCCCGGGTCCTTTTTGGTCATTACACAAACAATCAACTGCAACTTCCCTTCACTGATTTTGTTCGATTCTTCCATAATGCCTTTGAGAAGCTTTTCGACTCTGTTGATGGAAGACAGGTCAGACATTCGAGCCAAACGGTACACAACAGGTTCCTCAATGCGGTTACCGAGGCTTCTGCACCGGCCAATCAGATTGCTGATAAAAGTGTGTTCTTGCAGCTTGTATCGATCGCCACCTGTTAAATCTAATAGAGCCCAACGCTCGATTGGTTTTGCATCGACAAAAGATTTTCCGAGAAGGTTCCACTGACACTTTACTGCGTCCACTTTGACGGGTCGTGGAGCTCCTAATTTCAAATCGGGCGAACCGATAACACGGCCTGAAACCTTTGTCATGTTTCTATCAACCTGAAATCCAAAATTTCTAGCAACATCCCTGCAACAAGCAAGCAAAAAAATCTAGCGAACTTTGCATACCAGAGACTAATAATTAATGAAAGGAAAAAAATATTAAAATGACATACCCGCAAGGTCCATCATCACTCCGCACCATCTCATTTATTGTGTCCCTTCTGTCACCAGGATCCGCAAGTGATATGTTTTTCAAAAGCACAGCCGTGTTTCTGTCCAGATTCTCCTTCGGGTACCTCTGCCCTTCGACTAACACACAGAACTCCATCGGTACTTTGTTCGACTTACTACCTTTGCCAAGTTCCAAGCAAGGTATATTCTGGTACACAATATCCTTACCCCATTTTTCCTTGAAATACTTAACAAGGCTAGTTCTTTGAGGAGGGTTCTTGCCTTCCACATCAACAAGATCAAAGTAAATATCACAGGTGTCCTCTTCACTTAGCCCTGCAACAGTATACTTTTGCTTCGTGCGACGGTGTGTAACCGTCACTTTCAACCCTCTCAAAGCATCGTTGACAGCTCGTCGTGACTTTTTTACATCTTGCACTTGAAACCCTTTAAAATGCTCTTTGAGAAACTCCATCACTGGCCACGGCTTTCGAAATGCTAAAACAGAGTAGTCCAAACACAGAGCAAGACCCTGCAAAGTAGGCTTCAAACTCTGTTGCAACCCTCTGTATGCAGCGAGTCCGTTACGAAAGTCGTCACGGCTCCGGAATTCGGGAGAGAAAAAACTTCGACCGACTGTGATTCTCTTTCTAGAAGGATTCTCTTTCATTACCAAGTCCATCCCTTGTAATATATCACGAGGAACATAAGAGAGGTTTCCTCTAAGGTAGTCTCTCAGCTTCGATAGCTTCAGTTCGTTCACAAGTTTGATAACGAACGTATACGAGCCGCTCCTTACATCTTCACCTTGAGAAATATCCACCTGAAACTGTCCTTCACGCAAAGGAACTGCACTGAAGATGCTCTTCTCGCCATCATAAGCTGTCTTCAATTGGTCCTCACCGGAAAATAACTGGTCTTTGATGAAACGCAATTCGGATTTTCTGAGTTTCTTCTTAGTGAGCTTACTGTCGTTAGGCGATGACGACATGGGCTTCACATCGACATCGTAATGGAAAATGGTGTTCTGTGGATTGAAATTGACCGGAAAATGATTGGCAAGAAGTGGGATGGACCTGATGGAAAGCATCCCACCTTTATCAGGCCTTTTGATTGGCTGAATCTGATTATCTTTGTTTTCGGATGAAGATGACACGGGCTTCTCTTCTGAAATCTTGACCTTTTGAATGTCAAGATCGACTGTGAATTGCAACGGAATCAAATCAGAATTGTACATTTTACTAGCAGACATTGAATGTCATGAAATCAGAATTGTACATTTTACTAGCAGACATTGATCACAGACCATTCAAGAATACAGACGTATAAAGATAATTCATAACCGTCAATAATTCAAAAAATTCCAAACAAAAAATCACAACAATTAAGCGAAATAAAACAGATATGTAAAAAGGAGAGAAAGGAAATGATCCATACCAGCAGATGGCTGCGGAGGCGTATGACGTGGAGGAGATGGGCCCAACGGCCTCTGAGTCCACGGGTTTGGTCTTGCAGCACCGAGGTGTTGAGGTTGTTGCGTCGCCTGAAATGGGGGAGGAGTAGGAGAAGGTGGGCCCCGCACCCACGCGTTGGGTCTTGCAGTAGCAACGCCAACGACGGGTTGATGAGGCAGTTGCGGTGCCGTCGTCTGCGGCGGTCTGTAGCCGGACGCATGGTGAGGTTGTTGGGGCTGATTCCCCTGAACTGGAGGCCGGCTGTGATTTTGAGAACCCCGCCCTCTTCCGCCGCTCTCTTGATTCTGGTAATTCCCACGGCCACGACCACGGCCGCGTCCATAATTGTTGTTTCTGCTGCTATCCATTGCTTCGGAGAATAGGGTTATTACAGAAGTTGCAGTATTGATTAGAGAGAAGAAAACGATAAACAGTTGGCTATTAATTTAGAGAGTAGATATGGCATGTGTGAGTGTGGGTTGTTAGTTATACATATATATATATATATAGATTATAGATATATATATGTAATGTATGTATAGTATGATTAAAGAAAGACCATAGAAGGAGAAGACTTCTTCTTTACTTAGCGAGCAAGTGAAAACAAAATTATAAAATAATATAAAATAAAAGGAGAGCAGCATCAGCAAGGAAGGAATTTGGAAAGCCCAAAGACCGTCGTCTAGTACGTTCCAGAAGGATCGAAAATTAAATCTTTGTTTTTTTATTTTTAAATTATTTTCTGGAATTTTTATTTTACACGTCAGCATATATAAAAAGCGAAAACAAAAACTTCTTCAGTGACATTCTTTAGATTCATACACAAACTCAATTCTCACAAAAACAATATAATCTTCCTCAAACAAAGAACATGATATTCTGAAGATCCGGATGAAGGTTGTAGAACCTTCTATCAAATGCAGTAGTACAATTCGACGACGACGAAAACGATGAACGAGATTCAAACTCCTTCGCCACCTCCTGAAAAATACGACCCCTGTAAGCGACCAGGTCAGCGTAGTATACAGGTGGCACCAGCGAAACAGGCCTCGTACTACGTGCAAACGTGAAGCATAAATTATATATAAGCTTCTGTAATTCATCGGACGTGAACGAATTTTCGTCCCACAGTACACAGTACCTCACCGCCTTGCTAGTCCCAATCCTTCCATAGTGACTGCAGAGGTAAAAATCGAACTCAAACGGATGGACAATCTTCGTGTCTACAACGGTGCCAGGTGGCACATTCCCAGTGGCCCCACCATCCAGAACATTTTCGAGAAAGAGACGAGTCTGGTGCCTCTTCTGAGCTAGAACAAGAGTGATTGTTGGCTTGTAATTCTCATCGCAGACAGACCTTTTTAAGTCGGATAATTCTTCGTTCAGTACCATATCGAATTGCCCATCGCTCACACCGTCTCGAAAAACAACAATCTTCTTCGGTTTGACTTTGTTGACCTGGAAATAAGTGTTGACGAGATCGCGGCACATGGAACCGAATTCGAGAATCTTCTCGGTTCTGTGGTCTTGAGGGCAAACTCTTGCGGCATAGCGGTTCACTGCAGGCCAGTTCACTGTAGAGACAACTGCTGCTATGGATGGAGTTGTTGATTTCTTCGAGACTGGATGGTTCACATCGGCTCCAATGAACATAACATGATCTTCCTCCTCGAAATCAGCAAGTCTCTGAGTCAACTCAACATTACTTCCTCCGAGCTTTGCATTAATCTTGAGACACAGATTTCCGAGAAACTTTTCGTCTCCTCTGAATGCGTGACCAGACAGGCAACACTGAGTCACTACACCAATTCGTGTTTCCGACACGAACTTAAGGTACTTGTAGCCGTGATGTTTTTCCGCCATTACGCATATTATTATCTGTAATCTATTCGGATTTTTTCTGCTGGCTTCCTCGACGACACTTCGGAGAAGTCCTTCTAGCCTGTTGACCGAAGAGAACTCGCGCATGCCGGTGAAATGGCAAAGTAGAGGCTCGTCCATATAGATACCTAAACTCGTGGATCGGTTTCTCAGATTCCTGATGAAGTCTTTGGCTCTCGAAGAATCAGAAGAGCTGAAGTCGATCAAGGCCCATCTTTCGATTTGTTTGCCCTCCACAACAGAGTTTTCAGCTATGTCCCACTGGCATTTCTCGTTTTCAACTCTTACTATATCAACACTACCATCTGGAGCACCAAAGTTCAAATCGGGTGGAGATATAACTCGACCTTCGACAGATGTCATGTTCTTATCGATTCGAAGTCCAAAATTTTGAGTGACATCCCTGCGATAAAAATTAAAAATAAAAATTATTAAAAAGAATTAAAAAATTCCAATAGAAAATAAATTACGCAACTCACCCACAAGGTCCATCGTAAGCTTGCATCGTCTCGCAGATTGTTTTTCTCCTTTCTGGCGGCGAAGCCAGGCATTTTGCATCGTATTTATCCTGCGAAACTTCATCCAAAAGCTCTTTTCTGTAGCGTTGTCCGACAGACAAGATACAGAATTCCATAGGTACGTGATTCGTCCGATTATTTCTGCCAAGAATCAAGCAAGGAATATCCTGGTACACAATGTCCTTGCCATACTTATGCCTGAAGTACTGCACAAGGCTGACGTTAACAGTCGGGTCCCTCCCTTTCGGGTCGACAAAATCGAACCAAAGATCACGGGTGTTTTTGGCAGTCAAACCAGCTATGGTGAACCGCTGTTTCGTAACACGGTGAGTCACTCTAACCGTCAATCCTTTCAACGCATGTGCAACTCTCCGCCTCAAATTGAAACCGAGGTACATTCCGTCGAATTCAGGAATATTCTCTTTAAGGAAATCCATAACTGCCAACGGCTTACGAAACGCCAAAACCGAGCTGTCGAGGCACAAGGCCAGACCCTGCGACGTCGGTCTTAAAGTTGATTGGAAGCCTCGATACGCTGCAACACCGTGCTTAAAATCATCTTCCACGTTAAAACTGGAAGAGTAAAAGTGACGATCGATAGAGATTCTATGCCTAGAAGGATTCTCCTTCATCACAAGATCCATCCCTTGCAGTATATCACGAGGCACGTACGTCACCTTCCCGCTTAAATAGTCTTCCAGCTTGGAAAGCTTTAGCTCATTCATTAACTTGATTGAAACGACATACGTGCGAGTCAACAGATCTTCAATATCGCAGAGTTCTACATTGAATTGACCGGTGGGCAGCGGCACTGCACTGTAGAGATTCTTTTCACCGTCATATGCGGTCCGATTCAACGGAAATCGAGCTGGATCATCGAGGCAGAGTTTGTCTCTGATCAAACGTAGGTTCACCTTTTTCTTCGACTTTTTCGCTGGTCTTTTTCCATGAGATATCACTTGTTTAATATCGAGATTATAATGAAATATGGTGACTCTAGGGTTGAACTTGACAAGAAAATGGTTTACTACAAGGTTAACTGGTCTTCCCCCATGTGTACTGCCCACAGGCCGCTTGGCAGGCAAAATTTTGTTATCGGTAACTTCTGGAAGACCTGATTGAGGCTGCTTCGATTCCGATTTTTTCGGCAATTGACAGCAAAGTTTGCTAGCATCTGTATAATCAGAGCAAACTAAACACAGTTAAGTACACCAAATAAAAAATTCAAACAAACAATAACAGGAAACATTATAAAAATTAAATAAAAATAAAAAAGTTTGAACATTAAAAAAATTAAAAAAAATAAAAAAAATCCCATCACATTAATATTAAATTACTAGAAACGAAGAAATTCAGTGTATATTTTTCTCTATGTAATGCCAAAAGAAAGCATGGGAAAAAACCATATACTTGAAGGAAGTTGACAAGTCCTCTGATCCCACGATCTCCGGTTGGCATCCGTTCCACTACAGCCTACGACGGCCCGACGCTGAAGTGATGGCGGACGGGCCCCACCGTCGCCGCTACTCTCCTGGTTCCGGAGGTGCGGCGGCCTGTACTTCCCCGACTGCTTCTGCGCCGGTGGTGGCTGGTTGTGGGGAAAAAGAAAATCTAGTGTTAGGGCTAGTGGTATTAGCAGAAGCAAAAGGAAAGGATACTCACTCACCGCCGCTGGGGGTTGTCGATCGCCGTCCATTCTAGTCGGAGAATGAGTGTCAGTCTGTCAGAGTTAGGGCGATTACAAATAATTTTTTTAATGACCAAAATGGGCTTACATCGATTTGTATCAGTAGGCGTTGCATAAGGGGCAAAAGTGGGAGACGGCAATTTTTTTGTTTTTTTAAATTGATGGTAAGTTTTTTCTCAGTTTTTAATTGGGGTAAATTACACCCGCTAAAATAACTTTAAGTTCCTTATGGTATTAAATATTACAACCATACCACTAAAATAATTAACGTAGCCAAATTTCATACCTTGGGGACCGACATACACTATATTTTTCTCCACTCCCTGAAACTAATAGTTCGTTAGAACCCTAATGGAATAAAAGTTTCTAACAGTATTTTAGGGTGATTGTAGTTACCGATACTATAGGGACCTTAAAGTTATTTTAACATACCTCAGGGGTGTAGGTGTAATTTACTCTTTTTAAGTTTTAAAAATGTATGACAATTTTGTTATGGCTGCGGCTATATGCAATACTAATTTCACTTGTGCAAGACCAAATTAAAGAAAGATTTCAAAAGATTCCATTTTATTAAGATGAAATGACAAATATACCCATAAATTAAATTGACTTTTGTTTGCTCATGCAAGACCAAATAACAAATAATAAAAAAATATGAAACAACTAAATTTCGACATTAAGGTGTCGAATATATGTTCATAAATTCGACACCTTAATGTCGAAATTTAGTGTATTTGGCCTAATTTGCTAATAGTTGAATTTCGACACTAAGGTGTCGATTTTGTACCAAAAAATCGACATCTCAATGTCGATTTTTTCCTATAAAATTCGACATGTACATGTCGACTGCGTCTGCGCGGGATTTTTTTTGGAAAAATGATATTCTAGCTAAAAAACAGATAAATGCATACTTTCTTGAGTTTTTCCACCGTAGATTCTTCTATTTTGATGTCTTATGACTCCATACTTGCCATCTTTGTAAGATTTGTTGAGTTTTGATGATTTTGAAGGTTTAGGTTTTCTGGGTTTATAGATGAGGAAGAAGAAAGGTTTTGTTGGAGAAGATGAGAGTTGGTCTTGTGGTTTTGTGATAAGATTTTTTTTGTTTTTGAGTTTTTTATATTGCACATTTGGAATTTTCTATTTTTTAAACAAGTAAGGGTATTATAGTATTTATACATTGAAAAATTTAATTTGGTCTTGCACAAGTGGAATTAGTCTTGCATATAGCTGCAGCCTTTTGCTATTTCAATTTAATTTTGCCTTCCATTCTCAGTTTTTACTTCTCTCCTCTCTCTCTCTCTCTCTTCTCTCTCTCTCTCTCTCAGAGAGGAATGCACCAAAACTTCCAATAACAATAATGAAACATGTTTTTTTTTTGTTTCCCTTTTGACTTCTTCCCTTCTCCAAACTGTTTATCAAGAACAATAAACAAATCTTGATCCACAAAACACACAATACATTACAAAAAAAAAAAAGAAAAAAAAAACTATTATGATCAAGGAGTGAGTGTGTGAGTGAGGTACTCTTCACTGGATATAGTCTTCGTAGTAATTATCACTAATCACAGACACAAATCTTTCGAGCCAGGGCAGCTGATGCAGATCCTTCATCGCCTCAGCATAAGAGTCCGTACAGCTCTGTGGAGAAGATCGATCGTGATCCTCACCATAAGGATTATGGTGGTCCGTCAAACTGAAACCACCGGAAAGAAACCTCTGGATGAGTGCCAGCTGCGATCTCTCCTGCTCCGAATACGCATCCATTGTCATCATTGGAAGTGATTCAAACGAGTCCCACGACCACTGTTCCAGCTGCTGCGTCGGATGATAACTCCCCAATTCTTCGGTATATTCTTCGGAATATTCCTCGTCCCAAAACGCACACTGACATGTCTGTTGCCCCTCCACGTATTCCGCCCCACACGAATAACAGAACTCGTGTCCACACCTGTGCACACAGATAAGGGCAAAACTGGAATCATCTTCCACAAAACTAAACGATTTCTATACGATTATATATGCTTTTCAATTAATTTAAAAAAAAAAAAAAATTGGTTTACCTGCATGTCATGTGGTAGCAGCCATGAGCAAGCTCGATCATACTCCGGCACTGTTGGCAACGCCTCCACCTTTTATTCTGCGCCAGCCGATGCAAAGTTAAATCAGAAGCATCTCTCTCCTCCAACGGAATGTTCCGGTACTCCTGACACGTCATCGAACAATGCCAAGGTACTCCACAGTCCACACACACGAAACCCTGACAAACAGGGCACTCCACGCAGCAGTTGTCCGAGTGACTCGATGAACTAGCCCTAGCAGACAACAAGCACTCTTTAGGATCAAACAATACCGAGCAACTCGGATAAGGACAGTAAATGCTGTTCGATTTGAGAATGTTTGCTTCGGCAAGTGCTCTCTCTAGAGACTCGTACGACGAAACGGGAAGAAACGACCTGCATTCGGAGGCGGAAATAGAGTACTTGCATTTCAATTGTGGGCATTTGATGGGGACCTGTGTAGAGTGTAGTTTGCCCTCCACGTAGGTTTTCATGCAGTGGGAACAGAATTTGTGGGAGCATTTGATCGTGAGCATCATCGATGAGAGCTTTTCATCGCAACAGATTGAGCAGGTTTCTGTTATTTCGTCTCCTTCGGTAGGAAGCGAGACAATACCCACTGCCACTTGTGCTAAATGCAGCGCCTTCTGTAGGTCAACGGAAGGGACTAATTTCAAGACGAAAGTTTCCATCTCACTTGCTTGTTCCATGATTCTTTGCTTCAGTGCCAAAAGAAGAGGACTTTCAGCAACCTCGTCGTCTTGGATAATCTGAAAAAAAAATCAAGAAACAATTTTTAACATCATGGCTTAGAGGGTTCATTAGCAACATTGGAAAATTAAACAACGGTTGAAGAACGAAATTTTAGGGCACAAATAAAAATCGGTCACATTGCACAATAACAACTAACAGAAATAAGTTATCAATTTCAAGAAACAAGTTTTAATAAGTATATAATACACCAATTCAGATTAAGGGCACATTAGCAACGATTCAAGAACGAATTTTTAGGGCAGAAATTCCCCACCTGATTATGCAAGATTTCTGAATCCGTAAAGGCGAAAACCTGGCTGATGTCATTTTGTACAGCCACAGATAAACCATCAAGCAAAGCTAAGTAATCCGCAACCAACTCTTCGACATAGAAATCGAGCTTCTTTTGAACTCGAATAGGAGAAGCATTATTACATGACCTCTCCATAACAACACCAACTCCAGAAATCCTAGTACCGGAATCTCCGGGGCCAGTAACAGAAACACCCTTGAAATACATCTTAGCAAAGTGTTCATCGAGATCGCAATCTGAGTCGATATCGGAACATTCTTCTTCTCTCTCCTCTAATTCATCCTCGTAATCGCAACAACAGCTTATGAAGTCTTCATCTTCTTCTTCCACCTTTAATTTCATAGTTTCACTACTAGTGTACACATTTACAGCTAAAACTATTTCCTCATCCATTACCCAGAATCTCTTCACCGCTTCACTTGTGTATTAGTTTAATTTGAGAATAAATCGATTACCCCGAATCTTTTTTTCCCCAATAATAAATTTAGAGAAACAACAAATGAAAAATAAACGAAATTACTGTATAGCTTAAAAGTGTCGGCCGGCCTTCGAAGAAAGTTTGTCTTCACACCGCTACCTCTGTATCAACATTCAAGAACAACCGATCAGCTACAAGATCCAAGCTTTTTCCCAAATTAAAAAAAAAAATCATTTTTTTCTGCGAAATTAAGCACAGAAACGGAATAATCAACCAATAACAGAGAGATAAATTGATATATACGCATATGAAAAGAAAAGGATTAAGCTCGGTTGTAAAAAAAAATTAATCACCTGACAGCTTCTGAGAGAATTTCTTTAATAATAAATTATATTATATATATACAAGTATAAAGAGAGGGATAAATTAGAACCCTAATCTGGCAAATCCTGCGTTATGTCTGCCGCAGAGGTTTCCTTTCCATAATTTTATTTTATTTTCTTGTTTTGCAGAGAGAGAAAAATCAGTTACTGTTGTTCGTATTTATAATAAGTGGCTTTTGTTTTTGCCAGAGTCACTTAATTAATTAATTACTTTTTATTTAATAAAAGTGACGTCCGATAAAAAAAAAAATGATAGCAAATATTATATTAAATTGCTAATTAAATCCCTTTAATTATCATGAATTATTTAATCAGAAAAATCAATAATGGATGAGAGTTTCGTTTTGGCATTAATGAATGAAACAGCCTTGAATTATATCACAGAGACGGCCTGTAGCCACAGTTGCTGTGGGCCAGACTTTTAATTTTTTTTTAATAAGTGACGTGGCAGGTTGAAAGAGACGCGGGTGCATGATATTAATTTGGAGGTTAGCGTAGTGTGTGAACCCCCCTCATTTATTCCGTTCACATGTTTGTAGAAATGACGCATTAATTGGATCACGGAAAAGATTCTGAAAGAAAATAAAACTAACCGCAGCCGAGGCACATGCCTTAGCGTTTTTCCCAAGCATGCTAAAAACGTAAAATTCCTTCCACCTTTGACTTTCAACGCCATCTCATTTTATTTTTTACTACTGATTATTATAATATTATATAATTCTCCACTGCAGCGATTTAATTTAATTTTATATTGATTTTGGTATATAAGTAATAAAATAATAATGATATAAAAAGATAAAAGAAGATAACTCTAGTGTAAGAGTGTCAGTACTTTGGTACTAGAATTGTTTGACTAATCTGGTTCCCTTCATTCATACAGAATAAAATATTATCTATTATCTGGGTTATTTCTTTTTTGTAATTAACTAGGTTTTGCTACTTTTATTATTTAAGGGTAAAATTACACACAAGTGATTTTATATGTGTACTTTAGTGGGATTTTTTATTTATTTATTTAACTGTAAAATTAATTTTAATATTTTTTAATATTAATTATGAAAATGATGTCGAAGTCGAACTGTTAACAAACACATATTTTAAAAATATAAAAAATAGTGTAATAAATTTTAATAACATTGTCTAGTAAAAAATGGACACTCGTTTGATTCTCTAAATAATATATGCTTGATCAATTAGCCCAAACAACACTATCAAAACTGTACATTAGGTGTGTGTATATATATATATATATATAAAGAAGAATCTTTGATAAACAAATTTGGTGACACTTGTAATAATATGTTTGGTAAAAGTTGGTGGTATATTAGGTAAGAATTTGAAAATAATAGGAGGGAAATTTATACACATCTGCACATATAATTGCATTATGCCATCATCAATTATTGTGTCTAAAAAAATGTCATTATCAATTACCAATTATCAATCATCATCTCTTATTTAAACTTAATCTTTTTTTTTTATAAAGTATTATTTAAATTTAATCTAAAAAATAAAAAATGGGCTGAAACCAGCGAGTCCAAATAAAATTGGGTTTCTACAAATATTTAAAAAAATAAAATAAATAATAAAATGGGCGAGATTTAAGCCCAAACAGCCATAAGAGACATTCCGCCGGCGCCTAATAAAACAGCAAAATAAGCAAATGTGTGAAGCTTAAAACTCTGCTGCAACTTGGCTCCCATGAAATCCGCCGCCAATAAATCCACCAGCGCCATGTAGTTCAACAATCCGGCGGAGCATGCATTTAGCATCCCCACCACTATCAGCGCCGTCGGACTGTTTTCGGAGTACACATTCGATAAACCTATCCCTAATGCTATCCCAAACGGCGTCGTCGACGAGAAAAAGAACACCATTATCGTTTTTATTCTCATTCCGTATTCCGCCTAATTAACAATACCATAAATTAAATATTATTCTTAATTAATTAATTAATTGTAAATTACAATTATGTACCTGTAAAATGCAGCCACCTAGACCCATCCCTTCAAAGAGCTGATGGAAGCAAAGGGCGGCGACCAACGGCCTAATTGTACATGTGTTGTCTGAAGCCCCCATTGATAAACCTATTACAACTGAATGCACCACTATTCCGAGCTCTAATACCTACATTCCGACATCTACAAATTATTAGAGTCGAGATTAACAAAATTCTATTAATTTCACGAAATATTATACTATTATCCAAATAATAATCTAGTAGGTTTTTTTCGAGTCCGAAGAAGAAATTATTATTTAAGCGATGTTATTAATTTATCAATGTTCTATTTTACATTTTCTCTCTCACCTCCTTAATAGTTAATTAATTAATACTATTTTAATCATTAAATTAAATATTTTTGATTAATTACCTGTGCGACGATGCGGTAACGAAGCAACTGTGGAGCATTATCGTTAAGGTTAACGGTTCCGTGAAACCCATGTGTGTGGTCGTGATCCTGCGATTCCAACTTCCCACCGTTATTGTTAACGGCGTTTTCATTAGTACCGCCGGCGGCGGCGGGGGATTTCGTAGTGTTATTCTTCCGGTAAAAACTCATGGCGTAGGAGTCGACCATGAGAGTGAGCACGGCGGAGAGCATGGCCACGAAGGTGGTGAACGGAAACTTCTTCCATGGGTACTCCGGCAGACATTCCGACGTCAGGCTGTCGAAAGAATCCGGCAGCACGTGCATGTATCCCGTCGCTAAAATAACTCCCGACGCGAACGCCTTAACCAGCACGAACAGATCTCTGTCCGGCTGCAGAGATGGCACCGCTCGTGAAAAAAGTGGCAGACAAACTCCGATCGTACTCGTCACCAGAATCGAAGCAATGGCGATGAGTTTCAGCTTCAGCGCCTCCGGCTTGTTCCTGCATTTTCCGGCGGTTCCTGTGATGCAGGCCGGCGGCAGGGTGGCGGTTTCTGATCCATCTCCGGCGGCGAACGAAATGAGGTTGACGACGATGAATAAAGAGATAAATAAGAGCTTTGTTTGGAACTTGGCCATTGAAGAATGTTTTTTTTAATTAATATTCTAATTCGTTTTTGTTGTTTCAGATTTATGGTGGTGAATTTCAACAAATTTGATAATCACGAAAATTTAGAGGGAGGCAAAATGACGTTTATGCCCCTGACGAGTTCTTGATCAATGTGTGCATTTGTGTGTTAGTGTTAACGTAATTGAATGGAAATTGGTAGGGCGTTTTTGGAAGAAACTGTATTTTTGTTGTCTGACTTGCGCCCGGCCTGTGGGACATGTGTGGGTCATGGGTTTAACCTCGTACTTGTGAGCTCCTGTCTCAGTCAGATTGTACTTTTTCTGCATTCTTAGGATGACGTGGCATTACCTACGTGGTATTGAAATTAAAAAATAGAAAATGAAATAGCATTTGTATATTTAAATGTCCCGTGGGAATTGTTAATGAAAGCCCTATTGAGCGGATTCGTAACGAATCAAAAGCCCATCTATAAACGGGCCCAATTTGGGCTTTTTGTAACAAACTTAAATTTGTTGATTTAGATGTAAGAAGGTGGCCCGAGGGCCAGAAGCCTCGTGACATCAAATTTCGTTGGTCCTACTTATATTAGAAAATAATATTTAATTTATTTATGCATTTTGGGTTGCTATAACTTTTTTTATGAGGGCAAATTAAGGTCAGTGTAATGATAAATTAAAAAGAAAAAAATCTCTCATGTTTTAATAATTACAATATATGCATCGTCTTACACATTCACTCTTGTGATGTTAAATTTACCTTTCAAAGAAAATATTTTTTTTGTAAGATAATACATAATTGGGGGAGGTGGTCGTAATTACTCAAATAGAAGAGATTTTTCTTTCTTCGTAATTTCAAATTATCTCAGAAGACTGATCGTAATTTGCCATTTTTATGAATGTTGACAAAAAATCTAACCCCCAATCACCCGAAATGCAATTGTTCGCAAATTGCACATGAAATTTACAACAAAAAATAAAATAATTATTAATTAGTGAAGGAGAGGAGATACGTAGGTTCCTTAAATCTAATTAAAAAGAAATTGAATAAACACTTTTGGTGGTACAAAATCATCATAAACAATTGACAACAAACATGAAAAGTGGGAAAAGGGTTATAGAAAAAGAAAAAGTATGTCTATCCAGAGACCAAGAAAAGAAGGCAATATCTCTCACTTGGTGTGATTATTTAATTTAATTTAATTCATCCCACAAATTATCATCATATCATCTTTTATTCCAATTCTCCAACAAGAAAGAAACAAAGTAAAAAGTAATTTTGAAACTATTGATTGTGTTATGACTTGTGATTGTCCACTACACCTTTTTTTTCTCTTTCAGAATATCTCCTTTTTCTTAATAATAAATAAAAAAATTGGATATCACTATCATAATTGGTAAAAGAAAATATTCATTAATCCACTTAGACAACCACCTTTTGTTTTAATGTTGGTGTCACAAGATTATTATTATTATTACTTTTTTTTATTTATTTTTTGCTGTACTGTGAAAAAAGTGTAGGCATAATGATGAATGGTAGGAGTTGGGTTTCCACTAAGTGATTTTTGTACTAAGTGATGCAATCTGGTGTGCTTCTTTATGGTGTGGACTGTGGAATATGATGTCTCAACCAACCGTTTTGTATATGGTACATTAGATGAATTAAAGTGGGGTTGATCATATACAATATCTGTATATAAAATAAAACATACAATCTTATATTTAACTCGTTGGATAATTATTTATATAGTTCTACGTTGTAAAACCACTCGCTACTTTTCACCAGATTTAGCATCTCATAGACCATCGACCAGCCATCTAGCAACAAAATTATTAGATTCCCACTAAATGAAATATATAGATTATAGATTGCACAAACTAAATGAAATTACAACCAATTTTGGGCGGTGAGAATTATTCGTGTCCATCCACTTTTATTATTTTTTTCTTTTGTTATTGATTTGGAATTTAGGAAAAATGAATTATAGAAAATGGGCAACTTTTGGTGAATAAGAAGCATTTGAGTAGGGCCCACAAAGTGTGATTAGAAATGAGTAGAGAAAGAAACATGGGCCAAGAAAACTGGGATTCTATTGTTGGGTCAATTATATTATATGTAGGTGGGAGGGATAATTAATGTGTGTTTTCGGTTGTCAATTTCTTCGGCAGTTGGATGTGACATTAATTTGTTAGGTTTCCTTTTTCATTACAATTAATTATTTGTCTTCTTCTTTTATTTAACCATATATCTAATCACATTAATTTAAACATGACATAATATTTAATTTTTTAATTATTATTAATATTAACGCATTATTGAATGGATAAGAATTTTCATTTATTGGTGGTATATAAATAATTAAATAGAAAGACATGATTTTTTAATTTATTTTTAATCTAGATTCATAGTTTGTGTTGAAATTGAGTCGGGTCCACTTTTAAAACAATCAAAAAAAATAATTGAATTCAAGTAACATAAATCCCAATTTTCAAAATAGAATAGTTTCATCTAATAATACGATCTAGAAGAAAGAAGAATCAAAGATTTAAAAGTCAATAGGGAATTTATAAGGGTCAAAATGTCCAATAAAGAAAAGTGTGGCACTAAGAAAAGGAAACTATGAAGAATTCAATATAACTTTTAGTGCAACCAAAGTTTGATTCTTTCACAAGAATTTGTTTACAATACATACACTTGGAATCGAATACATATGTAATCTTTTACAATCGGAACAAAGTGTACTATAGTTAAAAATTGGAACGAAATTGCAGTACATATTAGATTTTGATTTTTAATCTGATTGATAATTTCCAATTTTGCCCTTAGTGTACCATTCAACTTCATTGTATTTGGCAAATGAGACAATTCTCTTTCAAAGCACACGCGAAGCTTAGACTTAATTGAGTCAACATAATTAGGCAAACCAACCACATTCCTATCATGTATTAAAAAAAATTGAAATTTACTAGCTGATATTTCAAATTGAAAGTTATTTAATATTCAATTCATACTTGACTCCTAAATCTTGAAAAGGACCGACGAAAATTATATTTTACAAGCTTGATTTCTTAACGAACAAGTCACGAGTTCGCTAATTCGTCAAGCAACATCCATTAATTTTGATGAAATTAAACGTCCTTTTGATAGTTTAATTAGTGTAGATTAATCTTCTAACCATACGCTAATCAGATCAGATTAGTTTAACCTAAAATTAAAAGAATATTTATGGGTACTTTAAACTTTGTGCTGAGCATAGAGGGACAAAAGAGTCCCAATAAGTGGTCCATACTCCATGCCACAACTCTCTCTCTCTCTCTCTCTCTCTGGATTGATGGTTGTTAATTTGGCATTTAGTGAACTGTAATCTTGATTAATGAATAATAAAATAAATATTTTAATGGTGACAAAAATAGATGTGGAAAGTAATTGTACTACTCTACATGAGAATGAACCTGCCCTAGCTAGTTGTAATTAAATAGAATCTTAAACTAATTACAATATTAGTAATATAATATTCATTATCCAGAGTTCTGACAGGGCCCACAAGGAAGCAGTAGGGCAGTAGGTACCGGCGTTGTTTAAGGTGTTTTCCTCGTCTTCAGAAAATCGGTGTAAGTTAGCGTTGATTACGATGCCACCACAACAGAGAGCCAATCCTCTCTAATATGCGCCTACTGCAATATCTCCAGTTTTGTTCCCCTCACACGTTGTGGGACATCAATCACTACGGAATCAATTTTAATAATAAAAATTATAATAATACCTAACTATTTAATTTTTCGTTTAAATATTTATTAAATTTTCGTGGAAGTGGGGTGTCAGAATCTGGGCTGCCACATGGCACATGCTCATCTGCTCACTATTTTTATGGTTTATGGATATTATAAATGATTTTACTATATGATTAAAATTAAAGATTAATTGTTCAATCCATATTCTATGGTGGTCCATTTCCCTCTGATTTTAAAAGATAAGGCCAAGAATAAATAATAAAATTCAAAAAATTAATACAACGAGCTTTACTGCCATAATGAAATAAAATAAAATAAAGAATATGATTGTGATTTGTGACAATCAATATTTACATCCTTAATGATTGTCTTTTATGATAGTGTGAAAAGAAGGATAAAAATGCCAGATATAAAGTATATGATTATTCCTGGAAAATGACTTCACTTCTTGGATTCATTACCAAGCCCAGTCCACTATTGATATCCATGTGCAATTAACTAATTAATTAAACCCCTTTTTTTATAAATAAATATTATAAAAAAAAAAGATTAATGTTTGTTTAATTATTTATTCAAAGATTATGAATGGATGGTGGAAGGCTATAGGAAATTCCTATAATTTGGACTTTTCGTGCGTGTCATTATTACATATAGGAAATGCAGTGCAAATAAAATCAAATAATGGAAATTGAAGCCACCAGAATTGAATTAGCCACAAACTCACATGATTTGTATTGATTGCAACCTATTTTTGATTACATTTTGAATTGCTGGTTTTATTTAAAATTTGGGGAGATGATTTGATAATGATTTCATATAAAATGAATTTAAAATTCACCGTAATTAAAAAAATCAGAATAAGAGTTAAGAAATTGAAATATATGGTCAAATCAATTGGTATACAATTTTGACTTAACTCAATCCAAATGCAAGCGCCAGGGTTTTCATTCCATGTTCAAGATTGAGTGTCCAGTAGTTAATTACAATATTCTCCCTCGGAACTTACTTCATTGTTTTTATATTTTCACCTTTAATTATTAAATGTAGAGATAATTATCTTATCCATTACTGCTCTGATAATTTTTCATAGAAAATACTAAATTTTCCAGGCGAAATAAAATTTATTTATTGAATTTCTTAACTTTGTGTGCATGTGTCATTTTTGTTATGTAAATAATATACAAGGACTTATAGTAAATTGTCCCGTTTTCATAAAAATACTTTGAATCAACATGATTACAATAATATAAGAAATGTTAAAGACAAAATCCACTAATGTAAGTAGATTAATAAGTGCATCAATAATAACACACGGCCAATTATATAAGTGTAATAAGTAAATACAGACTCTCGGATAATAGCTTGAAATACGACAAATGTATATCACGCTAGCCTAACGATGTATGACAAACTCGACTGAGTCACCACAGACACGAACTTAAGTGAGTTGACACATACTCGTTTGAGTCAACCGCTAAATCATCCCTTACGGGACAGTGCATCAACGATCTTGGTCCCTACTTCGGTGGTCCTTGAAATTTACTAACTTATAGTACCCTAACCAATTTTGGCCTAATATATTGTAATTATTGTGGGTAATTAAATTATACATCGACTGTATTAAATGAGTAGGACAATGACAATTAATGACCTTGTTCGTATTAAACATCTGCTGCAGAGTTGACATGAGCCAATGCGCCCCTATACACGAATTGACTATACAATAATAGTGTACATATTCACGGGTTAGATGTGACAAATAGTCACAATTAAGTACTACTCTATAGTTTTAAAATTAAATAGTTACAATTAAGTACTACTCTAGTTTTAAAATTAAATTAGGAGACGTGACTTATTTAAAAAAAAATAAAAAATTCATTCTACCATTTTTTCTCTCTCTCAATTACTTAATTCCTTATTCGAATAGATAACTGTAAATTTTAAATACTAGCAATTAATACATCGTTTAAAATTACATACATTGATATGGAATAATTTATTTATTTTGTTTTGGACCAACAATAATTTCATCAAGTTGGTCCTTGGATTCAATAAGTTGCTTTCACATATAAATCGCCATTCAATTAAATTTAATTCATTGCCGGAAAAAGTTAGGAGAAAAAACTGGTCCACTCTCCCCCTTTAATTACCCAAAAACAATTCTACCTTTTTTCAGCATTCTTTATATCCAATAATAACAGTAATTATTATTATTATAATTAATATATTTAATTTCCTTTTCAAATAATGAACGACAAAATAACATTAACACGTACAAGAAACGCTGACGCTATTGTTCTCGTAATGAATGCCCACTATGCATTACATTGACGCACCTAACAAACAATTGAATAGGACCACACACAGATTGATGTTATTTAATTTTTAATATATCCAAATAAATAAATTTCCCCAGCAAAAGTTGACAATCTGTCTACCCACGATTATTTCACAAGTTTTTGACTGTTTAATAAAGTTAAAAGATATAGCAGTATCTTTTATAAAGTGACCACGATAGCTACAAAAAAGAGAAAAAATCTTTAAATAATAAATGTTACGAATAAATGAAATTTTATAACCTTAAACTAGGAAAGAATTAAATAATTTTTAACAGCTAAAAAAAGAATTTACATTTTTTTTATTGCTGGATATTTTTACCTTTGACCTTTTCTTTTTACCCTAGACTAATAAATAAATTATTAAAATTAAAGAGATGTATTAACATGCAATGTGGCGTTCATGCTAGAGTTACACACAGGGCACGCTTGAAGCTGTTGAGATCCGCTTCCGCAAACGCCGCACAGGCAAAGGTGGCGGCACGGCAGCAGCAAAACGCACGCCTCCCTCTCGCCGCACATCTTGCACCGCCTGTCACTAAAGCAACTGTTGTTATTATTATTATTATTTCCGTCAGCGTTCTCTTCCGCCTCTCTTCCGTAATCGCTGCTTCCGCAGCACGACTGAACGTCCTCGTCGGCGGCGGCGGCGGCGGAGACGCGCTCCTCGGTGCCGATTTGTAGCAGGACTTGTTCGAGATTGGTGCGGAGGGAATTAGCGGCGGCTTCATTCGATTGGGCTAAATCTCTCCAAAGCTGGTTTTCGAGATAGAGGCTCTTCACTCTTTCCTGAAGGGCGAAATTAAATTTGCTTATTCTTTGGATTTGATCGTCTTTTTCTTTTAATTTCTTCATCACTCCTTCTCCTATAGCCATTGCCAACAACCTTGCTTGTTGCTTTTGCTTCTCTTCTAATTCCAATTTTATTTTCTTCGTCTGCATAAAGTAAAATCAAATCAAATCAGATAACAAATCCACGGATTTTTATTTTTTTTTAGAAAAAAGTGAAAAAGACATACGTGTTGGGAGATAATGGCATCAATCTCCGACTGGTATTGCTGGATCTGAGGCAAGATATTTTCACCGGCGGCGAACTGTGATACACTGTTGTTTTTGTAATTCGGTGAGGACGCGTACACCTGATGATTAATGGAATCTCGTGAACGCTTTCTGTGTGGAGCGGAAACATTGTAGGTGAGGCCGCTATCTGTGTTGACGGAAGTTTTCGCCTGAACTGAATCGCACACCGCCGTCTGGTAATACGACTGATTTTCCGGCAACGGAACCCCAACGAAACGCATCTGCTGCTGGTTGTATGCAGAATTCACGTTCCTTTGATTTGATGGATTTAACATAGACATAGACATAGACTCTCTGCAAAAATTAATTCAGAGATTAATTATATATAACAGGGAATTCTAAATCATAAAACAATTAGAGAGGAATTGAGAAGGCGAATTCGTACCTGTTTGTAGTGAGTTGTGATGGGAATAGATTGATATGCCTTGCTTCAACTGCCATTAAAATCGGCGAATTCGTGTTCTAGTTTTAATTCCGGAGAGAATTATAAAGCATGCAGCGTGAATAGAGGTGGCGGAGTCTAGAGAGAGAGAGGGGTAGAGAGAGAGAGAGAGTAAATGAATTGGAGGGGTGGAGGGTTGTGGTATTTATTTAAAGCGTTTTGGTGTTGGAATTTGGAAATGGTAGAGAGAGAAAAGAACCCTTCAAAAGTTGGGAAAGTCAATCAGTCTGTATTTGCCTTGGATTTGGACAATGCTCTAATTAAGTACGTCTGATTAAAATAAAGTAAATCTCGTAATTAAATTCCCCAGATAAACAAGGAAAAACTATTCAACGAAATACAAAATCTTTCTCAGCTCTACGGCATTAAATATTTTCCCAAATTCCTACAAACCATAATTAAAGCGTGATTATCGGTTTCCCTACCCCCGTAACGGGTCTCCCTCCCTTCGAGGGGTAGTTTAGTAACTTCATAAAATTAAATGCGATAATTAGTGGGGGATGACGTGGCTGTGAGTTTCGATACGGTAACTGACACCCTGGCTCTACGCCACGTTGCTAATGCAGGTACAGGACCCCACGTCATCGTACGCTAGCGTTCGTTCGGTCAAGTCTTCTTCTTTTTTTTTTTATTTAATAATTTAATTAATTAGAGTAAAAGAGATGTGGTTCGGAAAACGTGAGGGTGTGGGGGCCCACGCCGGAAGCACGTGCGAGGTGTGTATGTGCGGGCAAATGCTGATTTAACTTTATTTTTAAAATGTAATGAGGGGAAAAGTTGGACCACCGTTGAGTGGGACCCACGAGTAATCTGTTTCCATCTGCGGTTTCCCGGTTTTGATACCTTGTCGCCATTCCTTAACTGGGCGTGTCTGTGTCGACAACCTTGCATACGTGGGGATTTATTGCGTGCTGCGCTGGTGCACCACTTGTGCGTGTACTCATTACCGCCTTTTATTATTTTCGTATCTACTACTATCCAAATTAAAAAGAAGAAGACTAGTATTTTTATTTAAATATTTAATTTAATAAATCACATTATTATTATTATTATTATTATTTAAAAAAAGAATAAGAAAAGAAAATTGTAGTGGACACCCAGCAAGGCAGCCTATTTTTGCGGGGTCAGAGAAGCATGGGGTGAAGTAAAAGCCAATTGAGATGATGTTAATGATGATGAATAGCCAACTCCTCGTGTAATAGTACTACTACGCTATACATAATAAAAGAGAAAAATTTAAAAAAAGAAAAAAGAAAATAATAATAATATTTGTTTTCTTGTTTCCAGAAAATAAGTAGAAAAAAATAAATAAATTAATTAAATGGCATGGGCCTTACTGTTGCGGGTCACGCCTAGCATCACTATCCTCTACATAATTCCACACCCCAACAAATTATTTCGTGGCCTAAATCATGCATTTTATTCCCAAGAAGACAAACCTCTTCAATTTTTGGAAAAGACATTTTTATTTAATTAAATAAACAAATTCAAACTCAATCACAAAATCGTGTTGTCAATTATGATGCACACATTTTTGAAATGTTTATTAGACCAGATAATTCAAATTCATTCAGTTAAACAATACAATTCAAATAAGCAACTACCCCAAATTAATTAAAAAATAAATAATTATATTTATTAGTAGTAAAATGTAGTTTGACTACAAAACTTAAATTGAATATTTTCAATAAACAATTGAATTGTTAGTTCCATTATATATCCCCATGTGACGTTGTAGACATAAAATTATAATCGGGTCAGCCATTAGTTGTCAATAAACATATTATTATTATTATGAACAGATGTGGCCAAAGATCGGGATTGAAACAATACATGTAGTACTATAATTCTAATGTACACCTAACACTGCAATAGGTACTATTTTTTTATTTCAACTTGAGTAGTTTGATCCATTATCAACAATTAGAATATCACCTGCTGTGATTTACTTCTAAGTTTTATACTAATAATTGGTACATCACATGCAATAGAACACGTATCTATATGATATATTTTTGGTTAATTGGCTGTTAAATTAATTTAAATAAACACATAAATAATATATTATATGATTCTTATAAAACAATATAATTATCATACTTTGAGATGAATTTAACTACAAGTAGAAGTTAAATATTAACATTAATTTTGTGGGTGTGTGGTGTGCATGTAAACCTAATGTATGATGAGAAGGTTATTCTTCTAGATTAATGATGGTTATAATCACATGGTATTCCACTCTGGCTGCTAATTAATCTTTTTTAATTAAAATAATAGTAATGATGATCAATGTACATATATGGTCTAATAATTGTGGCTTAATCAACGCTAATAAATTATAATATCCCATTCTGAGTGGTTTTGCCCTAAAGATTAGGATTAAAGTGGAATGGCATTGTCAAGATTTCATTTTTTGTTTCCTTTTTAATTATATATTTAATTATTTGTGATGATCTCCATTTAATGTGCGCATGTTCACCAATCAAAAGAAACATAAGATTAATCAAATGCCGACAAGATATCTTAGCGTTTTAACAATTCTTTATATAATAATAAAGTGATGTGTTCATCCCTTTATTTATTTATTTTTAAATTTAATTTAGCTTTTGCTTAGGTTGGTATATGATTAAACTTGAAATTATAAAATCCTGCTTTGTGCTGGCCTAATTAGTGGAGCAAGAGATTGTAGAGTTAAAACGACTCAAATTTAAATTTTCCTTGTGTGATTTGCAAACTATTGCGTACAGTAAATTAGATTTATGAAATTCTAAAATATAAATTAATTGAAAAAAAATAAGGTGGGGAGGGGGGGCCAATCCATGATATATTCTAAATAGTTTGGACATGGCATCTTCACACGTTGTGGCACATCAATTCATTACCAAATTGGAAAATGAAAATAAATTACTACTACTATTCATGATATTCCACATGGACTGAAAGCAGATATATATTCTTACATGGTTGATTCCAATGTGCAGCTGGCAATCTTTAATAAGATCCTATTTCAATTAATCATAATTAGTATATTGATTAGTAAACGTTAATCACTTTATTTAACAGGAATATTAAGTTTAATGGTGGGGTCACTTTTAATTCTGTAACCAAATCAGAGGTAGATTGTTTTTTCGATTTTTCTTTTCTGGCCCACTATGATAAAGAAATAAAATTGTAGTGCTTTTCTACCGAATAAAAAAATAATAAAAAGAAAAAGAATTATACATTTATTATGTAAGTTTTGATTTAATAAAATATTGCAGAAAAATGGAATAGTCGAAAAGGACAATTGTTCTGTAACAGCATTGTCCACGGACCAAGATGAAATTGAATGACATCAATCAAAGAAGAGAGTTGGGTATATATATTTTGCAATTTATTTAATTTATTTATTTTGCCGACTTATATATATAGTTTAATTTAATTTCCGGCCATGATAAAGCATAGAAGCTATTCACTACAATAAATAATGCAATTGAAAATTTATTAGGTGTGACTTTTTTTTCCTTTAATTAGTATTTATATTTTGCTTGAAAGTTTCCCTCACCTGCTTAAAATAATGCAATTTTGAGTGTTATGCTTTACTTAAGACATATTATTAAACCCTGATGATCAATATATATCTGCAGATATTCTTATCTTGATTCACTTTTGTTTAGTAAAATAATTTATAAAATAGTTGGATTTGTAATTATTAGAGAATACAATTTGCATGTTTATAAATCAAATGCTGATCATAAATAGAAGTTAAATAATCATCCTCTAAACACACATACATGCGAGTGTATGGAGATTTACGATTAATAATCATCTCATACTAATAAATTGGTGTAACATATAATTTTTGGTTCGTATCGTTATACTCCATTTGTTTCACAATAACTGTTTTTTTTTTTAAATTATTTTTGTCCATATTATCTGTCACTTTACATACATTTCCAATACTGCATTAATTGTGTAATTATCAAATTTACCCGTATTAGTCATCTCCAACACTCTCTCACAAGCATTTTAGTATAAGAACAGATATATTTCTAAAATTAAGCAATATTTATTGAGACCATTAATCCTTGTGCACAAGCTAAAAACGACAATTATAAATGAACGAAAAGAGTAATTGACTAGTACGTCATTCCTATGTAATATCCAAAGTTTCAAACTTTACCTAAACCTTAGCTAAATTCATTTAATTAACTAGTGTAGAAAGAATTAAATTAGCTAGAATTAATTTGCTCTACTTTTCCGTTCATTTCTTTCACGTTAAGATTGGCGTTTGACATTTAATTAGTTAATAAAGAAATACAAACAAAGAAAATAACAGCCGAAAACGTTACGTTCAAATTCTGCCATCATTCAAAAAATTTGACGCGTTACAACAAATTGATTTTCTTGGCAAAATTAAATATGTGATTCAAAATATGTAATGTAATACGAATTTGTCTGTATTTATTGATTATGATGGTGGGGTTAAGCGTTTATGGCTTAGTAAGGAAAAAAAATCAAAAATCGTGTCTTGTCAAATGACACTTCAAGAACAAACTATGGAGGTGGGGGTGGCCCCCACGATTGATGGCTTAAAACGTATGTTTGTTCACACCATGCACGTTGCTTTGCTCCATCTTCCTTTTATTCACTTGTCGCATCAATCAATTAATTAAACTTCAAAAAAAAAAAAAAAAAAAAAAAAAAAGAAAAGAACGATAGTTAAAAAATTGTTAATCGTCATGTTATAGTATAAATAAATAAATAAAATAGTTAAATCACACATGCGGAGATTTAATTAATATATCAACCACTTGTGAAACATGACAGCCGGAGTTAATTAATCAATTAATTATGTATTAGGGAATGGTTGTTTGTCAACATATATCTCATGGTTTTAAGTTAACAAGAGTTGTCAACTATAGCAAACGCATCATAAAATAAATTAAATAGATAGAAGAATTCTAATTAATTATTTGACTATGATTTGTTTTGAAGTAATTAATAAGATTGAACGAAATTTGGGATATATATATATATATATATATATATATATATATATATATATATATATATATATATATATATATATATATATATATATAGTGGCACGTCATGGGTGATATTATGTGAACCTAGTTACATCATGTAAGAAACTCTCAATACTAAGTATTAGGCACGCAATTGTCCTTTTCGAATAATTGATGTCACTCCTACCTATCAATATTTTTGACTTTGGGAAAAAAAAATAGGAATTAGCTAGAAATATTAGAAAATGTTAAATGAATATGTTTCTTTGATAAAAATATCACAAATAAAATAATTATTCATATCAATTGATGGAAAAATAAGCTTATTATTTGTATTTTAATATTATTGAATTAGTTGCAAGCAACACCATACAAAATTGTGAATGCAACGAGTATTAGTTGATAAGATAAAGTAACAACAAAAAAATCAATTCAAAATGATGGGATAATATAAAAGGGGAAACCAAACGTGATTGTGACTCTTATTTGTGTTCATATATTTCTAGCCTAGGTGCGGTCAGCAGAGCCTATCTATAATAAACCACTTGTTACTATTTTCTGAGTTAATTGATGTTGAAACATTATCTTAATTTATTTGATTTATTTAATCTTTGGATTATCTGCCATGAAAGAAGGGGTTTTGTACTAACTAAGTCAGGGTTTGGTGGTGATTTTAATTTTTAATTTGGTTCATATATATTTGTTTCTATTCTGAGTATTAAATCATTCGATAATAGATATATATGCAAAGCTACTGTTGCTACTTTACAAGCCCAATATGTTTTTTTCGGCCCAAAAGAGAGGGGTTTTTAATTCACTGGGCCCTGTTTTGTTCAGCCTGTTTAGATTTATGATGACTAGTGATTAAAAAAAAAGGGATAAATAGCACTTATCACCCCGTGGTTTTAACTTTGGGCACATGGCCCCCTCGTACTTTAATGTAGACACATAACTCCTATGTATTTCCAAAAAACTTCTGTTCATAATAAAAATGATTATTTACCAAATGGAATACCATATAGGGATTATGTGCTTATATGAAAAGTACAAGGGGTCATGTGCGCAAAGTTCAAACTAGAAGGGTTCATATGCATATATTGAAAATCTAGGGGGTCATGTGCACAAAGATCAAACTGTAGGGAGTTAAATGCTATTTACCCTTAAAAAAACACAGTGACATTCCAATGAGTTCTCCACTTCATTTACTTTCTTAAGAGATTAAAAAGACTAACAAAACATAAATGAGTAGTTGGAAAAAATGAAATGTGAGTATCTAAGACCACACGTTGGTAAGCTGAAGGGGATACTAACTTAAAAGAAAAAAAAAAAAGAATTGGAATTTTGAAATTTAGGGTTCTTATTTGAACGAAGATATGAGTTGCAAGATGATTAGACCACTAAATAATTGCATTAGGAGCACGGTTCATTACACGAAGCAGAATAAACTGTTGTATAGCTCTTTGTTCAGGAGTTCACCTATGAATATCGTATAGGTACAAACTTGTTTAATACATACAAAAAGAATTTCTTAATTAAACAATCATATCCGAGCATATCAAACCTCGAAATCAGCAGAGATATATATATATAGATCTCCGCATTTGAGTGATCAGACGATTCACTTTCCACAGTTGAACCCCTTGCAGACAGAGAGTATTATAATCAGGATCAACGCAATCACAATAGCTAAAACAATCAACTTGATCTTCATATTTTGCAGCCACATTTTCCTCCTGATTTTTGTTCCAGTAGTCTTGAAATCCTGGGCCTGTTTCGTTCCAAGTAATATATCGAAGAATTATAGGTACAAGATGCATTGATATAACCATACAAGAGAGCTTAAAATGATTGGTTAATGTTTCTAAATTTCAACGAATATCTCTCTCCAGTGATACCTAATATCCTGTTTACTGGCCCTAATTCCTAATATATCTTCTGATTGTATAATTGAATAATACGTAACTGCCTGCTATACTTCATTCGTTTCAAGTTTTAAATGGTAACACTCTGTCAACGGCATTTCATGTTGGACCAAAGATATAAATAAAACCATGTAGAAGACCAAGAAAAATGTCGGTCCACTAGAGCAACATTCTATAGTGCGCACTAGCATCAAGAACTGGTGGTGTTACTTTAGCCTTTTCTATAGTGCGCACTAGTATCAATATCAAGTTAAGAACAATTAATCTATTAACATAGAAGACATAATCCCACATCCCCATGTCCACTCTCATACGAGTTTAGCAACAGTGTTTAAGAGAATTTTATACAACCAAAACAAGAGAGATGGTAAAGTATGAGAGAGAAAGAGAGAGATGCCTGATTATGAAGATTCTCAGTCTTATCCACCAGAATCTCTATCTTTTCTCCACGGTCTAGAACCTGCATTAAATAAAATATGTCATGTAATATCTAACTCTCAACATATAACAAATGTTGATTCCGGAATAACTAAAATTGGAAGACATGTGGGCTAAGTTGATTTAACAATGTCCTGACTACTATCTTTTTCGTTTCCGAAAAGAATGAATGCAAGGTAGCACAAAATCTCAATGTATGCAAAATTCATACGTCTCGTTCTCAGAATAAAGTTAACTAATGATCCTCATACCTTCTCAATATTTTCCATCATAACACCCTTGACTTCTGAAACCTGAGCCTGGACCTTCGCAAGTTTGCTTATCTCTTCAGGGTGATCCATGCAGTATTGCATATGTTCCTTCAACTTTGGTCTGATTCAATAAGGATTATCCAGGTTAAAGATTTGTTACCGTTAAATGACAAAACAAAACAGGAATTCTTATAAATCTTTCGCCAGAAACAAGAGATTTAAATACCCAAATTCTTTGTTCAGGCCATTAGCAGGAGTTGTTGCAGCCTTCCCACCACCGTATTTTGCCACAAAGTTATCTTTGATACGCTCCAGAAAAGCCATCGGGAGCTGTCTTCCAGCCGATTCTTCAGCAACAATACAATATGCTGCATAACAAGTCAGTGTTTCTATGTTAATCCATTACTATTTACTGGCCGATCAAAGCTTATACATATCTATGTTAATAGTTATCTTTCCAATGTGGCATCACTCAGCAAATAATATCAGCGTAAGAAAAACAGTAATTATTCATGACAACCCTACAATTATTCAAATTGAAATGTTTCTATAATAGATGAGTCCATAATAGCACTTCATCAAGATCCAAGGGTAAATATCGTTCTCTTACGAACTCCAGAATCCACCAATCCATTTTTGGGACAAATATTATATATTTTTTTAATCTGATGTACAATTCAGTTATTAATTCATTAATTTGTTTAAGGAGGATAAAAGAACTTTATGTTCAGATCTGGTAAATCTACTTACAAATGGAAATGAGATACTGCAAGTCAATCAAAGAAACACCAACCAATCGTGGAAATCAAAATCCACAACAATCATCAACAAAAAAAATTACGATCGGCACAAGCAGAGATCAGGTAAAATTAAAAAAAAAAACAAATAAAATAACATAATCCCCAAAATTATTCAACAACAGACTTACTGAAGCCATCGTGAACGAGGTAATTGAAGGTATGATTGTCGCAGTTGTACGTGAACTTATTGTTGGAGGAAGGAAGCTTCTGCAGGCACTGATAAGCTATGGAATTGAAGTTTCCGCTGAATTCCGTGTACTCCGACAGCACCACCGGCGGGGAGCCGCGCGCCACCAGTGCGTAGATCAACGTCTTCCGGCTGTTCTGTGCCATTTTCGACAAATAGTAGAAATCCTAATCAATTAGGTACGATCTTCTTGTACCTAGGTTTTTCGATTTGTTTTTACCCACAGATCTTGTTGAATTTCTAGCGATTACTGTTCAATTTGAGCCCCTTTTCTCTCTCCTTCTTTTAGGCCTTGCGTACAGTACTGATGACGGGGTCTTGCTTTTGTTTATGACGCATTTTATGACAGTTGGCTCACCGACTCGAACCGGTTTTAACTCACTTCAAAACTACGTTTCGGTTTATTTATTTATTTATATTTTTATCGGTAATTACTTGCTTGACATATTCCCTGTACTTAAATATTAAGATTTATTTAATTTTTTTTTTTTTTTTTTTTTTTTTTTTAGTAAATTCAAGTCCATTACAAGGGGAAGTAGGGGAGCGGGGGGACTCGAACCCTAGACCGTTACCCTATTGGTAAATGCTAGGTACCAACTCTCCTAATGAGGGTTAGTAATATTAAGATTTATTTATACGCGCTACTTATACTACCATTTCAAATATTAGGAAAATAAATATGAATATTTTTATTTATTTTTAGAGTTAAATTTAATACGAATACTATATTAAATAAATCGTGTGACTTCATGATATTTTATGTATTTTTGTCACATGCTTGTCTATCATGTGTAACTATTCGATAAACCTTCTCATTAATTCTTTTAACATTAATCTTCTTCTAATAAATTACGAGTCTTAAGGGAAAATTTGAGAAAAATATAAATGTATAATGTGTTATATATATTATATATTTTGATCACTTAATCTCGTTATAAAATGGGCCTTTCTTATAAAATCAAGATAGTGCTATTTTTTTTTTCTTTTAATATTCTAACATGTAAATTATTTAGTTTAAAACCGTATTTTGTTCGGAATTAGTCCCGACTCTAGGCATAGACAAATTAGGAGCGTGTTTAAGGTCCTAATTATGACTTTGTTTGCATAAAATAAATAAATAAATGCATTTGGAGTCAATTTTCAATATGATATTAGTAATTAATACTTGCAATATTTACACATAAAATTAAAAATAGTATCAAAAAATTATTTACTTTTATTACTTTAAAATTAAAATGAAGGCCACAAATTGATTTTTTAGCCCAAGACCGTATAAGCTTGGGCGGGCCCTGTTTTTAAATCTTTCAATAAATTAGTGGACCGAAGTGAAATCAAGACCAAGTTGTTTGGGCCTTCCGAAGAAATATAAAGTTCTCAATAAATAAATTTCCTAGGGCCGAAGTGAAACAAGACCAAATTGTTTGGGCCTTCCGAAGAAATATAAAGTTTTAAAAAAATAAATTTGGGTCCTTAGTCTTACCCAAAAAAAGTGTGTTAAAATTTAAAAAATACGCCGTCTGTGGGAATCGAACCCACGACCACGTGGTTAAAAGCCACGCGCTCTACCAGCTGAGCTAAGACGGCTGGTTGACACTTGGTGACGCTTTGTTTATAATATTATCGTTATGTTTAACTTTTTCTCATATTGATTTTATCATGCATATAGGTTCCAAGACCATCTCCCTGTATGTCTCAAAAACATGTCCAAATATGTAATGTATCATGCAAATTTTTAATAAAAAAACCAAAAATTTCTACTCTTTGGTTAAAAATTGACTTGATTTTGAAATTCAAGAACTAAAATATTGTGGAGAGTGGGTAAAACCTAATAGCGCACAGACAACTTATCACACGTTCGACCTTTCTAGAGCCCTGTCGTTCCTTCTTCCCTCTCTCAAAACGAATCCAATAATTAGAAAAAAAAAAAAAAATTGAAGAAACATCCAGGTGTTGTTACCGTTCTAATTCATTAGAAAAAAAGAAACCCTAAAAATCCAATTCACCGTCAATGGAGGGATCGACGCAAATAGTGGACGTGGGGTCCATCGTTGAAGCCGTTTCCGCCGATGATTCCGACGCCCCTCTCTATCAAGTCGAAAGCCTCTGCATGCGCTGCGGCGATAATGTATGTATATGCTTCTATTCCTTTCTATTTCTTTTTGTTTTGTGCATTCACACCTCTATCCTGTTTTTACTTCTTACTTTTGATTTTAATTATTGTTTTTTCTTTGGATTTTTATTTTCGGAGTATGCTTCTTAAATTAAATAAAAAAAGAATGTATTTTTCTGTACTGAACTTCTCTATTGACTGAAAACCATTGATACTTAATTGAACTGAGTGTGTATAAATTAGCCATGAAATCTAATGCAGGTAGCAGGATGCTTTTTTTACATGTAGGAATCATCAGAAACATGTTCTTAAGTTATAAAAGAGTTGCAAACAGTCTCAAGTGCATAAAGATGCTATTAGTATATTTTCCGATTTGCTTGCGTACAATTGTGAACTCTATAGCTAATTTTAAGCATTTATTAGACCACTTTCTCTCAAAAAGTATTCGTTTTTTATTACATTTTATATAACCCGCAATATTGTTTTCATCGAGTTGGCTTCCTTACTCTGCTATTCCATTTTCTGATTCCATATTTGTTGCAGGGAACAACTCGGTTTCTGTTTACTCTAATTCCGCATTTCAGAAAGGTAAAATCCTCACACATTTCAGTTATCTCGTAAAAGCTTTACTAAATCAGATTTTCGCATCGAAATAATTCACCAGAGTAGCCATACAATTTGAATTGATTGGGACATCAACCATTGAGTTAAAGAAGCGTGTTTCCGTTTCAAAAGAAAATTAATATTTGCTTATAGTTTAATATGTTATTTATCTTTTGTCAGATATTGTTATCAGCCTTTGAATGTCCACACTGTGGTGAGAGGTAATAATTACCCTTTGTTTTGTCAAAGGTTACAAGAAGCTGATGTCATATTTTTACAAGATTTCTTATTCTCTTACCATTGTCTTTCTTAAGGAATAATGAAGTGCAACTTGCCGGTGAAATCCAACCGAAAGGCTGTCGTTACACACTGGAAGTTCCATCAGGTGATCAAAAGGTGACTGAGGAATTGGATATTATGGAGTTATTGAACATGCCCTATTTTTACGGAGTCTGTACTCATGTTTTGTTACTATTTTGTAAAATAGAGTTCGATCTTTCTTCTAAACTATGATACTCTATATGTATTTTATATGCCATGGATTTTTAATGTACTTATCACCCAATACTACGTATCGTAAATTATTTAGAATTTCCATCTGCTCACCTGTTTTTCTTTTGTATGCGTGAGATAATAATCATCATACTTGTCATTTCGATGCAGATGTTCAATCGTCAGGTGGTGAAATCGGAATCTGCCACTATCAAGGTACTGTTTTTTACTCGTACTTGTGGTGCAATACATTTTACTCTATAGGTTTTTTTTATCTAATCTAATTTTATGTTTACTTCACAGATACCTGAATTGGACTTTGAGATCCCTCCCGAGGCTCAACGCGGGTCTTTGTCAACAGTATGCCCTTTATCAAGATAGTCGTCGGTTTTGCTGTTATTAGAAATGAATCTTCTTTATCTTGAACTAATTTTATATCTTTCTGATATGCTTTTAGGTTGAAGGGATACTGATGAGAGCTGCTGATGAGTTGGGATCCCTTCAGGAAGAGCGAAAGGTAGAATTTCGTTCTTCTTCTTATTGATTGCTAGACATAATCATCTCATTAACGGTCTTTACATTTTTTTTCCCTCAGAAAGTAGATCCAAAAACAGCTGAAGCAATAGATGAATTCTTGATAAAATTGAAAGCTTGTGCGACTGGAAATTCACATTTTACCTTCGTTCTTGACGATCCTACTGGAAACAGCTTTATCGAGAATCCGTAAGTCGCCCCCCCCCTCTCTCTCTCTCTCTCTCTCTCTCTCTCTCTCTCTCTCTATATATATATATATATATATATATATATATATATCTCTATCTCTATCTCTACCCCTGTGTGTGTGTGTGTGATCTTTAATCTGCTTAACATGCGGAAGTTTAAATGATACGAATGTAATCTTTAAATAGGTATGCTCCATCTCAAGATCCAACCCTGACTATTAAGTTCTACGATCGTACACCCGAAGAACATGCTGCCTTAGGGTATTCTGCAGAGATATCACAAGAAGCACCTGTCACAGAAAATGCTTCGGACGAACCACATGGCTCAGTTGGAGCAAGAGATGGTCGTCGTGCTATTGCTCAGGGTAATAGTGTACAGTTTACCGACGCTTTATTTCGATATTCTGCTCCTGAAGAGGTAGATTTTTCATGATAGAAAAATTTGTTTCATTTTTCTATGTTTTCTACTAATTACTCGTAAGTAATCATGACGACCGATCTTTTTGGACAGGTCATGACTTTTCCGTCAACATGTGGAACTTGTGCTGCCAAATGCGAGACCCGCATGTTTGTTACAAGTATCCTTTGTTCTGAATGGTCTATAGTTGTTGATTTTTCTGTTGAATTTTTTAATACAGTAGTGGCATAGAGTGATTGATATGTTGACCGACGATGTTTGAGTCTGACCTCATTTATCAGAATTTGTTGTCTTAACCCACAGTCAGATATTCCCTACTTTCAAGAAGTGATAGTTATGGCCTCCACTTGCGACGCATGTGGTTATCGTAACTCTGAGGTTTGTTTTCATTCTGTCTTGTTTCTTGATTTTGGCTTACAAATGAACTCAGCTGTGGTCTTGTTTTAACGCGTACTGAAGATTTCATTTTGTGCTCTGTAGGTAAAGGCTGGCGGACCGATCCCCGATAAAGGAAAGAAGATAACAGTTCGCGTGAAGAACTTCAAAGATCTTAGCCGGGATGTGATAAAGGTATGCAATTACCGAATTTCTAATATTGCCCAATTAGGTATTTATGAATTATTTGGTGGAATTTGCTGATTGTTAGATACCGTTTTTATTTAACGACGTGATTGATGAATACAGTCCGACACGGCTTGTGTGGAAATACCGGAGCTTGAATTGGAACTTGGTAGTGGAACATTAGGTGGACTCGTTACGACCGTCGAAGGGTTGATATCTAATATCGGTGAAAGTAAGTTTTTTTTGTGTGTGTGTGTGTGTGTTCTTTTCAACTGGGAATTGTTTACGAAGCTCGGAATTTATTATCAATTGCAATTGCAGGTCTTGCAAGAGTACATGGGTTCACTTTCGGGGATAGTCTTGATGAAAACAAACGGAACAAGTGGATAGATTTTGGAACAAAACTTGACAAGGTACGTATTCTTCTGTTCAATGCTCTGCAAAATTAGCTCGATTGTGTATTTTGAAAACTTTTATTTATTTATTTATAAATATTACAGCTAAAAAGCTTGGAAGAACCCTGGACTTTAATTATCGATGATGCTTTGGCAAATTCCTTCGTTGCCCCTGCAACCGATGAAATCAAAGACGACACTCAATTAACATGTAAGCTTTATTTTCTTTCATTGTGCTATTTGAGAATCGTTGTCATTAAATTTAAGATTTATTTTTAAAAAAATGTGGTGTTTGGAATGCAGTTGAGGAATACGAGAGATCTTGGGAGCAGAACGAGGAATTGGGTCTCAACGACATGGATACCTCTGCGGCTGATGTTGCTTACACTATTGCCGATAAAGAGAATACCAATATCGCTGATTGATTAGTCGATTTTTTTTTTGCTTGTATTAAATGAGTTTTGTAACATTAATATAAGATGAATTTGTAACATTACGATGAAATTTTGGTAGGATATTGTTGTGTTTGAAAAACATTGGAGGATGTCGATGGACAGTTAACACTGAATTATTTATCGTAATTTTCTGTGTTTTAAAGATGGTAGGTAGTATCTATTTTCCTTCAATTCTCTTGAGCATTTATACATGTGGGCTCCAATGTAAGAAATTTATGAACTGTAGGGGTCTGGGTGTAATTTATTAAAAATAAGGGGTTTGTTCGTAATTACACGTTACCTTAGTAATTTACCCATTTTGCTACTGCGATTAGTTTGGGCCTGAAAGGTAAAGGACTTCTGTTGGGCCTAATAATCACGATGTGTTAATTAATTATTAAATTGGCAAAAATTAATTAATTAATTAATTAGACGAGGAAAATAAACACATCATCTTCTGGCAGTGTTCAAACCAAAATCTCCCTTAGAATCTATCTCACTACAGCAAAACCCAGAATCTGACTCTGTGTAAAAAGTGCTTGATTTCTCAAACTTGTGTTTCCCCATTGTTTCAACTAGGGAAATCCGGCTTGATTTCTTCTGCAGCTTCAGCCCGAGAAAAGCGGAGGCAGGAGAAAATGAAAATGGTGGAAAGTAGCGAAGAGGAAGATGATTTCCCATCCATGGAAACTGTCACTCCTCAGTCCAAAATCGACACCATCTACCAGTCCAAGACTGAAAAGGTAACTATAATTCAAAACAAAATCACGCTCTTTCTCTTCTAGAGTTGCGAATTTTTCCACCCGTTTTTTTTTCTCCCTTAGCTTAATCTACTTGAAAGTATCAATTGACAATACGGAAAGTAGGTTGGATTTTGGGGGATTTTGTTTGATATCGAGCTATAAATGATGATTCTGGATTTGAATTGTTTCCCGAAAATCTATTTGCCTGAATTCTACGTCGAGTTTAAACTTACAAGTGTCTATCGACGAACTCTTTCAAATTGGTGCCCTTTTCCCATGAGATTGTAAATGCTCTCGGTGGTCAATATCTAGTTAGGAATGTGGATTTTTTTTTTTTACTTTTTTTTTTGGTTGGGGAAAGTTAGGTTACGATCTCAATGGAACAAGAGTTTGTTATGATTACTACAAATTTCTATTGATTTTGTGTAGAGGGAATCAGGTCTTTTGCTTCTCAACTTTTTTACTTCTAGATCATAATTTAATTTTCTCTAAACAATGCATCTAATTAGATTGCCCTTCCTTTATGGATCTTCTTTTATCTAACTGTATTATATTACAATTGTATATATATACATACACACATATATATTTATGTTTGAGTCATTGCCTAAATCTATGTAGGGAATCAGAAAGATCTGTTTTGAGCTTTTGGATCTGAAAGATGCAGTTGAGAACTTGTGCAGTAACACACGCACAAAGTATTTGGCTTTCCTGAGGTAAGAGAAAAATCCTTCCATAGTTTGCTCGAAGATCGTATTAAAAGACTAGTAAACACGAGCTTCTTGTACTACATTAAATTTAGCTGCATTGGAAATATGATCTCTTTTTATTAAGTTACACTAAGAGAAGCTGAATTGACATTAACTCATCATGTTCTCATGTACATAAATATATATGGTCGACAGACTTCCCATAAGTTGTTCTTTTTTTGTCCCAAGTCGCTTGATATCTAGATAGATCCTACAAATATAGTAGCCTGGTAGTAATTGTCTTGTAGTTTATCCACAATGTTGGTCACTATTTATGTGATTTTCCTCGTTGCTTCAGCTAACATTGTGGTATTTGAGTGAGAACTTAGCTAAATATGCCTTTTTATATATGGGAATTGGTAATTGTAGGTTAACAGATGAAGTAGTTGAAATGAAGCACGAGTTAAATGAGCTTCAAAAACATATTTCTGCCCAAGGGATTCTTGTGCAAGATCTAATGGGTGGTGTCTCTCAAGAATTGGAAAAATGGAGCTGTACTGATGGAGATGTCTTGCAATCAGACGACAGCTCTCAAACTCGTGAAATTGACGATATATTCTTACCTGAGGTGGAGGATAAAAAATTACAATTTTTGGAGCATGTCGATGTCCTTTTGGCAGAGCACAAAATAGAAGAAGCAATAGATGCAATTGACGCTGAAGAACGAAATCAACCCGAGCTGAAATCAGGGGACACTACAACAGATGATTCCTCCTCGTTTAAGTCTGCTCTTTTAAGGAGAAAAGGAATGCTTGAGAATCAGCTTATTGAGATCAGCCAACAGCCTTCGGTTGGTATTCTAGAACTGAAGAAAGTGTTATCTGGTCTACTAAAGCTTGGGAAAGGTCCTTTGGCACATCAGATATTCTTGAAATCTTATGGGTCCCGCCTCCAGAGAAGCATAGAAGATTTTCTTGCTTTATGCCCATGCTATCCCGAGACATACTCAGCTACATTATCTAACCTTGTATTCTCGATGATTTCATTAGCAACTAAAGAATCTGGGGTGATGTTTGGCGACAACCCTGTTTATAGTAATAGAATTGTTCAATGGGCGGAATGGGAAATCGAATCTCTAGTCAGATTGGTCAAGGAAAACGCGCCTCCTTCTGAGACATCCTCTGCTTTACGTGCAGCTAGTGTATGTGTTCAGGCTAGTCTTAACCACTGCGCTGCATTGGAAGCACAGGATCTGAAGCTAACGAAGTTGCTTCTGGTGCTTTTGCAACCATACATTGAAGAAGTCCTGGAATTAAATTTCCGACGGGCTAGAAAAGTGGTTCTTGATTTGGTTGTGGATGAGGAGAACATGCCTTTATCACCTCGATTTGCATCTCCTTTATCTACTTTCGCCACTTCATCTGATCGTATGCTCGTTGATTGTGGAATGAGATTCATCTTTGCTGTCAAGGTGAACTAGCATTTGTATTTCTTCTGCATTTATAGCTTTGTTAAATCGGACAACTAACTCGCTTACTTGTGTTTCCAGGAAATAGTTGAGCAGCTAACTCGCTTGGTTATCCTGCATTTCGGAGGAAACATACTGACAAGAATTTCGCAGCTTTTCGACAAGTACATTGAGGTTGTGATAAAATCCATAACCGGCCCCACTGAAGACGACAATCTGACAGAGCTAAAGGAGCCTGTACATTTCAAAGCCGAGACGGATTCCCAGCAGCTTGCATTATTGGGAACTGCCTTTACTATTGCTGAAGAACTATTGCCTATGGTGGTGTCCCGAATTTGGAATGTTTTGAATGATAGCAAAGAAGCAGTCGCTGATAATGGAATGCCGCCTACTAACAGTAGCTTTGATCCTAAAGACTGGAGAAGGCAGCTTCAGCATTCTCTGGACAAACTTAGAGATCATTTCTGCCGACAATATGTTCTAAGTTTCATTTATTCGAGAGATGGAGAGACTAGACTGGATGCTCAGATATATGTAGGTGGAAAAGGACAGGATTTGCTCTGGAACTCTGATCCTCTTCCTTCACTACCATTCCAGGTTTCCATTTTTTGCCACAATTACGGGACTTTTTCTTGGTATAAATTAAATGTAAATTTTGCCTAATTTTGTCAAAATCAACGACAGGCATTATTTGGGAAACTGCAACAGCTAGCAGCTGTGGCTGGAGATGTTCTATTAGGAAGAGAGAAAATACAAAAGGTTTTACTTGCTCGGCTCACAGAAACTGTGGTAATGTGGTTGTCTGATGAACAAGAATTTTGGGGTGTTTTGGAGCATAACTCGGCTCCTCTTCGGCCAGTTGGATTGCAGCAGGTTTATTACTACTCAAAATTTCTTTCCTACTTATGTTTTTTTCTTTGCAATCGTCCGTTACAGTTTTGATAAGATTAATGTTTCAAGATTCTTGGAAAATAAACCTTATCTATGTGTGTCTGTATTGCAGTTGGTACTTGATATGCACTTCACTGTTGAAATTGCACGGTTTGCTGGCTATCCATCGAGGCATCTACACAAGATATCATCTGACATAATTGCTCGTGCGGTTAAGGCATTCTCTGCTAGAGGAATAGATCCACAGAGGTATTTGTCGTTTCCATATACGATTTGATTCATAGTTTGTGTATTTTTCTTCGATCAACGAGTAATTCTTTTATTTAATATGTATATATTTTTTGTGTGGGCCCAGTTCACTTCCGGAGGATGAGTGGTTTGTGGAAACTGCGAAAGGAGCAATAAACAAGCTTCTGATGGGTGGTTCTGGGTCTGATGTATCGGAGATTGATGATGAAGATGAGCACATCATCATCCATGACGATGATGTCATCTCGGATTCCGATGACTCACCGTCGTCGCTCTCGTCGGTTGATACTGAAGATTCTTTTGCTTCTGCAAGAATGGAAGAATTGGATAGCCCTGTGTTAACAGATCCTGAGAATTGATTTACTACATTCTCACATAGAAATAACTGGCATCATGCTTGTCTGTTTTATGCTTTTAGATGGATTTATTGATTGGTGATTGATGTTGTAAATTTGTATGGATCTTTAATTTTGTAGCTGATAAATAACGGTAATATTTTATTGAATGGTTCATTTAATTTAATTTATGCTAATCTGAAAAATTACGATGTGAATATGATTAATTTATTAATTAATTATATTCAAATTAATTTACAAACTCCCAATTTTCAGTGCAGCGGGAAACACGATTATTTATTGACGAGCAACTTAAAAAGCGCGGGAAAGCAAAGGGGCAAATAGATTAGGGCTTGTGAAGAGCCGCGAGAGGGCAGATATATTTTTTCGTCAAATGGACGGCGGAGATGAAGGATCGTCGCTCTCAGCCTCACGGACAACCGTCGATCTCACCGGAGATAAAGCGGCGGTGGTGGATCTGACGGGGAAGGTGCATCAGCTGCCGTGCTGCATCAAGTACGACGGTCCCGCCTCCGTTTCTCACTACTTCAAGCCCAAAATCACTGGTACTGTATATGAATGTACAACTGATGTATGCACTCGTCGAAACTTATGATTGCTACAGTTTTATGAATGTACAACTGATTAATTCTTGCGCCTGTAAATTGTTTCGATTTTGTGTTGCTGAAAATTTGATTGTTTGATTTTGTAGGGGTAGAGGTGGATGGGCTAAGAGTGGAGGAAGCGTACTTCAGAGGAAGGAATTTACATGGAACTACCATCACTCTTCCCCAGGATTGCTCTGGTATTTCTCATTAATACACTTTTTATCTTCAATATTTGCCGTTTTATCGGATACTGTTTTGCTAGATTTAATGCTCTGTGACCTAATAATAAAGTTGTTTGTGTACTCTTTATACTAAACTTTGTAAGTTAACTATTGTCGTGGATTTCTGGTATGTGTTGTTATCCCGTTGGCCGTTGATTCTTATATTTTTTTTTTTGAAACTTAATGTTGTCTCTACATGTTCTGATATAACTGTAATATCACATCTATATTATTGAATATACTTCTCGTAAATTAGGCTTGAAAGCTATTATCTGTTCAGGCTTTATCTTGGGAAAGAAAACGCCTGTCGAGGAAACTAAAACCACTAATTCAGAGTGCTGGGAGACAAATGCGACTTTTAAAAATGTCACGGTATGGAATCATGATGAAATGCCGTCAAAAGAGGATGCATTCGTGCGTGCCTTTCACTGGTTTGCTGTTGCCAACACTGTAAGTTTTCTTTTTATGCTTTATGCTGTGATGAAGCAGGTGCATCTGAATAAGGCTCTAGTCCTGTTGATTACCTCTTGAAAAACTCGTCTTGTTAGGTCTACGAAATAGTTTAGTATTTGATCAATGGCAATCCCATTTCTAGACGCATAACTTTGGAGGAGCAAGTGTTATAGCATATCTTCATAATATGGGATAAGTAATAATACAGAGCCATGGTCATTTCAAAATTTGACCTTGGATAAATTCCATGGAGATTTACCAATCACTTAATTATCGTTCTGCAAACACCACTGTTTAGTATTGTGGCTAGCTTAATATGTTATTTGCTATTTCTCGAAACATCTAACAAGGGGCTAGTAGGTCTTCTGTCTTTTCGTTAAACTGCTATGAAGCTTATGTTTTTAGCCTTATTTGTCAAACTGAATTTTGAAGAAGAGAACCATTACTGAACATACCTTTTCAATTTCTGAATGAGACGGCTTAAATGTTCGCTGAAATTTTTTATGTTAAAAATGTGGTAGGCTGATGCTGGTCATTCATAATGCTGAATAGTTTTATGAATTAGTCTTTTTCTTTCTTGTTAGTATTTGACTGTTAGGCAGGATTAAATGATATCTATATGTGATATACCCCATGGTTAAATATTGTGTTTGCGAATTGCAGCTGCACCGAACAGTCACTGCTGAAGACCTGGAATCTACATGTATTGATTAGTAAGTGGTCTAATTAATCGAGACCCTTTCATGCTCGATTTTCACTGGCTTCTACATAGTGAGAAATGTGATATTTACTTTCCTCTTCTCTGGTTTAAATTGTACTGCTGTCCAGTATTAGTAAATCTACCATCGTTGCTCCATTAAGTCCTTTTAAAATTAAAAAAAAAATAACCTTAAAAATCTCCATTACAACACATGCACCGAAAATCAACCTTATTTGCTTAGGTCGAACTTAGACCTAAGCAAATTTCGGCCCAGGCCTGACAACCCGTGGCCTGCCCGCAGCAAGCCCGTGGATTCAGGCCGCCCAGCCCAGCAATATAATTCCATGTGCTGAGCCTCAGTTTCACTCTGGGTCCGCCAGGCCTGACCAGCTATTGGCCCAAATATTTTTAGTTTCTACTTTTATGAGTTTTCTTTTTAATTTTCTACTAATAAAATATCTGAAAATACTTTAGTAAATATGTATCCTACTTATGTAATAGTTTTAAAAAAAATTAAAATTTATAAATTCATTAAATATATTTAGATGATTTTTTTTAAAAAAAATTTTTTGCCTTGGACCGGTCGGGCCTGTCAAAGTAGGATAAAAGGGGCTAAGTGGGCTCATGGTGCCCGTGAAAACAGTGGGCCGTCTTCAATGGGCTGTGGGTGGGCCGGGTGCGTCATTTGTTCACCACTTGGTCTAAGTACATTGCATAGCTAGTCCACTAGTGGAATAACTAAAAGCAATCTGTAAGTTTATTCTCTTTTGGCGCGTTTGCGCCCACTTGCTTTTCTTTTCTCAAGAATTCAGGGAAAATTGAAATGAGAATCCAGTCAACAAGTCACAGTTTTAACGTTGACATGCAGAGAATGTGTTTATATTAAATGGCGACGGTTATATGCAAGTCCATTTTTTTATTAATTCAAGACCTTTAACATAAAAATACTAATTTACCCTTAATGAAATTTAAAATTAAATAAAAAACACAAATCATTAAAAAATAAAAAATAAATCATTTCCTTTGTGCAAGACCAAATAAAATACATAAATCCAGAAACCCATCTGTCTTATTTCACGACTTAAAACTCTCATTCTTCTCCTTCTTCTTCACAAACCCACAAAGAAATCCTACACACCAAAATTATCAAATACATACCAAACATTCAGGATGGAACTAGAAAACAATGATATGGTGGTTTACGAGGGTGAAGAACACAATGAAATATGATTTAACCCTTTATTTTTGCTTTTGGGTCGTTTTTTTTTTTTGGGAAAAAAATTCGACGATACAAAAAATCGGTCTGCAAATACCGATTTTTGTTACTAAAGTCGGTAACCACATTCCGATTATTTTAATAAAAATCGGTACTTAAAAACCGATTTTTGTAGTAAAAATCGGCATGACAACACCGATTTGTTTTTGTATTATCGGTATTGTCATGCCGACTTGTACTACAAAAATTGGTTTTTAAATACCAATTTTATTATCTGTGTTTTTTTTAAGATCGTTTTCTCATACTTTCGTGCATCAACCTAGGGGATTGATGGAGGATTATTCAAATGAATTATCTAACGAATAAATATTTGAGATATGGCTCGATTGGGTTAAAGGCGTGGTAGACGCCACCGAATGGTGATAAACATTTTCGTTTCAAATATTTAAAAAATATCAATTAACCAAATATATAATGTATTATTTAAAAAAAAATTCAAAAAATATCGGTATTCGAAAACCGATTTTGTACTCAATAATCGACATTAGAACACCGATTTTGACTTGTAAAGTCGACGTTGTGTCGCCGATTTGGTTAACAAAAATCGGTATTATGGGGCCGATTTTCGTGTACAAAATCGGTCTGGATAAACCGATTTCGGAAACTAACGAAAAAAAATAAAAAAACCAATTTCAATATCAATTTTTTTTCCAAAATCGGCCAAATCATTGCAACCCAACAAGAAATGAGCATAGATTAATGTTCATTCATACATATTTATCAAGAATCGATGTTCGATTAATGTTTTCGAATTTACAAATAAAAATTTAGTAAAAAGGACATCGATGTTCGATTAATGTTTTCGAATTTACAAACAAAAGTTTAGTAAAATGGACTTACTTGTTGGTGGTGGTAATGGTGCGGTGGGTGGGTCGATGGTCATCGCCGGTACGGTGAAAGTCTCGCTGGTTGGCGGTCGTGATATTTTTTATTTTTTTTTGTGATTTTTGGTCTTGAACAAATTAAAAATAAGATTTATTTGTATTTGAGTATTATTTGTGGATAAGGGTATATTTGTCATCTTTGGTCTTGATGTAATAAAATTAGATTAATTTACGGGCTTGAACTAATAAACTCGTTTATGTGGTTTTGAACTAATAAAAAGATGGGCTTGCATATAACCGCCGCCATATTAAATACATCGGTATTATATTCCTTGTAATTATTTTCTAGAATGTCGAGTTTTATTAAATTCTTATTGCCCATTTTTATAGCTAACCATATAAAAACGTTTATATACATACATTTATCTGTTAGTTTAACGAACAGGTGTGTTTTTGGGTAATTAGAATTAGAAATACATCAACCAATAAATTTTTAATACACATTAAATAATAAATAATAATTATGAAACACACAAGGAACTGAATTTATTACATTCTAGTGATTCAGTAATATGATGTAAGTTTAATCTTTTGAGGACTCTGAACAATACATTGAAGTTCTAATAACATTTTTTTTTTCTTTGAACAGTTTAATAACACATTGTTGTCGATGTGCATTGCACACGTTTTACTTTTCAAGATATCAAGAATATGAACCAGCCAGTTGACATTTGTCTTTGTAGTAATAATTTCCAATTTGGTCAGTTTTACGTGAAAAGAAATCTACGTACGGCACACCAATCTTTTTTCAATATTCCAGATTCCTTGTTCATTATATTTTATTTCCATTTGCGCACAATAGCAGAAAATATTCTCCGTGTTCTGAATGTATTTTTTGTACCTGCACCTAACAGCTGGCAAGCTATACATTCCCCCCTATATATACCCAAGGCAAAGAAAGCATTACGTAAATTACGGAAAACAAGTAATTCTTTTCAGTTCACGCTACTTTCAAAACTCGTCCGAATTTGAGATGGCTTTTAGTTCAAGTCCACATCATTTAGGAAACCCTTCAACGAATTTCACCAAGGTACACACCCACACACACACATGATACACATACATGCAGGGTCACATAATTATGTAAGTATAACATGAAAGTTTTCTTGATGGTGCAGGGAAAGATGACCATCCCATCCAAAGATCTCGACATTGTTTGGGGGGGAGATGATCGATATTGGACCATACCCAACGACATGTGAGTCTTCTTTATATATTAAGCATTGCAATACATATATACATATATATAATATAATATTGAGCACAAATATGCGTATATGTTGTAATGCAGGAATTCAGCAGCCCATTTGCATCAAGTTAGTTGGCTGGAGGTTACCGCTTCTGTCAGAGGAACCAATCCTAGCAAGAACTATGATGTGGGTTTTCGGGTATCGGTAACACCAGATGCATTTGGATGGAGCAATTATCCTGTCTACATTATGGTTAAGAGAGGAAAAGAAGGGAAATTTGCATGGAAGAAATTTTTCTTGAACACTAATGAGACTAATAAGCCATTTGAGATTACGGGGAGGTTGATCAAGGCTGAAAAACCACTTGAAGATTCTTCCGACGATCAAAGGGTTTACTTTGGTCTCTATGAAGTCTGGAGCGGCAAATGGAAGGGTGGTCTCAAGATTCACCATGCTTTTATCACAGAATCTCCATGAGAGAGAGAGAGAGAGAGAGAGAGAGAGAGAGAGAGAGAGAGAGAGAGAGAGAGAGACTGAGAGAGAGTTTCATATAGAGATGTATGCATATGCATATGCTGTATTTTGTATTTGATCTAAAAGAATAAATGAAACAGTGATGCTGCGGAACATCTTGTTTTTGTTCCCAGCTTCACTTACCTTTGGCACAATGACCACTTTTTGAAAGTCTGCTATTCATCTTCTTATTTGCTCTCATCTTCTAATATGACCTTCCTTGCGTACGGGCCGGACCCTTTAAATATGGAGCTAGTTCATTTTCAGGCATAGTAATCATGACGTCTTTCCAGCACAAAACATAATAACTTCTAAAAAAAAGAAAAAACAAACAATAATTACCATATATACTATGGTCTATAAATGAAATTTCAGCACACATCAAAATCAAGAATGACTAGTTAGTGACCAATATAGAAGCTTCAAGAAGATCCAGTTCGAGAGGAATGGGGGTAAAAGAGACAATAATACAAGAGAATAATTAAACAGGATGTAAGAGTGAAACAGAAATAAAGAATGATTCTCTTTCTCCTCAAGTAGTACAATTGGTCCTCTCTTTTGGAGTTGGATAAAAAAAGCAAGACCCACTTCACACGCAAACTCTCCATTGTCAGATTGATAAGAAATTCCCTTTCAAGCACAAGGGTTGATATAGATTATTCTACCACAGCTATACACATACATACATACATTCCATTCTTCGAAAAATAAATATGTAGGAACAAGGTTACTTCATTTTCATTCTTTTCTTGAGGTCACTAGAATCTTTGTCATCCGTGTCATCTCATGTTATTGGAAACCCAAATCACCACAAAAAAAGGGACTAATGTCAAATCAAGTAGTTCTTTATCATGATTTATTTCATAGAATCTTATGAATTTTGGGATGATCGAAAAAAGTCAGCCTGTATAGCTATACAATCACGATTATGATTCGTTATATCATCATAACTCGAAGGAAATTATGTGGGAAGCTACTCCAACTGAACAACCCATTTTTTTTTTTTTTTCATTAGTGGTTCCTGTAACAGTTTATTACAAATCTGGTCGAACACAAAGTCAGAAAAGAATACTAAAGTGGTGGCTACAAGAACAAAAGATAGACCGTTAAAAATATAAACACAAGATGCTAAAGTTATCACTTGGCGGCATCTGATTCCAAGAGATAAAAATAAAGATGCTTCTATTCTGGTGTTCATGCACGTCAATATTTTATCACAAGATAGGAATGCCAAGTATGTCTGACGCACACATGACCATCTTATTATAACGCAAAGCTATGATAATTTGTAAATTTAAAAACGACACAAGTTTCCAAGTAAATTTTTGTAAAATTTGAAAATTCGATTGTTAGAAACATAAAGATCAAGTTAAAAGAGCATTTAAATTTTTAAAAACAAAAAATAAGTTTCAAACCTTTTTTTTTTGTCTAATGAAGTTTTTAATATTCTAATTTATTTTCAAGCTTATAAAAATTTTGAATTAAAACATCACCAAACACTTTCGAATATCTTATAAGAATATAAGATCTCACAAGATAATTTAAAATTTTAGGAAGCTGCCCAGAAACCCTCTAAACACGGTCATAACACAAGGGTATCCGAATAATTGCATAGTAGCAGCATCAGAATTTGATGCTAAAAAACCACCCTTTTTCTAAGTGCCTGGTGTCATTACATAGTGGGATGGAATAAGCACAACACAGACGTTAAAACCACAAAATACATAAAAGTTAAAGCTCGAAATTACGTTCATCACAACAATTAGAATATGCCAAAAGTATAATTTAGTTTTCAATATACCAAATCAAGTAACATGTATAGAAAAGGAAAGAGGGCATCATATTCAATCAAGCGGCACTACTATATATAAACAGCAACAGTCAAGAAAGCATTAAGAGCAAACACATTTAAACTAATGGGAGCCAGCTTATCACAAGATGAGGCCTCTGAGCCAAACTATGAAGAATCAAGCAACAAGATATCACAGAGTAGCAACACTGATGCCAAACCAAATCAGAGTAACACACAAGTTCAATTACCTCAGAACTGTGATGATATTCTGAAACATGCGGATTCACCGGTCGACAGATCCTCAGCAAAGAAGCTACTTGAACAACTTCATGCAGGTGTATTCTTGAACCAGAAACGGAAGGCAAGTGGTCTGTTCTTCTTTAAGACAGTATAGATACTGAAAATTTTGATGAGTATGTATATTTTCACGACCAGTGTTTTCTTTATAGATGTTAAAAAAATCAAGCCTTCTTTTATTCAGTAAAGTGCGTATACCTCACCCATTTACGGAGAATGGTATGTTTAGGACAAATCATTGATATAGTATCCTGAATTTAGAGCGAATCACCAATTTCAAAAAAAAAAAGGAAAAAAAATCATCTGTAACACCGTGCTACCCTTCGTTATTGTTCTTACAGAGAAGTTTAACTGTGCAGAAGTACTGGGTTGATCAGGAGTCAAACCGCAACTGCTTCATTTTGTTTGCACGAGATCTTTCGATAACTTGGGGTGAAGACAATCGCTTCTGGCATTGGCCCTTGTTGAAAGAGTCAAGGTAAGGCAATGACAAGCAGTTTATAAACAGGCAGAGCGCAATTAAATCACAGCAGTTTTCATGTTTCTATGTAAAAATTATGCAGCACAAATCCCTCAAAAAATGAAAATCAGGATTGCTAAAACAAGGCTTTAGTAGTTAAATATGTATTTGAATTTTGCAGTGATGAAAGTCTTGCAGTTGCTGAACTGCTCGACGTTTGCTGGCTAGAGGTTCATGGAAAATTTGAGATAGCAAACCTTTCACCAGGAGCAACATATGAAATTTCATTTGTGGTGAAGTTAAAGGATCCTGCTTATGGATGGGAAAATCCCGTGAATCTGAGACTCACTTTACCAGATGGAAGCAAACAAGAACATAAAGAGAATTTGATGGAAAAGCCAAGAGGAAAATGGATTGAAATCACAGCAGGAGAATTGAAAAGCTCAGCTGAGAAGGCCGGAGAGATGGAGTTTTCTTTATACGAATACGAAGGAGGGAAATGGAAGAAAGGGCTACTAATAAAAGGAGTTGCCATCAGGCCAAAAGCCTGAGTTCTCTAATATTAGACATGTTTTGTAAACATGGAATATGTACTTCTCTATAAGCATAATTTACTAAATAATTGCTTTTGCAGGATTTATGAATAACTAATAATTGCTTCTAATTCTCTTCCTTATCTTACATAATCTGATGAATGAGTAGGAGACGGCTAAAAGAAACATCAGTTACAATAGTTACCTGATTTCCATAGTAACTCATGCAAACCAATCAAAACTAGGCGGCATCAAAGTTCTGTGTGATAATTTTCGGGCTTGTACCACAATGAAAAATCAATCCCTTTCCCCTTCAATTTCTCTGTTGCTGGACCAATTCTCTCAAGAAGCTGCATTCCATTTCAAGGTAGAAATAAGTTGGTTGTGAAAGGAAGAAAGCACGGATGGAAATAATTCATTATACTTTTCTCAATAAATCAATGATTTCACAAGCTGCTAAAACCAATAGCATACTTGTGCATATTTCATATCAATGTTAGATATAGAAACTAACCTTAGCATGAAGCACTCCATTGGATACCAATACTGATCTATCAAATACACAAAATTTACCCCCATCCATGCAAGAAACTGTTCCTCCAGCCTCCTCCACAATCTACTTGAAAGCATGAGAATTGAACATTAACAGAAATAGCTACTAAAAATATGCCACAAATTTATAAGCACAAAAACGATGTCCAATCACACATTAAGACGAAAAGAGGGACAAGTACATGTGAAACAGATATACTGACAATGAGGGATGAAAATTTACCAAAACGCCCGCAGCCATATCCCATGGTTTAAGACGATACTCCCAGTAGCCTTCTACAATCCCCAGGGCTACATGACACATGTCAACTGCTGCTGCACCGAGCCTCCTCACACCCTGTAAAGCCCAAAGGAAATTGCACGGAAAGTCATTTATGTAGTAGATTTGACAAATGAAAAATGAAATATTACAGTGCAACTTCTACTGTAACTAAAAAGAAAAAGTATTACCCGACTGACGTCAGTGAATTCCTTGAATAGCTCTATATTTGTTGCCCATGCATCATCATGCTCATATCCAAACCCAGTAACCAAAAGCGATCGTTCGACCTAGTGTTGATTACAGAAGAGTTTTCAGAAGAAAAAAAAATAATAAGTAATAAAAATTAAATTAAATCTTGCACCCACAAGTACAAAGTTCTATCATGGCCCAAGTATGGCCATGATGATAGGAGAACTACTCTAAAAATTATCAAATGGTTTGACAAAACCAGAAGAATATTTTAAAGGCTCATATACACTCCTAATCTGATGATCCTACATTCCACAGACGTAAGTTGTTAAGTGGTGAAACTTTTTTTCACTTGACACTAGTAATAATTCCACAACATCAAAACAACCAAGAAAGAAGCAATGGCACCGAAAAATAGGTGCACGATCACTCACCATATCAGTTGAACTTGCATGAATTTTCTCACCATTGCAGAAGGCACCTTTACCTGGAATTTCGCTGATACTGGATATCAAAAAAAAATAAAAAAGGTACAAATTAAACACAGCAACTAAATAGATTTAAGAATCTTCTACCAGCAGCTGCAGTAAAAGTCCGCGTGTTCCAACATTTAGGTCCACCAACAAACTCCACCTACAAATAAAGAGAACGCTTTCAACCTCCTGCAGTAAAGGATTTTCGTAAAATATAGCATCCTTTAGTTCACCTGTCTTGAGTAAGTAATGTTTTCCACATCATTCTTATTATTCTTCAGAGTCCACACAAAATATACAGGCCCTTTGATTTGAACATAGTAGTCTTTGATTTTCATTACCACCATATTTGTGGTGCTTACTTACTAGTTATCACTTATCCACTTATCAGTGATCACTGTTAAACAAAAATTTATAGTATTGCTTATGTTGTAAAGATATTGTAACATAATCTTCATACAGTAGTATGGGACTCTCATATATCACCCACATCAGATTCCTATATGACTAAATCCTAAAAAGGTAAGTTTAATTAATGACAAATCATGAGGTCACATACCACAGTGGCGGCAGCTGGCTTTCCTTTGTAAAGGACACTAATGGAGACGGCAAAGCTGGGATAGCAATGGGCAAAATTTGTCGTACCATCTACATAATGTTAAAAAGAAATAAAAAACTTAGAAACTGAAACCACAGTGAAATTAAATTTTCACAAGCTTTAATCATTAATGAGATCGTAACTTGTTTCGAGATACTCCAAATAAAACCACATCCGTGCACAACAAAATGAGCAGTCATAACTGAAAGAGTATTTGCTCCAGAAATGACTAGGAGTTTATTGAGCAATACCTAGGGGATCAATGCACCAAAGATAATCGGAAGATGAATCCCCAACGAGACCTCCTTCCTCCCCAAGAATTAGGTGGTCTGGGAAATTCTTTCTTACCACATCTAGTATAGCAATCTCACTCATTTTATCTGTACTGCAGACATATCTCCAATCAGTTGATTAAATTTGAAAGAAGTACAAAATATCATTGAAACAGCAAAATAAAAAGTTACACGTAGTTGTTGTTCTTAAAGAAAATCAGATCACATTCAAATGTGGAGCTAATAATGCAGCTTCAGTCATAAAAAAATATATAATAACATCCAGCAATAATTTATGTTCTAACTCTGCGACCTGAACATAGCAGTTTGTCACCCTACCTTAAAACCTGTTTTTCCATGTTTTTTTTCAACCACGAATAAATGAGTCTACACTAGTACAGCAGCATCATAGAGTAGCTTCCCTGGCTAGTTCTACAACTATTGGGGCAAAAAAAAAAAACATGCAAAATAGGACAAACTCAGAGTACCAACACGAAAGGTCTTACTCAGTCACCAGATCAGTGAGTCCCTTGTAGGTAATATTTCGAGGCTTATTCACTGCATCCATTATGACCTGAATTAAATCGAAACTCATGTCATTAACTTATAACAAATGCTAAATAACAATGTTAAGGGGATACAAAACAATGAACCAATTGCTCAATAATATTAATGTTAAGGGGATTTATGCTAAATATTAAATTAAATCTTCGGAGAAATTGAAGAAACCTGAGCACCAGTCTTGGCGGCAGTTTCAATCACGTGAAGAAGTTGATCGGAAGGAATGGATCCCGTTGATTCTGCGCCGACTTTGAAGTACTGATTCCGTTGAGGAACATCCGATAAAACGGCGTTTGTGGTGAACGCCCTTGTAGAGCTGGAATTAGAAGGCACTGTTTTACAAAATCCATATTTAATCTGCCGTGAATTTGCATTCGAACTCCTTGAGAATGATGATGATGATGATTTTGGGAGTTCTAATGGAAGAATCGAAGCGGATTTAGGGCATAATTGCGAGAGATTGAATGTAGATGATGAGACAATTATGCAGCGTTCCATTTTTCCTTTTGGAGAGAATGAGGAGTGGGATTCCCTTTTGCCCTACTGTGTTTCTGTTTATTTGTGCTCTCTCTGTGGACTTGATTTGCTTGAGAGAGAAGGAAGGATATACTAAACCCGATTTTTTAAATCGGAATATCTGAAGTATCAAAAACGCTAATTGAAGAGACTGCAGGGAATATTATATTCCCAAATTATGGGCCTGCAATTGAATTGGTTCGAGGGTTATGCATAATTAATAAATGGGCCACAATCCAATATTTTTATCCAGGCTCACTGGAGTGGACGGACGAGATGCATCCAATTTATTTATTATATGGGCCTCAATTTGAATTGGGTGACGGTTACAACTTACAATTTTTTTTTTTTGAGAAATAAATTACAGTTCAAGGAACCGATTTGTGAGTTATTGTATGAGAACAAAGTTTACACTTTGTTTGTTGCCGATTTGGCGATGATGTGATCGTGATATCAACTTGATTTTTTTTACGTCAGCTTCTAGCCTCGTTTGATCTCGGTCAATTGTCGGTCCTGCAATACCCAGAGGGGTTTTTCGTTGTAGAATTTCCGTCGATCAAGTCAGGAAAACGATTTTATGTGTTTTTAGTTAAAAAAAAAACACTAGGGAATAAGAGGTTGTAAACTCCCTACTTATTGGTATTTCTTGTCTTGAGATCTATTGAGATGCAAGCTTCATTAGGGTTTTTAACCTAATTCCCTCTTTATTTGGGTTTGTCACATTTAATGGGTTTTTAAGTTAAATAAACTCTAGTTCGCTTAATACACCAACCCAAAGTCTCGTTATAACACCTTATGGTTACCTCATATATATCGACATACAACGTGAGATGCTAATGATAATATCTCATTGTTAGGGTTTCATATGCTTTTCGATTGGACTTTCAGCTTTAAGCCGCCCTTCTTTGACTTTTAGTTTGCTTTACTCATATGGGGACGATATGGTCCAAATCAAATAGCAACCACTAAATTAAACACCGAGATCAGCATGTGATGGAGGCTGCTAATCCCTTGTTTAATGAAAAATAAAAATGATGTAATTATATGTCATCACTAATTAATCATGACAAAAATTGCAGCTGACAAGTCAAAGTCTGTCTCTAGAAAGCTATAAAGTTGATTAATGCATGTTTGAACACCAAACAACATTTAATTAAATTATTAATTAATTTCCATGCATGTGATGTGGTGGTTAAGTCTTAATGGTTTGTTTACTCTTTGGACTTAGCTAAAACACTTTGATTTGTCCTCTGACAATCTTCTCTAACCACTAAATTTATTTTTTTCTGAACAATCTTATCAAAAGATGTGCCCTTAATACCATTAATAGAGAGATCACAAAAGCTGGTCAAATAATTGCATTCAATTATTTTTCTTTTGTTTCTCTTTGGGTTTTCAAACTATGTGATCAGTATATTACAGCTCCACATTACTAGAAATAATATTAAAAGTATTTATATACAAAAAATAAATTAAATTATGAACAAACCCTAAATCTAATGCCTTCTTTTTTTTTTTTTTTTTGAGCACAAGCTCAAATTTTTACATGATTGAAGTTGGAAACCTGAAAAAAAAAACTCATTCTTCACTATTTTCATTCGATCTGCAAGAAAATAGAGATTATTAATAGCTAGCCCTTTCCACATAATTAATTAATAGAGAGTAATTATACTATACGGCATGTGATGTCTAATTAATTCCGAGTTAGTTAATTATAATTAAAATTAAAATGGCTTTCTCTGATTGGTCCACTTTGGGAACAAGTTGATTGAATTGTATAGACATCGGAAAAGGAAAAAGAAGAAAACAAGTCATTAGGTTAGAAATTAAGGAAAGCTTCGACTTTTTGCCCTAATTTGTCAAATACTAATGGAAGCAAGCCTAACTTTCTCCCACACCTGACTTTTCTTACAAAACAAAGGATGAACTATGCTATATACAAACAACTTTGTAACACAAAAAAAATACTGTAATAACAATTAAGTATTATATGTATATATATATACAGTAATAATGTATTATTGTGTACTGCTTAGTTTTGCAATTAGATATACTACATATGTATGTTTTAATTTGCTGTAGAGTGTATATATGTATGGGTTAACTATATCTGAACAAATAAAGACCTGAATCTAGCAATTAAGCTAAGTACTCATCCAAACAGCTTAATTATGATGTCATGATATATAATTATTACTAAAAAGAATTAATCAAGAACTCACCGTACCATACCGGGAAATGATCGATAAGTGCAGGCGAATGTGGAATTCAGAAATCTAATAGTATATAACTCTTGAAACGTAATCTTTACCGAGTGTTGTTGGTGAGTGATTGAAGCTACTAGATGACCTGATGATCGATGAACCCAAATCTTTGAAATTTCTCCTCAATCAATATATACCAAAAAATAAAAAAACAGATCCAAAAAAAAAAAAAAAAACCTAATTAGTAATTATTTCGAAAATAAAGATTTTGGAAGATCGAGTTAAAAGGGATTCTATTGAATAAACACCAGATCATGCTGGCAGCTTCAACCTCTCAGACCAACACACAAATGAAGCTGACATCAGTACAAAAGTACACAAAGAACAAGGCAGCCAGCCAGCAGTATTACTACAAGCAGCAGCTTCAACCAGGGTTTCATCGGCCCATTGATTTTTTTTTTTTTTAATGACAAACATATATGTTGTTGGTAAACAGGAGCCATGCACATGTATATATATATATACATAAATGTGCATTGATTTTGAAATATATATGTAACGAAAAACTGTATGTGTGAGATATAATATTAATTAGAGCTTTTAATATTTATTAATAATGGGTGGTTTAATTAATTAATAATTAATTTATGTGGCCTATTATTACAGCTATTGACGCTGACTTGTTGCCCTGTCCGAAACCCTTCTTCCATCTCTCCCTTCAAACTGTATCATTTTTTATTTTTCAAAGAGCAGCTCTTTGGACCACTACCCATGTTCACTCTTTTCTCTTTTTTTTTTTTTTTTTTTTTTTTTTTTTTTTTTACTACTATATATCAACATTGTTAATCAAGAATATTAATTACCTTAATTAGCTTTGGTTTAATTATATTTTGTAATATAATTGTTTGTTTGCTAATTAATTGAACCCATAATTATTGTTAAAAAATATTAATTGAACTCCATAATTATTGGTAAATAATGGGGCCTTTGAAATTAAAACAAGAAAAAGGATAGATCCAAATAAATAATGCAAATTAATTGGTTTTAAAGGCGGAAAAGAATATAAACGGCGCATGCTTGGTTCTGTCACATGGGCTTTGTCGATTGGCCCAGACAGATCGCAGGAATCCTATAACAAAAGATACTGCCTTATTACTTGTTCTTTTCAAATATATTCACCCTATTTTAACAACTCCGTTTCATTTTTGTCCTGCTTCATATCTACCACCACCCTAAAAAAATATATATATGTACAAAAAAAATGATTTCGAGATTAAAAAAAAATAAAAAAAAAAGTCATAAAGATATGGTAAATGTGTTAGAGGGATGTATGAAAAGATTATTGTCAGTAGCATTGGATTGTAGTTGTGTCGATGATTGGACAAACAATGGCACAAAAGACAAAGGGGTGCGTGCCCTAACGGAACAGGAGGACCACATACTTTAAATTTTCTGTTATTATTATTATTTCTTGATTATTGGATAGAGTCACATGGCTTTGCCTTGTTATTTAGCTTTTAACTCTTTTAATTTTTCATGTGATTAAGGTTGGTGGTTGTCAATAAAGCTGTCCCTGATAAGCTTTTCTATGTTTCCTGTTCATCATCTATCACTAATTTTACCCTTCTTTTTTTTTTTTTTTTTTTTTTTTCATTTTTGCCCACTAGTTTCTTGTTTAGACTTTACTTAATGACCCATCATTTTTTTACCATTTTTTGCTTAGATCTGCCCCTTCGTCATTAAAAAAAAAAACACACTCAAAATGGAAAGAGGTAGGAAAGTGATTACTTATGCAAGTTGCAATGCATCCAAGATTCAATCTAACTTTTGCTTATTCAAATCCATTTAATTTTAAAAGAAAAAACGAAAATTTCCACCCTCAGAGCCCTAATCACCTGGTCCAGAATATAAATCATGATAACTAAACGGCTCAGGCTCATAAGGAATTAACTTTCGTTGGAATTGGAATTGCTATATTGCGTTGCGGCTATCAGTACTCGATTCGAGGACATTGCACCAATTCACTATCCCGGAAACAGTTGAGGTATACACATGCGGGCATAAATACCTTGCTTTCAATTGTTCAAAACTTGGTGACTAAATTGAATACACATTTAAGAAGAGGGGGCGAATTGATTAATCAGTACAACGTTTTGTCTGATTCATCTATGTATCTGGTGGCTAAGTGGCTACTAAAACACAGTACACACTACTATTCTCTACAGTCTGTCTTAAAACCCAAAACAATGTACATTTTACAACCATGGACCATTTTTATTACTCAAAATACTGTTTGTTTACCCGTGTCTGTATTTCACTTGGAAATTAATTAATAAAATAATATCATCCTTTTTTTCTCAAATTATTTAATAAAAATTTATTCTGGTCAGCCCATTATCTATATCAATCTACAGTTGTAATAGATTTATTGGGCTATGATTTTCTTAGAGACTTGAAAATATGGGCAGGCCCAGAAACATTATTCATACATAGTTGATAGTACCATAATAGATTTATTGGAAAATTGTATTTTTGGCCCTCCATGTTGGCCTATTTAGGAATCTAGTCCTCTAACTTGTCATGTTTCAGTTTTACATGCAATAACTTTGCAAATATAGTATTTTTAGTCCTATTTTGCATGATTTTTAATTTTATGACGCAACAAATAAACTTGATAAAACACATTTAATACAAGATTTTACACAAGTATCAAAACATCTTACAAACTAAAATAATTAATCATAGAGAGTTAATTTACTCAAACTAATCACCTTCAGTTTCTATATTAGGCCAAGCTTGATCAGCCTGTGATTTCACAAATCGGGCCAAGAGTTGAATCTCATCTTCTCGCAGTCGAGGCCCGAACGTGCATTGACCTCTCGGCGTGCAATTCTCACCAAAACCCTGCATGAATCAACAAAGGCATGCCTCTGTTAATGCACTTGAAATATATATATATATATAAAGAAAAATACTCTTCTTGATCTTGAAACTCACGGGCATTCTTCCTTTCCCATAGTACGTGACTCGATATATTTCCTCTTCTGTATCAACTCCATTTCTGCGAGAAATAAAACTCAGTATATCATAAACATTGTAAAATGCCAAGTGGTTTTGAATCCTGTGTTACCTTTGTAGATCTTTCGATAACAGAGTCGCCCCCTGGAAAGATAAGAAAATTAACTAACAAAGATCCGAAATCCGATGAAATTTAACGTGGAGCCTACTTAGTATTTGTGAGTGAACTCACAGGCTGTATAATGTTTCCTCCGGCAACATGGCAACCTATGCAAGCTCGGCGGAACAAGGTGGCTCCTTTTTGAGCATCTACTGTTTGTCCCAGTGATACTGTAATAAAACGAACTCCCGTGTTAAACAAGAACACATTGATTATGAATTACAACACTCTCAAAAAATAAAACTGGATTTTTTTCTCATTTATTCAGTTGATCAAGAAAATGGCCTCTATATGCAGTTTCTGGATTACAGATATTGGCAGTGGCAGACAAGACAAAATATTTATCGTTAAAAACAATCACATTGCACTGTAATAAGCAAAAACTGATAAATTCCCTACATGCCCAGATACAAATAATCACTGATAATCCAAACCCTAGAACATATCATTATCAATTATCAAGGATAAGGCAGTGGTTTTACCAGGTGGGTTGCATATAGGTGACAAGGCTACGACCGCCGCCAAAAGTGGTGGTGCCAGGAATTTGAACAGATTCGCCTCTTCTTTGTGACATTTGCCAGCCGGTTCAATCTCGCCCAAAATCTTCAGTCGCTTCCGTCGATAAACCTAGAAATTTTGTAATCATTAACACTGGACCACATTCTGGCAAGAATTAGATGCAATTAAGGGTAGCCCACCTGTGTTGAGAGCGAAGAAATGCTGCCGCCGCAGCTAGGCTGCACAATTGAGATTAGTTGCATGTTTTCCGATCTCGATTTCTGGCCGTCTATGGATTTTTCCGATGGTACTAAATTTGGAGTTAAACGACGTAGTATTGCTGCTAAGGTATTGATGAAATTGGACCAAAATGCCCACCGGCAATTCTTTTCCTACGGTGCTTAAATTGTCAGGCAAGACTCCACTAAGGATAAAAGCGTAATTTTACGCCAACTCCTTGCTTATCTTTTCGAAACACATTCCCGTTATATTTACGGCAACCAAACCATCCCCAATCTCCCCCCAATAGGATTACGAACAATTGATCGAGCTAGGGTTTCTTTGCTTTTAATTTGGGTATAATAAATTGTTCTGATTGGAGATGGCGGTGTTGCTGGAAGATATTGTGAAGTCTGTGGAGCACCTGTTGAACCTGATTGGGAAGAAAAGCCAGGAGCAGTCGTACGTGGACCCCACGCTCGACCCGGTTCTCCTCGTGCCCGGGATCGCCGGTTCAATTCTCAACTCCGTCGATGACAAGACCGGTAAAAAGGAGAGGGTTTGGGTGCGGATTCTTGGGGCCGATCACGAGTTCCGGAACAAGCTCTGGTCTCGCTTCGATCCTGCCACCGGTGATTATTCCACAACTCCCCCAATTTCGTGAAATTACGTTTTCATCTTTCTATATTCTAAGCTATTGTTGAAACTTTAATTATTCCTTTTTGCAACATTGAACATAAATATTGGATTTTTACTGTGGTTTAGATTAAAAATCGACACTCCACTAAAAATATTCTCTCATGTGGTTTCAGAGAAACTGAAGTGTTCTTGATATCAATAACTGAGGAAATGTAGTATAATTTTTTCGAGATTGTGTACTTAAAAGTGTCCCAAATTAACATTTATGCTTGTATGGATGGATGTATCGAACTTTATCCTTCATTTTTCTTCGTATTTTCTATGCTGCACGCATTTATCTAGACAGCTGACATATGCTTTAACAGGTAGTACGGTGACCTTAAATGCTGACTCGCATATTGAGGTTCCAGAAGACAGATATGGATTATATGCTATTGACACGTTGGATCCTGACATGGTTAGTGATTCTCCTTGATGCTGTCCATTTGGTAGATCGTGTGCCAATATATAGCGCATTATATGTAATTTTTCTCTATTGATCCTTCATTGTAGCCATCTGTTTTTGTTTTTACATCCCTTTTCTTTTATCTTTTAAGTAGACCTTAATTCTGTTTGATATCCATTTGCAGGTAATCGGTGGTGACTGTGTATATTATTTTCATGACATGATAGTTGAGTTTCTCAAATGGGGCTACAAAGAGGGGACAACACTTTTTGGGTTTGGATATGATTTCCGCCAAAGCAATCGGTAAAATCCAAACTTTTTGACAATAATAGTACGCTGAAAATGTTAGCTTGTTGTGAGAAAGCATTAGATTCTATCATACTACACTGCGTTAAATAACATGACTTGTTTTCTTCGTTTCCAGATTCGAGGGAACACTAGAGCGCCTGGCATCAAAGCTTGAGTCTGTGTATACTGCATCCGGTGGAAGGAAAATAAACATAATAAGTCATTCTATGGGTGGTCTTCTGATAAAATGTTTTATGAGCCTGCATAGCGAGGTAATACTCTAATTCTCCTTATATTGCTTATTTTGTATTTATTTTGCAGCGCGTCTGGGAAATTAGTAATGATGATATTGTTCTGTAGATATTTGAAAAGTATGTTAAAAGTTGGATTGCAATAGCTGCACCATTTCGAGGTATGGGGCTCTTTGAACTATTGCTTTGGTGTTTCATTGCGCAAATTTGATTCTGTTTTTTAAGCATCATTAATTTAATGGAACAGGTGCGCCTGGATATATAACCTCTGCATTCTTGAATGGAACATCATTTGTTCAAGGGTGGGAGCAGAACTTTTTTATCTCAAAATGGAGTATGCAACAATTGGTATGTAGTTCGTTACATTTCTTATCCGATCTTTTACTTTTGATGATGAGGCGGAGTTTCTGTATTCTCAATATTTATCATTTCCTTTCAGCTAATTGAATGCCCGTCAATATACGAACTGATGGCATGCTTAGATTTTAAATGGGAACACGTTCCACTTCTTGAGATCTGGAAACAGAAACGTGATAGCAATGGAAATGCAACAGACACAGTGATGCTAGAGTCTTATCCACCGGCAGAAGCTATACCAATCTTTATGGAAGCTCTTTCTGCGAACAAGGTGAGCTTTACCAACTAAATTAATTGTTATGGCACTTACACTATTTTATTAGTTTACTTACATGAGAACAACTTCCATTATTTAATAATTGTTTTTCCGTACAGGTCAGTTACGACGGCGATGATATTTCCATGCCATTTAATACAGATATCTTGAAATGGGCTAACGAGACACGCAAATTGTTGAGCTCTGCTGAGGTTCCCGATCAAATTAAGTTTTACAATATCTACGGCACAAACAACAACACGCCTCATAGTGTTTGGTAATAATGATAAATCTGTCAAAGTAACATTTCTCTAGCATACTGAAATACAATCATATGCTCATGAGTTACTGTGTTGCAGTTATGGAAGCGCGGAAACTCCTGTGGCTGATTTGCATCAACTACCAAATCTCGTGGTAAATTTCTCAGAAGAACCTGAATGTTAATTTTACTATGACTTGTTATATAATTTAAAAGTTTACTCTTGACTTTTTTCTTTTGCAAAAATTGAAGGCCAGGTACATATATGTGGATGGTGATGGAACTGTTCCAACAGAATCTTCCAAGGTATTTTCAGTTTTTTGTTCGTAGATTTGGTCTAAATGTTCATTTTTTACCCTTTTTTTTTTCTGGCTTTCGATATATGTATTCATTGAGTGTATGTATATATAGGCGGATGGGCTTCGTGCAGTAGCAAGGGTTGGAGTACCTGGGGATCACCGAGGGATCCTGTGTGATCGCCATGTGTTCAGGATTCTGAAGCATTGGCTAAAGGCAGATCACGATCCTTTATACAACCCGATAAACGACTATGTAATTATACCTACAGCATTTGACATTGAAAGCCTCAAAACAGAGGGTCTGCAAGTTACTCGTCTGAAAGAGGAGTGGGAGATTATCGGGGAAGAAAATCGAGACTGCAACAAACGAGATGGAAAGCCATTTGTCAGTGAAATTGATATTATATCTTGTGTGGGAGGTGACAATAATAAATCTTTGAAGGAAGAAGCTCATGCTAGTATAGTCATTCAACCTCAAAACAACGGGAAGACGCATGTCGAGCTTAATGCCGTGTCTATATCAGCTGCAACTGCGTAGAAATCCTCCAAATTCACTATACATGTTATGTAAATATTGGAAAAATTGTATACTTAATCTGTAAATTATATGTTGTAAACTGAAATTATTATCTTAAAGTTTACACCAAGAATGCGAATTTATTCAATTATTGCTTTATCATATACACAATTATGTCCCTTTTTCAGACATGTAATGATACAACCAGCAAAACTATTACAATTTTTGTCTACACATTTGCCTCTCATATTGTGTAATAATTCACTTAAATACCTTATAGACGTAACCTTCACCAAATAATAATAATAATAATAATAATAATAATAATAATAATAATAATAATAATAATAATAATACACAAGCATGGAAACTCACGAAGATTGAGAATCGGATATCTTTGGCCTCTTAGGCTCGGGCTCGCCTAACTGCAAGGAAACAGAAATCTCTTCTTCCGACACATCTTTCAACACCAATAAGCTATCCACACCTGTCGTTTGTTCTTGTTCGCCGTGATTTAGAGGAGATTTGCACGCAAAGCTTGGTATGAACTGGTGTTCTACGCATGGAAACACCTCATTACCATCGTCATCATCATATGTGGAAACTTGTTCAACATTCAAATCAAGCGGTTCAATATTCTCTTCACATCTATTGACACGATCCAACGGTGAGCATTCTCCTACAATAGAATCAACTCCCACCATTGATGCATTTCGTCGCTCTTGCAGTGCAGCTAAAAACACAAGTAAATATCGAATACCAAATAAATAAAATATATAATGAAAACGAGAAAACAATTTTTGTTTTAGAAACACGAACCATAGAGCTCTTCGGCGGATGTGACAATATCGAGTTCTAGAAGATCAAGAAGACGCCCCAAGTCAACCCCACTAGTCCAATTCTCCGGCGGTTGACCAACTCTCAATTTCAACCGACCTCGATTAGCGGTCCCACCCCAAATAATGCCAACAGGGCGGGGCTTCTCACCGTTCGGACTTGTTAACAGGATAAGACTTCCACTGTCACCCTCAAGGTCAAAAGTCCGTTGATTCTCTCCCACAACTAGAAAATCCGTCAAAAAGCATATTCCCTTTTCGTCGTTGTACTCGAGGGAATATGCCATTATTGTCCCTGTTGTCAAACCAGAACTCCTCCCAACTTTCACAACCTGCCTTCCGATGAGATTACCAATCGGAGACTGCAAATCTATTGTATGCACACTGCCAATTTCACCAACACCTTTCACAAATGTCGTCACGTTTGCCATGTTGAAATCTTCCGAAAATGGAATGAATGCCCCATCAGCACGAACAAATGTTTCTGCATGATGCAAATATTATTTTAACAAGCATACAATTTAATAATTTATATTTCTCTACGTTTTTTCGGAAGAGAGGTAAGCTATTTATATGTATATACCTGGATTAGTTCCAGCAAAAATACCATACCAAAGATCATCGGATACAAATGAAGTAGCCCTTTCAACAGCACCTAAATAAACCCCTGGTCCAAGACTTGGAGGCAACGGGTGGAACATCTTTTGACTCGGGTAGTCAAGGTCAACCGCCACGTGTCGGTTTGTGAGGAAACCGACCTGCCTGTTACCTGTCCTGCTTTTGACAATGGCACCCAATGTTCCGTAAGTTTCTTGGCTTGCAACCTAAGAATACGGCCCACAAACATACCTTAAACAACTTGTACTCTCGTATATATATCACCATTCACCAGAGATATCTATCCTTAATCAGCATTCTTGAAAAACAACGAATTTATTACCTGCGAACCTGATCCGATGCAAGGATCACTTCCTCCAAAACCATCTACGAGCTCCGTATATAGTTGTTCTTTTGGTGTAGGTGCGGGTGCACCATAGTAAGAGAACTCAACTACATCAACATCACACCAAACACCACCAGGTCCCTAAGAAAACACATTACAAAGAACAACTTTATTAAAAAAATAAAAAAATAAAAAAACGAAGTCGTTATTTTGAATAATTGATAAAGAATTAACACGTCTAGTGCCTAATCTAGGCCTCGTTTGGTTGCAAAGATAAGATTAGCCAAGATAATAATATCTCCGGGTCGACCCGAAAAATTATTGGGCATGCAAACATCAAACAGAGTCCAATTATTAAGTTAATCATTGCTAATCTCGCCAACCGAACGAGGTCTAAAAGTACCAAATTAAAAGAGTCCCAAGAAGGTACTGCAAGTGTGTGTACAACACATTTTAGATACCGTCTAAATCAGAAAATCGGAGAAACTAAAGATATACAAGAACCAGTAAATGTAAAAACCTCGAGAGCAGTCGGCAGACACTCGGCAGGGTTGAGCCACTGCCTATGCAGTTTTCTAGCAACAAATACGAGTATAGCCGGTATATCAGTCAACAAGCCCTCTCTGATTCGATAGCCAATGGCAGTGCCGAGGCTAAAACGGCGTAGAAGCTTGCTGTGAAATGCTCGGATAGTCATTAGTTCGAGCAACATAGTTGCCTGCAAACCTGTCGGACGGCTGCCGAAAGTTTCTGGCAAGACCCCTTTCTGGAGATTGCCAAAGTAGTGTGCTCTATCTTCTGCACAAGGTGCTATTGGATAACAAGGCCATGAAAAGTAAGCTGCGTTGCTCTCGGAAAGCTGACCGTTGGATGAGAATGGCTGTTGTTGCAATGCCGGTGGATTTAGTTCCGGCAGATTGAGATAGTTGATGGAGTTTCGTTCGACATCGAGCGCTGAATCATCGGAATGGGAGGAACCGGAATTCCGGGCACTTAAATCTACTCTAGCCATATTCATATTCAATCAATCCAATACGAGCTCCTAAAAAAACAAATTGTGAATTAATTTACAGATCAAAGGAAATCAGTAAATATCGACAATCATTGCTTGCGATTTCGTAATAACGACAGAAATTCGGAAACATAGTAGCAAATTTGCAACATAAATTGACTACAAGATCAGCTTTTGGGTAGAATCTAGATAATGAGGATAAAGACTATGTAATGTAACAGTCTTAAGACCCTTGGAAATAATAATTCAAGAATCCTCAAATAATAAATCTAAAAAAAAAAAAAAATCGAAACTTGAATGCAAATTCAATGAAAAGCTAACCTGTTAGGGATAGCAAAGAATTTCATACCCTAGGCAGATCTCCTCACCCAACACAACCATCTTCAAAGATCAATCTGTTTATCAAGAATAAATTAGAAAATTGATGTTTGATGCACTAAAATGAATTTTGTGACTCTGATAGTGCACTTCTCAGTGTTCTTGTGAGAGATGAAAAGGGTTTAAAGGGAAAACTATTCTTGAAAAGAAACTAATGAAAAGACTGTATTTTTATAGTAGTTCATATGCATACATACATGTAAGTATTCATCACACAGTAAACTAATATATTTGCCAGTGTTGTAAAAAAAGAAGAGAGAGTTAATTTAGAAATTAAGTAGTCTATTTTTCCAGACCTTTACCCCTTTTTGGTGTCACATCATACAACAGCAATTACTGTAGACTTCTTTTTCTCGCCACTCATCATTTGAGTGATCAAATGATGGCACACGTTTTTTCATTATTTGATGATCAACAAAGTTTAAATGGTGGCAAAAGGGAGGTGGATATCATTTTTCTTTGGATTCCATTGAAATATATTTAATATAGGTTTTTTTTGTGGGAATTAAGTGGGCCCCATGCATATTTGCTCCCCAAAAGTTGCACATTTGTTCTTCATAATAATTCATTTCCCACTTATCATAATTTCGTGGTGTGTGTGTGTGTGTGTATTTCTCTGTAAAAAGTGTTGACCATAAGGAATCTTGACTCAGCTGATACTGTAAAGAGAATTTTTTTTTTTTAATTTTTGGTAAAAAAAGATTTACAGAAAGGATTTGAAGAGAGTGAATGAAATTGATTATTAGAAATTACAGATTCAGAAACAGTGGAAAAGTAAACTAACCGAAGATGAAAAAGAAGGTTGTTGATGAATGTTGAATCTTCATCCCCCACCGTTGATAACCTCCTCAACCAACAAGGGCCCCTTACCATCAAACTTTTCTGCACATATCTGCGCAGCCTGCCTGCCTGCAGATGGTGTCTTTCTGTGTGTGTGTGTGTGTGTGAGAGAGAGAAAGAGAGAGAGGAGAGAGAGAGAGAGAGAGAGAGAGGGAGAGGGGTGGTGGGGGGTGGGGGGGGCCCGGGGACAAAGGAGGGCGGGGTGCTGTCAAATATCTTTTCATTATCTTATCTGATCTTTTTTTGTCAATTATGAAATCATCATCAGAATTGACTCCTCCCCCATCCAAATATTATTACCCTTAATATTATTACATTTTCCATTTACTGCAAAAACTTAATCATTAAAGCAAACCACTACAAACAATTACTCGATAACCGTGTCTATTAACCACTGGCCATACGTCTATTCATTCAAAATATTTTAATTATTGCATACATTACTCTAATTTATATATTCATTTAGTGGGGGTGGGGCTTGTACGGACTGGACCTGCAAATAGGCCCCCCCTCCCAATTAAACTATTCATATTAGTATTACATTTCATACAAGCTGACAACATTTCATCCGATAATTACGGCTTTGCACGTTTTCTTGTTTTTTAGATTGCCGCATTATTTTTCTTCATTTGCAATTAACTTTGTTTTTCTCTCAAAAAAAAATTAAAAAAATTATTTTGGGGCAATTTATTATTTAGTATTTATTACTAGATTAAAAAATATTATCTCAAAAGAAAAAAAGAAATTGGTTAAATAATTGTGAGTGATGGTGAATTTTAGTTTTATGTGATCTTTCCTTCCTTCATAGTTTATTTGGGCCGGCTCAAATCCGTAACCCGAACGAGGAAGGGCATAAAAGTCATTTAAAAAGTCTGAAAAATAAATTAAAATATTTATATTATATTCCCGAATAAGGGCAAAAAATTATTAGCTTTTTATATAATAATCGGGGGGGAGAAGGAGATTCTATCAGAGAGGGCCCACAATATGTCTGTTAGTGACCGGGACCCACCACCGCGTAGCGTCGACGTTCACGGCTGCGACCGCCTTTACCGTGCACTTACCGATTGCCACCGCCGTATTCCGGCCGGTCCGTCGCGCGAGGCAGCGTGCCGCCACCTCAACCGCTCTTTCGCCGAGTGCCTGGTGGGGGTGGCCTGTCCTCGTGAGTCCGACGCAGTCCGCAGCCTCTGCTCCAGCGGCGGCACCGCCCTTAAGCGTCGCCAATGCCAGGAAGCGCAGCTATCTCTCTCGGCCTGCCTATCCAGTCATCAAACTGAACTCTGAGATTCGACTGTGTTTTTCATCGCCTGCGATCGATCTAAGAGCCAATTCGTTCTCCTTCCTGCCGATTCCCCTTTGAAGGAGAGACCAATTTTCAGTCTACGCAGATTGGTTGTACGTAGCGCTTCAAAGAATGTACCTTGTTGAAACGTCACCGTTTTCATACTTTTATCAGGTGCAGTCTGAATTGTCTATTGTTAGAAAATTATGCTTTATTCTTCCATTCGTGATCAAGAATTGAACTTTTTTCCTCCATTCACCAAACTCAACAAATAAATTAGCTTAAAAACTTGTGAATTTATTGAATACAAACATCCGATAATCTCGTTTTTCCAAGCAAAAACACACAATTATAATTACGTAATAATACACACAATATCTCTCTACTTAGAGAACCTATTTCTGTCATGCGGAGAAGAGTAATCGAGGTTCGGACCATGAGGAATGATTCCGAAAGGATTAATCGAAGGATGACTTCCGTAGTAATGCTTCTTAATATGCTCCATGTTCACTGTGCTACCAACTCCAGGTATTTGGAATATCTCTTTCGTGTAATTGAAGATATTCGGATACTCACGTAGTAACTTCTTGTTACATTTGAAGTGAACTGCATACACCTGCAACAACATAGAATTTCACAAATAAAACTCGAGAATTTTCCTCAAATAAAAACGATTTCTTGAAAATAGAAAGTCACGTTTGACGTACCTCATCAAATCTAATGAGCGTCACAAACAAGCGTATATCCGCTTCGGTTAGCGTCTCTCCGCACAAATATCGCTGCTTGCTCAGTATCCCCTCACATTTGTCTAAAGCTTCATACAATTTTGTCACAGCCTGCAAAAAAATAGCATCAGATTTGCGCTGCCGTTAGTTTTAAAAAGAAGCAAGATTTTTATTTTTGTTACCTCATCGTAAGGTGCTTGTTTCTTAGCAAATCCGCATTTATAAACGCCGTTGTTGATCCCATCGTATACCCAATCATTCACTTCATTGATTTGGGATTGCAAATGAAGAGGATAAAGGTCCACCTCAGCATGTTCAGCAATATCATTGAATTCCGTGTTGAACATGCGGATTATCTCTTCGCTCTCATTGTTCACAATTGTTTTCATTTTTTTATCCCAAAGAACCTAGCGCATGTACGTAATTAATACATTCTCAGTTAGATCGAAAAATGATATAAATATGAATAAAACGAGTAATTTTGTCGTACGTACCGGAACTGTATATTTTCCAGAGTAATTAGCACTAGCAAGATCGTACAATTCTCGAATATTTTTCACTCCATTTAAATAATCAGGCTCAGCACCCCGCTCCTCTGTATCGGAAACCGGAAAAACCCATCCCATGTGGTCGTCTGTATCCTTTGTCCTTCCCCATATTGGTTTGACCGACTGATTAACGAAACGGAGATTAAATGAAAAGTGAAACTAAAATTCCATATTAACTAACTGACAGTTATTGTAGATAAAATTCCATATTTATTTACTTAGAGTTTATTGCATTTACTACCCCTGTGAAATTCGTAACTGCATGATTTCCCCCTGTCATAAAAAAATTAGCAAATACCCCCCTATACTTATTAGTCAAAGGCGAAAACCCCCCTTGGAGCTGATCGTGCGGCTCACTCGCCGCGTTTGCGATTTTTTCTTCCCTTTTGCTTATGAAAGGACAAAACTACCCCGTGGTTATTTGCAATAAAAAAAATACAGACCTTAAAAATATAATTTTTAAAGGTAAGGAACTAAATTGAATTTTTAAAATAAATGCAGGGGTTAAATTACAATTTTCCAGAACTTAATTAAAATCTTAAACCTATCCCCTAATTTATTTCCTCGTCTACTCTTCTTTCTCTCCAAAATTTCTGGAAATTTCTGGACCTGAACGGCAAGGATTTAGGAAGGTCGAGGAGAGAGAGGGGTTGAGTAATGTTTGTGGTTGTGGGCGGTTGAATTGGGGTGGTTGTGGGCGGTTGAATTGGGGTGGTTGTGGGTGGCGGATTTGCAGAAGGCCGTGCTCCGTTTGTATCGGTACTCTGAGAAATTGTCCCGGTCGGACGGCGGACAGATGAAGCGGAGGTGGTGGCTGTGTTGGGCAGCGCAGGGGAAGTGACGAGGCGGGCGGCGAAGCGGAGGTGGTGGCTGAGTTGGACGGCGCGGGGAAGAGACGAGGTGGGCGGTGAAGCGGAGGTGGTGGCTGAGTTGGACGGCGCGGGGAAGTGACGAGGTGGGCGGCGAAGCGGAGGTGGTGGCTGAGTTGGGCGGCGAAGTGGAGGTGGTGGCTGAGTTGGGCGGCTAGTTCGGAGTTTTTTGAGTTGTCCGGCAATGGTGATTTTAGGTGTGGTGTAGGAGAGGGCTTTTTTGAAAGTGCAAAGGGCTGAAATGAAAATTAAAAACTTCATTTTTTTCTTTTCTTTTTTATATATTTATATTTAATAATATTTTGTGTATTGTATTTGTTTAAAATAGAAATAAAAAATAAGATTTAATTAAATATAATGAAAAAATTCGGAACATGTAATATAACAAACTTACTCAGGGTATTTTGGTCCTTTCACGGTTGGTCAATGGAAATAAAGTAAATGGGTCGAATGTGCATTCTAGAAGTAAGCATAGGGGGGGTATTTGCTAATTTTTTTATGACAGGAGGGAATCGTGCAGTTGCGAATTTCACAGGGGTAGTAAATGCAATAAACTCTATTTACTTACGGTGAAAGTGATTGCTTTGCTAAGCCCTTTGATCTTGAGGTAAGCAAGACACCTGGATGCCCAAGGACAAGCATACGATACATACAGATGATATCTGCCAGATTCAGCTGGGAATGGAGAATTGGGATCTCTTGAAATCGAATTACGAAAAGTCGAAGCAGTCCTTATAAAAGCTCCAGTTGCTGACATTTCATCAAGAGCCGAGCGAGCCATTTTTTGAATAAACGTGCTGAGAATTACATCAACCCTCCAAGTATTAATAGCAATCATCTTGAAATTCCATATAATTATTGAGCTAGGTAGTATATTTGAAGAAAACGACAGTGACTTATGAATCTCCCACTAAATCAACATATTTGCACTAAAATTATAGTTTCTAAATTCTAATCCTTTTTTTTTTTTTGTTCTTTCCTAGTATCTTCAATAGCAAATATTTGTTAAATAAATCTTGCAGCATCCTTTCAGATATTCCAAGAACAGTAAGGTAGCATTTGGATATGAGGATTTGGGGGAAAAAACCCTAAATCAACAATGAAAAATCAAATGAACTTGTGGATTACTAATTTAAGATGGATTTATTTACAAATTAGTCTCTTCAAGTCTCTCTCATCTGTGATCGGCTTAAATTCCTTTGTTTCAAATGAAGCCTTGGATTTCTGAATTGGAACTCAAAAATGAAGTCTTGCAATCACTAAACAGTAATTTTTTTTTATATTTGTAGAGGGAGACAAAAGATGGATCACTTGACATAATATATAAAAAAACCATTTGTAGATGAAAATTGATTAAGTTTGAAGAAATAAGTAAAATATAATAAGCAGTAAAAAGAAAGAAAGAAAGAAAGAGTGAAAAGTAATTAGAGATATTATGATACCTTGAGAAAGAGAGAGAGAGAGAGAGAGAGAGAGAGAGAGATGTTGAAGATGGCGGAAGGGCTTTCTTCTGTCGGTCTGTGTGTTTATTATATGCTTCTTCTGGGTTGACTGTTTAACAACAACTATTCAAACTTGGCTTAATTCCACTTGCACCCTTGAAATATATCATTTTGTCACTTTGCACCCTCGAACAAATTAATAGCACGTTGCACCCTCAAAATACAATAAATCATGCATAATGCACCCCAAATGAATTTTTAAAGCTAAAAAATGTAAATTTAATATTTTTAGTGATATTTTTTAGGATGTCAAATGTCAAATATTTTTTTTTATTTTTTTTATTCATCAATCAATTTGAAACTATAATGTTCAAAAATAAAAATACATTTCATCAACATATTTAAAAATTAAATTTTTTTATCAAAATAAAATATTTCACGAAAAAAAATCATTCAGCTATTCCATATTAAGTTATATGGAAATCATATTTTATTCCAAATATTTTCACCTAATATTTTCAAACAGTTATATAAAAGATCCATCAATCGAATAACTTAGTGATAAAATCTTATTTTTTATTTTTTATTTTTGTAAGAAAATTTAGGTTTTTAAATAATCCGGTGTAATTTTTACTTTTTCGCACTTTGTTTGCTCGAAATTAGGTTTGAGGTTCAAGAAAATAACAATTTTTTTTTTCTATTTTGCACCCAAAATGAAAAACACCAATGAAAAATGAAATTGCTTTTAGTATTCAAACCAGGGTGCATTGTGAATGATTTATTGTGTTTTGAGGGTGCAAAGTGCTATTATTATTTTTCGAGGGTGCAAAGTGCCAAAATAGTATATTTCAAGAGTGCAAAGTGGAATTAAGCCATTAAAACTTTGTTTAAAGGACATTTTGTAATTTTTTTCTACTGTTTAGGTTAGCGTCACTAAACTAAATTAAAAATGGATCATGGATCAAATCATTACTACTGATGCACTACAAAGTGCTCGCCCTTTTTTCTTTAATAATTCAAGTCCCATTACAAAATATTAATTTTTTAAGATTCTTTTTTTAATATATATTTTTTAAGTGATTAATGCGGTTGTAAATTGTAATGCTTCTTTGCCTACGTGTTGGGCCATTTTTTTCACAGAGATGATACATAAATAGCTGTTATTATTGAAAAAGCTTTAAAATTTCATGTACTAAGCCCAAAACTAAGGTAGGAATATGGGCCCATTAGTAGTGGCCCAATTTAGTCAGTTCCAGTGAGTCCAGCTTATAATAAAAAAAAATTAAAATTTTAATTATTTTATCACATTAAAATATTAATAATGGTTTAATAGTTAGCTTATTATCATATTTTTGTATAAAAATATCCCTAAGTGTACATTTCACAAGCTCTTCTTTGTAGAGGCTATTTAGTATTCAGTATTTACCTCTCAAAATGAGTCAAGATTTTAGAGAGAGAAAGCATCAATTTACCGGAAAATGGGAAATTTATAGAAAAGGTTTTCACAAGCTTTTGCTTAACCATCATTATAGTTAACAAATTGGCACCCCTCACTTGACTTTCTCATCAACTTTAGCCAAATGTTTTCGCTAAATTTGTGCCTTTGATTAGAGACTAATAATTATTGAAAGGATATAATAAATATGCAGCAGCTGTTATGAATTATGGTCGTATAATAAAGTTTTTCTGTTGAAGAAAAATCATCAAGCTTTTATTTTTTGAACTGTGCAAGATGGAATAAAGAGATAAAGTGATGTAACATGGTCATCATTTAAAAGCAGATAGGTAAATGATGAATATGAATTATGCTTAAAAACATGCTGTTCCTTACTTCACCACACAAGGAATATATACAAATCATTCATATCAATCCATCTATTCCTATATATATATATGTATATGAACACCTACCTTATTGTTCAATAGTTCCATATAAATCACCCCATAGCTCAGTATTTTTTAGCCAAAAAAAAGGAAAGAAAATGCAAAGTCTGCATATTCTTCTAACCCTTTTGTTCCATGCATTTATGTTTCAAGTTCTGGAAAGTTCGTTATTAACCGAAAACCAGCAATATTACTACAATCAAGAAAAGAACTACGAAGGCTCGTCCAACCTCGTAGACCTCAAATACCACATGGGACCTGTTCTTGCATCCTCGATAAACCTCTACATTATGGTACGGCGAATGGAACCCCACACACCAATCCACCATTCGAGATTTCATCCACTCCTTCTCTTCCCCTGCACCCTACCCTTCAGTTTCCGACTGGTGGTCCACCGTAAGCCTCTACACCGACCAAACAGGCTCCAATATCTCCCAAACCATCACCCTCTCAAACGAGTTCCACGATTTCAAATACTCCCACGGCAAACACCTCACCCGCCTATCAATCCAATCCATCATTAAAAACTCAGTCTCTTTATCTCCGTATCGAAAACCATTGCCTCTAAATTACGAAAACGGCCTCTACTTAGTGCTCACATCTTCCGATGTGCAAGTGCAAGAATTTTGCAGGGCTGTTTGCGGGTTCCACTATTTTACATTCCCATCGGTCGTAGGGGTCACTGTGCCTTACGCGTGGATCAGATATAGTGGGACCCAGTGCCCAGGCATGTGCGCTTATCCGTTCGCATGGGATAAATACTCCGGTGTGGCGCCGCCCCACGGTAGTATAATGGGCGCCCCTAATGGGGATGCTGGGGTGGATGGAATGATTAGTGTGATTGCGCACGAGCTTGCGGAAGTATCTAGCAACCCTTTGATTAATGCGTGGTATGCGGGGGATGATCCGACGGCTCCGATCGAGATAGGAGATTTGTGTGTGGGTGTTTATGGGAGTGGTGGTGGTGGAGGGTATTTGGGAGAAGTGGAAAAGGATTTAAGGGGGAATGGGTATAATTTGAATGGGGTGAAGGGGAGGAAGTTTCTTGTGCAGTGGGTGTGGAGTCACGTGCGAAGGAGATGCTTTGGTCCTAATGCATTGGATTAGTTTAATGGCACAATTTCTTGGTTGTTTTTTTTCTTTTTTTTTTTTTTTTTCTTTTTAATGCATGATGTACTAAATACTGTACCAATACAATGCGTGTGTACTTCTTTCATGTGCATATATATAGATTCCAAAATTGTTTAGGCTGTTCAAATATAATATAGAGCATTAGATGGCCAAAGGAGAGGATTGTATCTAATTCAATAAATATCACAACACATCAGAGCAACGAATGCAATACCGATTTAGAAACCTAAAAACGAGGCTCTCGGGCTCGGGAATCATAGCAGAGGTTAAGCTGTTCCAGAAATGAACGGTGACAGACTCGTTCGATATTTTGTTAAATACAACATCTTGTTCGGCTTTATCAATCTCTGTTCCCGGTGCAGTCAAGTATCTGCTAACAGATATCAAGATATTAAAAAAATAAAAAATAAACACGCGAGAGAGAAGTAAAAGCTACATTATAACGCATACCTTAAGATAGTATTATGACCAATGGGGAAGAAAACAGAAGCTGGTTGCAGTGAGAGCTCAGTTGTTGTAATAGAATTATCTTCTTTACTCAAAACTTTGTTGGCTACTCTGGTCAAAAGATCGGCACCATTCCACCTCAACTTGGAATCATCATACGATGCATAAAACTCCTCCAAGCACGACATGATAAAAGGACTGCACAGAAATTAATTGCACTCGAGATTATTTTATCATGAACATATATTTAATGATATGCAGAGAACCATAATGTATCCTACACTTTGGATTTGTTTCAACACAAGACTTTATACACCAACTCACCAATATTTATCCTATTAAGCTATTACACATACTTTTTGTTCGTCCACTAGTTGTCAAATGTTATATACCATAGGGAAGTCTTTGTTGATGCTGTTTGACTACAGATTCGATAAATATGGTTAGATAATCATAGATTGCTGCTCTAACTCTATTCATCATATTGAAGTAACTTCAATTCATGCCACTGCAAGACTAAGCAATACATGTATGATGGTGATAACATATTGAAATTTGTGGACTGTGGTGCACCTTGATAGCAGAAACTTAGTTATGTAAGACGTGAAATAAAAAAGTAAAGCGAAGCGGACGCAAATCCAAATTTCTAAAGTACCTGTGCTTTCTAAATGCCATCAGGGCGCCATTTAAAGTTTTTCCAGCAGAGTCGTCCTCATACCCAACTGTATTATTGAGTTCAGATAGTGGCTTCAACACTAAAATGTCTGAATCAAGATAGATTCCACCATATCTAGATTTCATAAAGAAAAACTGAGGCATGAGATTACATCAAATATAGATATTAACAAAAGGATTTACTGATGCATCAAAATAGAGAATCAATAATAACAGGAAAAGTTAACACATGCCTTCCTTATCTCGTAATGAAAATCCAATTACGATAATAAATATCCCAATCATCTTATGTGTACACAGTACACTAGTAAACTATTTGCGTACTCTGGTGTATATCAAGCCTTAAAAATCATACTGCCGATTATGGATCTTCAAATGATGCCACTGTAGAGAGTGATCTTCAGAAAAAAAGTGCGACAGACTATGAAGATATGTACATGCTGAACTCAATTGTTTCTTCACATTCATATTCAACACATTTATTTATTGAAGTCCTCTTAAAATTTAAGCTTGGTCTATTCATGATGGCATTACAAAATGCTTGGTTTTAGTTGAACCAATTTTACTGATAAATATCATATTCATTAGATTAAGGGGGTGAGTTCTACAGAAAAAGACAGTCGGGCATCTATTAATCTAATTCAATTGCTTACTTGTAGAGAGCGGCAAGCCTGACCAATTCACTGTAATGAATGGGATAATGTCTTGTCTTCTTCCAATCATGCCAGACAGAAGCAAATATGTGAGTTGGTGTATCTCTGAGCAGCTCGTCAAGATCTGGCATCACAGCAGCCACTTTATATCTGACAAGAGAACTAAACATTTAACATTGTGCATTTGTTTCATCATCATCATAGTTAGAACATCAGAAACAAGAAGCTGAAGAGCCACACACATATATATACAGATATATAATGATAGATAGAATGGAAAAGTTTGAAATTTCCAAGAAATTTACCCATCTTTCACAAATCCGGTGAAAAAATTGAGCTCAATCGTTTCAGAGAACACCACAACGCATGCATCTGCGTGATGATATAAAAGGCTCTCTAGCCCTCTCTGCTGCCGAACACCAAACGCCCATACTGGTGAATTCCAAACCATAAAGACTCTCATCTTACACATCCCTCTTCTGAAAAATGCATCCATAAAATTACCAAATGACAACCTTCCATTCAAACCTGGATAATAACCCCACCTCTTACCATCTGCATAATACTCTTTCGCTAAAGCCTTACTACCCCTCACTTTGTTGATCTGGTTATTGTCCAGAGTCTTTCTCTCCACCCTCCGCACTTCCTTCTCGTTTCCCTTTTCGCCAACAATCCCGGTTTCTGATTCAGAAATAGCCAATGGCTTCTTGATTAGGAATGGTGTTCGCTTAAACTCATCCATAAGACCCTTTTGGAAAATCTTATCGCCTCTTGTCAATCCGGTTACTCCTGTTCCATCCGGATCCTGCAAAATCGGATTATTCAATGGATTCAGAATCTCAATATTAGACTTGAACATACGGTCTCTCCTTAAAAAATCGCCCTTCTTATCGAACCATTCTCCCCACCCTTCCCTCAATACAGAACCTTTCAACAACAACGCATCCTCAATTTTCTTCACTTCACTCAGCTTCTTCCGCAATTTCTCATCCACTAAAACATCGTCCGATCCGAACACGGGTTCAGTATCATCATTTTTAAACCCTAAATCAGAAGTAAGTTTCCAACTGAAAGGAACATAGTCCTCCCATTCTTCAATGGAGCGTCGATTAAAAGATCTCCGAATGACGCCTTTAACAGGGTCAAAAAAGTAATTGGACGAAACGGCGGTGTTCTGATTCTGCTGGAGGGCGTCTTCATCTTCTTCTTCAGCTAGGATTTCCTCGTTATTATTGCTACTGCCGTCGTCTAAAACGGCGTCGTCCAGCTCGTCAATGCGATCGTCGTTGGAATTGGTGGTGGTGATGCCTTCGGAGTCGAGATCGTCGAGAAGGGGGTTAAGGGAGTAATCATGGGGGAGAGGGTGGGGATGTTGGGAGTGGGAATTGAAGAAGGAGAGGCGGCTGTGGAGGAGGGACACGGAGAGGAGGAGAAGCACTGCCGCAATTAGGGCGCAGACGTGAGCGCCGTAGCGGGGGCGCCGCCGCGAGCGGAGGTGCCGGAGCATGTGACGGAGTGGGGTTTATTTAGTGCCGAGATTTTACACAGTGCGCCGTTAACCGTCAAAAGATCAACGGTAACATGACCAGGCGACTGAAATCTGGAGTAGCGGCGTTGGAGCGAAATTGTGCGGCCAGATCAGTTTGTTATGAAAAGACGATATTATCCTCCGTTTCCCGTACGTTACATTGAACATATTTTAGTATTTTACCAATGATGACATATAATAAACACCAAATAAAAATAAAAATAATTAAACATATTAATTTTGAAAATAAAAATGAAAATATAATGTGAAACAATAGAAGAAGATGGAGCATGAGGAATAAGGAGCCATCAGCTAACCAAGTGACCTGCCCATAAAAACCATCCAGGCTCTTTAAAGCAAGGCCATATAGGCAAGTCATCCTTGGCTAACAAATCAAAGACTCCTTTATTTTCATGCTATACATCTCTTCTTCTCGAAAGTCAAAACTCAAGTCGTTTAACTTCTCGTTGCAAATAACGAAGCATGCGTATGCATCTATTTATAGGATTTGTTTGCATTGCGAAAGCTGGAATTGCATTGACATTCTTGCGAAAAAGAAAAAAAATGGAGGTTCAAGTTGTGGGATCGGATTCTATGTTTATGTGTCGATGGATTAGTGAATACTGTTTAGGAACAGCATCCACGTTTCGGTTTTTGATTTGATATGATATATGCAAAGACGACAGTTAAATAAGTTGTCAACTCCTCCATTGGAGGAAGCTGTTTATTTGTGTGTGGAATGTGATTCATCTTTGATGGTCGGTACATACAGTCAAAAAGATAGGGTATTGGCCCTTCGTTACATTCAGATATCGGAGAACGAAGAATGAATATTGACCTTTGCACGATCGATGTAGATTATTCTGGATAACTATAGCATAGCATCAGCAAAGAATAGATTGATATTGACTCGATTTATCGAAAACATATATCATTTGATCAAATCAAAAATCGAGCATCAAAATATTCTAATTTATCCACTATGTATTGTTCTTGCAACCAAATAGAACAATGTCAACTGCCCTACTTTCCTAAAGGAATGTGAATCTGCCTCTATGAGTGGCTATTGGCTCGTTTGGACAGAAAAGAAGTGGGAATCCATGCATGTCAAAACCTTCTTACGAAATAAGTGAAAACATTGCATACACCCCCAAAAGTATGTTCAATATCAAAATATATTTTCTTCAAGAAAAAAGAAAAAAAACAGCGCAAGTCACAGTAGCTATACTGCTATCTACATCTTATGGAATTTTACTCGAACATGGCTATTGCTTAATAACACATCTCCCTCCATAGCTGTAGTGGGTGTGAACTTTACAAAAAAAAAAAAAAAAAAAACAAAACAAAGAAGCAGAAGAGAACTATCTTGTAAGGCAGGGCTAGCCACCAAGCACAAAAAGATTATCCAAAAATATATTCCCCTAATCAGTTGTCCTGCCAGCACTTCGCTTTCAGAAATGCTAGAGATGTATTACTCCAGGCTTTCTTCAAACAAAGATAACAAAAACGGCCAGCAAGTACACGTCACTAACAAAACTGCCAAATCTTTTTCAAGACTCGTCGTTTTGTAAAACTGATATAGTGACCAAAAACCATAGAGGAGGGGTTGAAGGAGATGTGTAGCAATGAATGCACAAGTGTTATAAGCGGGCAGTGGCATGTTCCTATTGAGAAGGCTTCATACCTGTCCAGTTAGTTCTAATAATTTTCATTCTACTTCTCAACATCCGTAATTTCTCCTCCTCTATAAGGTTGTCCCTACAACCAGCAGCGAGTTTGAACCCTTCTGAATTTAATTCCTCGAGATTGAAGCTGCTGACCTTGGCATCAATATCTTCGGACAAAACGCCTTCAGTAGAAGTTTTGATACCATGGCTCTTATTAAGCTGAATTGTTTCCTCGAGGAGAACTTGTGGGCTGCCAATTTGAAGACCCGTATTTGATGCAACATGTTCTTTAAGCTCATTGCTTGCGGATGGCAAATCCTTTTGCTCCTCAGAATTTGAGGGCTCTTTTATATCGCCACCCGTGAATTGACGATTTATTGAAGCTTGAACATTTTCTAACCTAGTATTAGCGTTGGGCATCTTAGTTTCATGAATGCTAATGGATTTTTCACAACTTTGTTTATCACCTTTGTCAAGGATCTGACGAGGAAGCGGTGAATCACTGCCTTCATTGTTTCTAAAGACGGGTCTGACCAGCTTTTTGCGTTTCAGAGTTGTCTTCGTGGAACTCTTGGCCTCTTCATTAGCAACAATAATTTTATTACCTGTGGGTGATTCAATTCCGGTCCTAACTAAGCTTTTATCTGTATCACTACGACGCTTGAAATCCATAGCTCGAGTTTCTTCAAGCCCTCCATCAATACTCTCTGGAATAGCCTTACTTGCTGGTTCAATTCCGGTCCTAACTAAGCTTTTTTTATCTATCTCACTACGACGCTTGAAATCCGTAACTCGAGTCTCTTCAGGCGCTTCATCAATACTCTCTGTAATAGCCTTACTTATATCAATTGGCTTTTCTTTTTCCATTGCTGAGTGATTAATCTCAATATTGCCCTTGATCTGCTTTCCGTCTAGAGCAGATTTTCCATGTTCAGGTTGCGCAACTACTCTGGATTTCTTAGGCTTCCTAGCTGACAGATTATTAGCGTGCTTCAACATCTCCATTACTTCATCAGCTGTTGCATCTGTATAACCGCCTTGGCAATTAAAATCTCTGTCACTTTTTCTTTCACTCAACTGGCGTTCATGTCTGGAAGTCAAGCGACTGAAAACACTTTTTCTGTTGACATTGGAGCCAAAATCTGGAGCTTCAGAAATTTCACGTTTCTCCTTCGGATTCATATACAGATTCTCATAACTTGCAACATCTCTTTTGTTCTCCTTCGGATTCATATACAGACCCTCATAACTTGCAATCTCTCTTTCTGGATAAGTACTTACACCAACATCCTTTGCTCCAGAGCGAATGAAATCTTCGCCAGCAAACATGTACATATCCTGCAGAGGAGCATGCTCACTCTCATGTTGGGATGCTGTAGGAAGATTCCTATCAAATGCACAATGATTTTCATTAGAATTGGAGGGATAAGCAAACAACAATCCTTTTTCTCTCTCGGTATTTTCGGAACCACTGTAAGGTGGCGGTGCAGAAATTGGAAACAATGGACCACTGTGATTAACATGAGCAGAGTTATTGACATCTGTGTGCATAGACAATTTGGAGTTCAGAACAGAACCAGTGGTTTTATGAAGCAATGGACTTTGGTGTACTGATGCATTTGTAGATAGACATTTATTCCCAAATTCAGGCCCGATATCAAGGTATCTACTAGACTGCAACTCTGAGTAATAGGGTGACGACTTATTTTTAAAAGAGAAGTTCCCCAACGGAGCATAGTGAGGATGATTTTCTTGCACTAAATTAGAATTCAAATTAGCTGCCATGGATGCTGAGTATCCATGAGAAAAATTGGTCTCTTCAGGCATGTAAGGGGCAGCGGCTCTTATAATGGCTGCATCATCAAATTTTGAGCGAGAGAAGTCAAAATTATGAGCTGCAGTAAGTGGAGAGCACCTTTTTTCTGGTAATAACTTCTCAGGAAACGATCGCTTAGAGGGTGACGGATACTCCATCGTGTTGAAAGGGCTAATAACCATTTGAATACCCTCTTCATTGTCTCCTCTGTCACTGTTCATATATCTTCCATCATTAACTACTCGCCCATCAAGGCATTCAGGATATCGATTTTTCCTGGTCGAGAAGGTTGAGAAGAAAATGTTGTCGTCAATATTTTCAGTTACTCTTCCTTCTACAAGCGGATAATTACTGTCACGAACAATCCTGTGACCACTGTGCAATGGACGTGACAAATTTTCAGATGAGAAGTCTTCCATAGAACAAGTACCAAAATAAGGTTTACTCTCTACCCTATCGTTGAATGGAAACCTTCCACCTGCAGTTGTTTTTCTTAAATTATGCAAAAGGTCAGCAGAGTGCTCAAAATCACTAACAGGGCTATTACAACCATCACAGTCCAAATGATATCTATTTTCCAATTTGCTAGTCATTGAGCCCCTGTTACCGCCCATCACTTCCCTTGTTTGCCTAAATAAATCCAGGTTGTCATCTCCATAAACCATCGGTTGAACACCGTGATCTCTTTGATGAAAATCACCATAGAACCTGTGCTCATGAATGTGTTCATCAATGCCATACTTGTTTTTGCTTAAAGGCTTTCCATAGGGATCTTTTGCATATGCCTGCCCGGAACCATGGTCCATCTTATATTCATCAAACAATCTGAGCCTCTCCATAAACCGATCATCATCAGAGCTTCTCGCGTCTAATGGGTTTATCAGGTAATCAGGCGGCAAAACAGGATTGAGAACTCCATCCACTTGACCTCCATTACGCACCCTCTCAACTGACGATAACCGACGACCATCAGCTAATTTTCTCCCCTCATCCGATGAATACATAGAGGAATCAAACTGAAGGGTCTGTGAAGTACCATGGTTATATGTTCCATTTTCTGCCATGTAGTTTCTGATCAACCTGTCATCGGTATCTCTTCTTCTCTTTTTAGGCAGAAAATCTCCTCCGGCAAAAGCATGTTCTTTCTGTTCAGTGTTGACCCCATCATCTATAAAAACTTCAGCTTCTTTAGCTCTAGCCAATGAGTTCCCATGGTCACGTCGGTATACAAAGGGGTTAAATTCACCATGTTCCATCCTTTCCATGTATCCACTCTTGCTTAATGCAAATCTGTCATCACCTGCCAGTTTTTTGTCCCTACTAGCTCCTCTAACGACTGGTTCGGCCAGCACATGAGGAGGCCTCTTGTTTTCCAACTTTCTTGAACTGAACAAAGACAAAAGCCTGCGAACCTAAATATTGATAGAATAAAAAATATCAGCTCTTTTGATCTCCCAGAAGAAGTCAATGAAAAAGAGTAAGAAGCTTGCCAACCTGATCTTTGGACAAACCAAAATTAAATTTCTTTGCTGAAAAATAATTCTCTCTGATAGCATCTCGAAACTCGTGCTCGGAAAGGGGGTCGCAATACCATATCGGAGTAAAAGACACCTGCACACAAAAATATAGGTTTACTAGGCAAATGAAGAATAGTATGTGACCTGAGGTGATTCCACAAATGACGAAATATCATGGATTAGAAAATAGACGAATTTCCAACCAAGAAGAGAGAATCCTTACGATTATACTACAAATGAAACGGCATAATCGAGGCTTGCCATACCTGTGCAGGGAAATGCATCCCTGAATGATTAAATGCGTGAGGAACAATATCTAGTGCACCATCACAGGAGGCCTGATAAACTCCAAACAGTTGTCTCTTCTTGAATTCAAACAGAAATAAAACCATTCCAGCTTTGATATGTTTGACAAATTTTCCCATGTGAGATGGTAGGGCGAATACATTATGTTTAAAACACTCTTTCTTTGTCTCGGTGCTTGACATGAAGATTGCACCAAATTCTGGAACTCTTCCAGCAGCACCATTATCCTCCTCGTTGTCCCACATCGAACCACCTGCAAAACTGCCACATTGACAAAATTGAGAAAATAACTGCCACAATTAAGACAAGGAAGTACACCAGAAGCAATTTAAATAACCAAAGTCTCCTAGTAGTTCTTCTTCCCATTTATTTGGCCTACGAAACTCAATATTTTGTCAAAACAGAAACTAAGATTTGAATACGACAGTCTTGTCCAGTTTAATGCATCAAATCCTGCCACAACTAATATGATTCAGAATCTAGACAGACATTTCAATGATTCGACTTCCTTTCTCCAGATTTTTGTAAAGAAATCAACAGACAGAAATTTGTTTTGCTTATCCAATTGCAACAAAAACTCCATTATGCTACTCCGATCTCATATTACGTGTCGTATACGAAAACTGTTTTCCTATTCCAGAAAAAATAAAAGAAGGAATTCCACCCCCCTGAGCCACATTGTGATCAACATAATCACAGAGTAATAAAACAATATAAAACTACAGGAAGCTATCAACTTACCAAAAAAAACACAGATTAACCTATTTCTATCAAATTATGCGCAAATCAAAAGAGAGAACAGCAGTAAAAACAACACTATTCATCACAACAGCCATGTACGAAGAGAAAATCAAACAATGAACGCAAACCAAACCACCTTCACGATTTGATAGTGCATATTGCAAACAACAATCAAAACCTAAAAAAGCAATAATCATAACATACTACGGAACACCGATTAACATTAAAAACGAGGGTTACTGGAGAAGTTACCAAAAAAAAATTAGTTATTTGCCGACACGCTAGGGTTATTGAAAAAACCAGTGGAAAATCTGAAGAGCAAGGGTTTCGTCCGTAAGAGAAGGTCTATTTATCTTCGAAAACGTTTTAAATTTCTCGTCCAACAAAAAATCCTTTTCTCGTGATCAAGCTTTTGGAATACCAAAATCAGAGGACTCGGAATTTGATATATATATACACAAGTTCGAGTAAGAGTAAAACAAATCATTCGAATATTATTATTATTATCCCATAATATTATTTTACACGTGTGCATTTATTTAGTAGCCGGTTTTTTCTCGAGTTGGGGAAGAAGTGGGAATGTCGAGATTATTTTAATCTCCGAGGGTGTTTGGAGCTTATAAGTTGTTCAAATAGCTTATAAGCTCTTTCAAATTATTTTTTTTGAAAAATTAAATGGGTAAAAATAGCTTATAAACTCATTTTCGAATACTTCAAAATTAATTTAGAAAATAACATGTATCAGCTTATTAATTATTAAAACAGTTTATCAAACTCATCGGTTGTTTAAAATAAATTTAACCAAACGAGCCCTAATTCTATATGGGCTTATTACGTTTCTAATTCTTTAACAAAAGTTGTGTAGAAAATGCTGACCCAAATCAAAATTTTGCAAAGTGAGCCCATTAGCTTTAGCCCGCAAACAAATTTAGCGTTTAAATATTGATTTTCAATGAATTTAAACGGAAAAAAAATTATATATATTAATAATAATAAAAAAAAAAAAAACAGACGGGAGGATGATGGAATATGGATAGCCGTTGCCTGATCAGAGAAGAAGACAGAAAATCATCTGTCATGTAGCGTTTCTGATATTTTAAGGTAATAAAATAAAATGCGCACACATTATCTTCTCCACACTCGAATTCACACACATATGCATAATATAATTACATAAGGATTGTGTAACTGTAATGTATCCAGAATAAATATTTTCCTTTGCAATCAAAATAAAAATCAACTCGCCTATTATATGTGCGCATTCATGTAATCCTCTTCTCCAAGTTTGTTTCTTCATTCTTCTTCACTTGTTTTAAGCCCTAATTTGATTTAACTTCATTTTTTTGTAATCAATTATTTTGTAGGTTATCAGTTAAATTTCCTGTAAATTATATAATCAATGAACAAAGACACTGTGGATGTGGTGGGTTCAAATTGAAACCAAAAGGTTCTAGTGTTCAATCTACAGAGAATGAGAAGTCGAAACGCGACAGCGTTTTCATCGACAAACGTGGCAAATTCAGAGAATTCAATCATAAGAAGGTTTCAAGGAAAAAAGGTAATCATGTTTTGTTTTTAATTTTATTTTATTGTTTTCTCTCATTTGCCTAAGTGTTGGTTGTGGTAAAAAAGGTGGTTCATTGAGGGGTCAAGGATGGAAATACGGGTCGGGATTCGTCGACGGAATATTCCCAGTGTTGAGCCCCATTGCACAAGAGATTCTCAACTTTGTGCAGAAGGAGTTTAATAGTACAAGTAGAGTTTGGTCTTCCTTAGACAATTTGCCTCCCACTAACACCAATTGGGATGACCTAATCAGCATTGCGGTTCGCCTCCGTCTCAACAAAAAATGGGATCCAATCATAGTGGTATATACCTATATATACACCCGTGCAGTCCTTTTATTTAATTTCATAGGTACGTTTAATAATGATGCATTGTTAAATGTTAACTACTTTATGTAGCAATATTTAGAAGCTAAAGAAAATCTACTGCGTCGTATCTGGTGTTTTGTTTTATTTGAATTGCATCGATCGTTTTGTCAGATGTGTGAATGGATGTTGAAAAGGAGCTCGTTCAAGCCAGACGTTATTTGCTACAATCTACTTATAGAGGCTTATGGGCATAAACTACGTATTAAGAAGGTGGAATCGACTTATTTAGAACTCATCGAAGCTCAATGTATACCTACTCAAGATACGTACGCACTTCTTGTGAAAGCCTACTGTAAATGTGGATTGGTTAACCGTGCTGAATCTGTTTTTACCAAGATGAGAGCAAATGGCTTTTCACCAAGTACGTCTCGATGTATTGTCTATGGCCGTGTTTGGATAAGAGAAAGATGTTATTTGATTAAAAAATTTGTTTAATATCTACAGATACGACGGTGTATAATGCGTATATTGACGGGCTTTATAAAGGGAGAGAGTCTCAGCAAGCTCTGGCTATATTCGAAAGGATGAAGAGAGAAAACTGCGAACCAACCGCCGAGACGTACACAATGGTGATCAACATATATGGGAAGGTAGTGATTATTGCATTAATCTTTATTGAGACGTTACAAATATATAATTAATTCATACCGAAAACTCCACTCTTTTTTTTATTTTCCAGGAAAATAAATCTTATATGGCCTTAGACGTGTTTCGCGAGATGAAGAATAGAAAATGCAAACCTAATATTTGCACTTACACTGCACTTATGAATGCATTCGCGAGAGATGGACTATGTGAAAAGGCAGAAGAGATTTTCGAAGAAATACAAGAAGCAGGGCATGAGCCTGATGTGTATGCTTATAATGCTCTTATGGAAGCTTATAGGTAATTTCTCGATGCATGAATATCCTTATATACTAACGGAATCCCAAAAATCGACAAACATTTTTAGTATAATTTGCTTTCTATTTTGGGCAGTCGGGCAGGTTTCCCTTACGCTGCTGCAGAAATATTTTCTCTTATGAAACAAATGGTGTGCGAACCGGACACAGCCTCGTATAATATACTGTTGGATGCTTATGGGAGAGCAGGCCTTCATCAAGGTACAATGTCCCATTATATCAACAAAATCCATTCACTGCATTTAAAGAACGAATTTTTACAATGCTCTGTCTTGAGCTTTGAGGAATTCTTGTTTTGAGTCTCTCTCTCTCTCTCTCTCTCTCTCTCTCTCTCTCTCTCTCTCTCTCTCTCTCTCTCTCTCTCTCTCCATAGGTGCACAAGCCGTGTTTGATGAAATGAAGCGACTTGGAATAGAACCGACCATGAAATCCCACATGCTCCTCATATCAGCCTATTCAAGAATCGGAAACGTGCTAAAATGCGAAGAAATTGTGGACCAGATGAAAAGTTCCAATCTCAAGCCAGACACATTCGTCCACAACGCAATGCTGAACTTATACGGTCGTTTGGGCAGGTTCGAAGAGATGGAGCAAGTTCTCGCAGCAATCGAGAAGCCCGACATCAGCACCTACAACATCTTGATCAACGTGTACGGACGGTCAGGATTCGTCGACAAGATGGAAGAGGTATTCGAGTCCATTATCTCCAAGAAGAATCTGAGACCGGATGTGATGACGTGGACTTCTAGGATTGGCGCGTATTCGAGGAAGAAACAGTTCAAGAGGTGCACCGAGATTTTCGAAGATATGATCGACAGTGGGTGTTATCCAGATGGAGGGACTGCTAAAGTGCTTCTCTCTGCTTGTTCTAATGAAGATCAGATTGAACAGGTTACTCATATTGTTAGAACCATGCACAGATCAGATGATACCTCGGAGGATTGATTGTGATTGGTGGATGACTACAGAGGTGTAGAGAATCAGGTGAGCAGGAGATTATAGCCCTTGGAACAAAAGTGGGATGCATTGCTGACACATCAACCACTACCATCCTTATTTTTTATAATTTTTAATCATTATTTTTTTATTGTTTTTTCTTGGGAACTTGAGTTGGTGATTAGTTTAATTAGTAATTAGTAATTACCCACCCTACTTGGTGTTTATTAGTCAGGTGAGTTCTTATGAGTAAATATTATATAGATGCCGCCCTCGTATATGCTAGAAATTCGGATTCACCCCCTAAAGTTTTTTCTTTCTTTCATTTATTTGGTAGACCATGAATCTCTCTCCATATAAATAACTATCGAGCACATCAATATTTTAGTCGAGTTACAATATTTACATCCAAAACATTGGCTAAAAATAGTATTTTGCAATTGTTAACTATTTGGGAATCTAATAGTAATATCAATAAATGGGAGTAACTCTGGTGATACGGGTTCAATTGATCATAGACCCATATTGAATTAAAACTCTATACAAATCTCAAGGGCGACCCAAGCCTAAGGTCACATTACACGCTATAACTGTTAAAACTTAGTAAACAGCTCCACATAGGGCATGTGTGAACGGCAAATGTGACTACATTCGGCCCAATATCAGTAACATGGGCGGGAAGCATGGGCGGGAAGCTTGTACAGTGACACGACTAAAAAGAGGTCCACCAACCAACAACGAGCTCAGCGGAACACAAGGAAAAACAAGTTCCTTCTCTCTATATATTAACATTCAGTACTCCACTCTTTATCTCTTTAAAAGATATATCGTTTTTCACTTTACTCGATTGACTTGACCGTCAGAATGACAACGTCAAAAAACCTTCCCGACGCTTCTTTTTTACAGGTCCCCTAGGCCCTAGGGCAGCTGGGCTCTTCTCGGCCGGACTTTCTTTCTTATTGGGGTTCTCTTGTAAATTAATTTTCATGAATAAGATCCTTAAATCTTAGAATAGCCAAAGAAATTAGCAAGGTGCAAATTCAAATATATATAAGTTAAGGGGGTCTTGAAAAGAGATTATCGAAAATACGGTGGTCAAAATTTATTTATGGAAAGATGAGACCGAATTACCCTACCAACTTTGTCTCCCTTAATTACCGTTTTTCCAACTTTCAACACAAAAATATTCGACCGAAGCAAAAAAAAAAAGAGCGTCTTCTTCTGCTAGTGTGCGCCTCCTCCTCCTCGTGCATTGAGAGAATAAAGCGGTGGGTTTTGTTTCTCGCGTTTAAACATGGCGTCTAGGTTGTGGGCAACGAGGGCTGCTTCATACCTTAGGATCTCTGTTCCTTCCAGAGGTTTCGCCACCGGTACGTTTATTCATACTGTTAATATTACTCTCTCTCATTTTCCCTTTTCTTCGATTTATGATTTACTGATTTGCCTTTTCGATTATGTTGAATCTTATACATGTGTTTTTATTGCTGATTGTTTCAATGAAAACCTGGCGATCTGTTTTTCTCGGTGAGAAAGATCTGATTTATTAATTTTTTGTTTCTGCTTTTAGATCAGTCGGAAATCACCGCTTGTTCATTTATTTGTTATTTTATTGCATTTTTTAAATACATGGAAAGTGAGTGAAAGTTGTCGTATTAGATAAATTCCTCGAATATGGATCCAATTGCCTTGATTCTCTTCTCTGTTTCTGTAACATGGATCTCTCATAACAGGGGTTATATTTCATATTTGTGAAGTTAATTTTTATATGTCGAAATGGAGAGTGGTGCTGTAAGCGGAGATCTCGTCTGCAATGATGGCGCAGGTATG